CCATGATGGGATCACAGAAAGGTAGGATTTTGTCATCCAGGGCACGGCAAATGTCACCGATCACTCCTACAGTGATTGAGCAGACTTGGTATTCTTCAAAGTTCTGAAGCCCCATCTGGAGATATTTGAAGAGCTCGGGCATGTACTTGAGAAACTCGGCTCCAGTCGCATATGCAAGAGCACCGATTGCAAGCATGGCTTCTTCGTGGACACTTGAACTGTGGCATCCAAACACTCTTAGGAACAGCACCATTATCTGATCTGCGTTCTGACTTATGATGGGTTTCGTCTCCTCCGTGCTGCTCAGCTTCTGGATTATGACCTGGAGAACACCACACAGAGAAGCCTGGAGTTCCGCTTGCTTCTCACGGTCCTCAGTTGTTACGATCGCGACGTCCATTGTCTGGCCTAATTTTGTCATGATGACTGGAAGGAGCTGCGTTATGATGCCAGAGGACTCTAAAAGGTTTGAGCACCGGACAACCTCGTTCAAGGTTTCATATGCAGCCGTTCTTAGCTTAGACTCTGCCCCATCTGTACGCGCAGCTGCATCAAGCAGGTGTGTGATGATCTCCGTAAGATAGGGGGAGAGAAGAGAGGAACCTGCTGCAGAGTCTTCATATCCCTGGGCAAGGTTGTATATAGCTCCGCACACCTTCTCCGCCACATTTGGCACATCTTTAATCGATTCCAGTAACACTTTCACAATTTTAGGGAGGTTCTCTTGTGATATCACTGAGAAACCACTGTCTGGGGTGTGCAAAAACTCAAAGATGCGGCTCAGAGTCCAAGCAGTTGTGTCCCTGACGTGGTTATTCTCATCCTTGGTTGCGGCAAGGAGAAACTCCAAGCCAGCAGCAACCATTGGGGCAAGCTTGTCGATTGTTGGGCCCTCCAAAATTGATCCAAACGCATAAGTGGCTGCCTCCCGGCTTCTCCAGTTAGGGTTCCTTATGTTGATTTCAACAAAAGGCATCACAAGAGGGACTATAGCATCTCCAACCGTTCTGGAGACAAGTCCAAGGCATGTCCCACCAGCCATAGATATGTTCCAGACATCGTCATCATGGTCCTGATCCTCATCCTGCTTCTCCATAGTTTCTAGCAACATGGGAACTAAATGGGGAAGAGCCTTCTGAATGAAAGAGGAATGGGGAGGGGACGAGTCACCGGTGTCAGGACTGTCGTACTCTTGACGGTCTATCTCCTCATCACATATTGTGCTCCAGAACTCAATGGCTTGGAGGGCAACGTTCTCTTCATCTCCCTTTACAGCATTTGATGTGAGCTGAAAGAGTGTTTCCATGTAATGCGCCAGAACATCATAGTATGTTGATGCAATGGACACAAGGCATTCGAAAGCAGCTTGCCTGATTACTGCCTCCTTGGAACATGCTGTTTCGCACACCATCTTCATGATATAAGTTCTCTCCATTTCATTCTCAAAATTTGTCTGAGAAAAATCCAGAGCATTCAAGAGAGCCTTTGCTGCTGCGAGACGAACATCTGCAGAGTTTTCAGACTGGTTCATGCCCTGCACAACTGCTGTGAGCACAGAATTCACTTCATCTTGCACAAGATCGTGATGCGATATCTCTTCACAGACATAGCCAAGAGTTTCTAAAGTTGACTGCTTCAAGTGTGCGGGACTGCCTTGCTGGGTCATGTTGTTAAGCAGAGATCCAACAAGTTCAGGCCACTGCTTCTGAGGGATTTCAATGGAGGCGACCTTTGCAATAACCTGAGCTGAAGTATGCCTCGCCTCTTGAGCAGATGAAGCTAGAGTTCTTAATAACAGTTCCTTGATCTGGGACTTAAGAGCAACGTCAATTGCAAACCATTGTTTCACCAGATGATCTTTGGTGGCAGAATCCTTGGCGTCTAGAGAATTCTTGAGCAAAATACCAGCAAGTCGACGGGATTCAGCAGGTTTATCATTGTTGGCGAGCTCATGTGACAGGGATAATAAAAACTGCGGCAAGTTCTGTTCTTGGAATTGCTTGAGGCTAGTCTCTGCTTCGGTACGGACTCTTGCATCGGGTGACTGGGCAGACAGTAGGTACTGAGTGATCTCCATCGCCATTCTTCTCTCTGCAAGATAAAGGCATACACCAGCATCAGCGACAAAACAGAAGCAAGGCTCTAAAATCAAAGTAAAAGCTACTAAACTCAAGGCAATAATACTATACAAAGCGTACACAGGTTCAAATCAGATAGCACAAACAAGAGCAAGCTCAGATTTAGAATTTGAACACAATCCGATACCAAAACTATCTATTTGCTAAGAAAACTAGAGGAGGAGATTCTCTGCTGTGTAATTAGTCACAAAATTGATGCAAACAGATTCCAGATTAAAATCCGGGACAGAGATTACCCAAGGATTTCGTTGAAGAACACCAGTTCTACTTTTACAGAAGACTATTAAGAGCGAAGGAAAAACAAAAAGAGAGAGAGAGAGAGGCAAAATCACTGCGAGTAACGAGAAGCTAAAAAACCTAGCAGGCGTGACCCAAAACCTAATCGGAAAGCATAGATCAGCTAGCAGATTGCGAATCCAGAATTCAATACGCAGCTCAAGCAGGAGATTTACATTGAGATTGAGGTTTTTCGACTGGGTAACCGCGTCAGAGCTAGGGTTTATCACTCCAATCCAAACCCCGCGTCCCTCTCACTATAAATGCTATCTTCTCCAAGACGCCGCTCGAGCAGGTTAAAACCCTCTGGATCAGTAAAACCCTAGAGTACACAGACAGAGAGACGGCTTGTGGAAATTGAAGGAGACGGATATGAGACTGAGAAAGGAATTTTCGAATAGAAAGAAAGCGGGTGTGGAAGGGGAAAAACCCAAAAGCTAAAAACATCATATTTATTTCGTTTCTAATTTTACATAATTACATATTTGGGAGATTTACATAAATCTCGATTAACCTTTGTTGTCCAAAACATATGTAATTTAACTTTTTCTATTACAAACGACTGATATACATGTACGAGGTACTGCTAATATAATTATGAGCCACTGATATTATTATACACAACTAGGCACGACTCGATACATGATGCATATATCACTAACATAATTAAGTACATATATAATCATTTCTCTATTCTCTTATCAGTTTTAGCTTAAGTTTTGAAACAAGTTACTGTAGAATCATTTCTCTATTCTCTCATAGATTTTAGCTTAAGTTTTGAAACAAATTGCTATGATTGTGCCGGATTATTTTATCAAGCAAAATAAGTTACAAAAACAAAATTATACCTGAAAATGTCATTTGAGATTGATGCTCGTAAACGTTGATTCATTGCACACAATTTGGTTGCGTTGAATATGACTTTGGTTTGGTTTGTTAATATGCTCAGGTGTTACATATAATTATCGTCCGACTCAAAAACAAAGTGCCGTTATAATCAAAAATATATACTTACTATGTTCTAATTATTGTTGTATCTCATCTTAGATTACAGATGATTAACAGGAAGAAACACTATATTTTTTTTGAGTATTAATCTAATCTCGTAAGTTTGAGTTTTTTCTTTTTTCCGTTCAAGGTGATACTTTGAAGTGTTTGAGTAGCAAAACAGGAGTACATGACAACAAACAAACCAGAAAGAAAGTCAAAATAAATGTGTTATCATGAGTATAACTTCGGTTTGGAGTCAAAATAAATGTGTTATCATGAGTATAACTTGGTTTGGAGTCACTATTTGTAATCAGTAAGAATGTCATTATCACTCTATTTTTCTAAATAATGATCAAGACAAGGATGATGGTCAAACTTTGGGGTTATAATAAATTTGAGAGTCTAGCGAAGGAATGAAAAATCATCGCAATAGGTCCACTCAAAAGTCTCATTTGAGCTATGCATTGCATTTTAGAATACAACTGTATCTATATTTTTAGAAAATTAATTATGCTGATTCCATCAAGATGACATAGTAAAGAGAAGACTAGTCTACACATTCATGTTTGGGATGATTTTGATGTAATTAAAATACTACTAGATTTGTGCTTTCCCATATCTTTTGCTCTTTAAAAGTTTTGAAACCGATTGCCTCGTTCAAACATCAAATAAAACATTCTCTTATAGTTCGTTTTCTCCTTAATCGGGACGATTATTACCATTTTTAATTTATAAAGTTGATTTGACAAAAAAGAAAACTCTTGGGGTGGATTCAGAAATATTGTATTTTTAGCTTTAGCGTTGCCCTTCCTTCCCCACCCGCTTCTTCCTTATATTCGAAATTTATTTTTCTCAGTCTTATATCCGTCTCCTTCGTCATTCTCAAGTCGACTCTCTGGTAACTCTAGGGTTTTTATTTCTGATCCGGAGGTTTTTCCCCTGCCCGAGCGCCATCTTGGAGATTATTCTTCGGCGATAGCATTTGTAGCGAGAGGGACGGCGGGGTTTGGATTAGAGCGAACAAACCCTAGCTCTTACGCGGCTACCCAGTCGAAATACCTTAATTTCCATGTAAATCTCTTGCTTGAACTTCGTATTGAATTCTCGATTTGCATGTCTGCTGATTGATCTATGATTTCTGTTTAGGTTTTGGGTCACTTCTGGTAGTTTTTTTAAGCTTTTCGTCACTTGCTCGCTCGCAGTGATTTTGCCTCTCTTTTATTGTTTTTCCATCGCTCCTAGTACTTTTCTGTAGAAGTAGAACTGGTGTTCTTCAAAGAAATTTCTGGGTCATCACTGGCCCGGATTTGATTTCGAATCTGCTTGAATCGATTTTGTGATTAACTACACATAGTAGAGACTCTTCGATAGTTTTCTCAGAATATAGATAGTTTTAGTATCGGATTGTGTTCAAACTCTAAACCTGAGCTTGCTCTTGTTTGTGCTATCTGATTCGAATCTGTGGACGATTTGTATAGTTTTATCGATTTCTTTAGTTATACCAAATACTTTGTTTAGTAGTTTTTCCTTTTGTTTCAGAGCCTTGCTGGTTTTGTCACTGATGCTGGTGTATGTCTTTGTTGCGCAGAGAGAAGAATGGCGATGGAGATCACTCAGTTCCTACTTTCTGCCCAGTCACCCGATGCAAGAGTCCGTACCGAAGCAGAGACTAACCTCAAGCAATTCCAAGAACAGAACTTGCCGCAGTTTTTACTATCCCTGTCATTTGAGCTCGCCAACAATGATAAGCCTGCAGAATCCCGTCGACTAGCTGGTATTTTGCTCAAGAACTCTCTAGACGCCAAGGATTCTGCCACCAAAGATCATCTGGTGAAACAATGGTTTGCAATTGACGTTGCTCTTAAGTCCCAGATCAAGGAACTGTTACTAAGAACTCTAGCTTCATCTGCTCAAGAGGCGAGGCATACTTCAGCTCAGGTTATTGCAAAGGTAGCCTCCATTGAAATCCCTCAGAAGCAGTGGCCTGAACTTGTTGGATCGCTGCTTGCCAATATGACCCAGCAAGGCAGTCCCGCACACTTGAAGCAGTCAACCTTAGAAACTCTTGGCTATGTCTGTGAAGAGATATCGCATCATGATCTTGTGCAAGATGAAGTGAATTCTGTGCTCACTGCAGTTGTGCAGGGCATGAACCAGTCTGAAAACTCTGCAGATGTTCGTCTCGCCGCAGCAAAGGCACTGCTGAATGCTCTGGATTTTTCTCAGACAAATTTTGAGAATGAGAATGAGAGAACTTATATCATGAAGATGGTGTGCGAAACAGCATGTTCCAAGGAGGCAGTGATCAGGCAAGCTGCTTTTGAATGCCTTGTGTCCATTGCATCTACATACTATGATGTTCTGGCGCAATACATGGAAACACTCTTTCAGCTCACATCAAATGCTGTAAAGGGAGATGAAGAGAACGTTGCCCTCCAAGCCATTGAGTTCTGGAGCACAATATGTGATGAGGAGATAGACCGTCAAGAGTACGACAGTCCTGACACCGGTGACTCATCCCCTCCCCATTCCTCTTTCATTGAGAAGGCTCTTCCCCATTTAGTTCCCATGCTGCTAGAAACTCTGGAGAAGCAGGAAGAGGATCAGGACCATGATGACGATGTTTGGAACATATCTATGGCTGGTGGGACATGCCTTGGCCTTGTGTCCAGAACGGTTGGAGATGCTATAGTCCCTCTTGTGATGCCTTTTGTTGAAATCAACATAAGGAACCCGAACTGGAGAAGCCGGGAGGCAGCCACTTATGCGTTTGGATCAATTTTGGAGGGCCCAACAATTGACAATCTTGCCCCAATGGTTGCTGCTGGCTTGGAGTTTCTCCTTGCCGCAACCAAGGATGAGAATAACCACGTCAGGGACACAACTGCTTGGACTCTGAGCCGCATCTTTGAGTTTTTGCACACCCCAGACAGTGGTTTCTCAGTGATATCACAAGAGAACCTCCCTAAAATTGTGAAAGTGTTACTGGAATCGATTAAAGATGTGCCAAATGTGGCGGAGAAGGTGTGCGGAGCTATATACAACCTTGCCCAGGGATATGAAGACTCTGCAGCAGGTTCCTCTCTTCTCTCCCCCTATCTTACGGAGATCATCACACACCTGCTTGATGCAGCTGCGCGTACAGATGGGGCAGAGTCTAAGCTAAGAACGGCTGCATATGAAACCTTGAACGAGGTTGTCCGGTGCTCAAACCTTTTAGAGTCCTCTGGCATCATAACGCAGCTCCTTCCAGTCATCATGACAAAATTAGGCCAGACAATGGACGTCGCGACCGTAACAACTGAGGACCGTGAGAAGCAAGCGGAACTCCAGGCTTCTCTGTGTGGTGTTCTCCAGGTCATAATCCAGAAGCTGAGCAGCACGGAGGAGACGAAACCCATCATAAGTCAGAACGCAGATCAGATAATGGTGCTGTTCCTAAGAGTGTTTGGATGCCACAGTTCAAGTGTCCACGAAGAAGCCATGCTTGCAATCGGTGCTCTTGCATATGCGACTGGAGCCGAGTTTCTCAAGTACATGCCCGAGCTCTTCAAATATCTCCAGATGGGGCTTCAGAACTTTGAAGAATACCAAGTCTGCTCAATCACTGTAGGAGTGATCGGTGACATTTGCCGTGCCCTGGATGACAAAATCCTACCTTTCTGTGATCCCATCATGGGCCAACTTATCGAGAACCTTAAAAGCGATGCACTCCACAGGTCGGTGAAACCTCCGATATTCTCATCCTTTGGAGACATTGCACTGGCGATTGGTGCACATTTCGAGAGGTATGTAGGCGCAGCTCTTCAGATCATGCAAGGGGCTGCTCAGGTGTGTGCTCAGATGGACACCCTTGACGAGGAGCTTATGGATTATGCAAACCAACTCCGCAAAAGCATCTTCGAGGCATACTCCGGGATACTTCAAGGGTTCAAGGATGGAAAAGCCGAGGTCATGATGCCTTACGCTCAGCATCTCTTGCAGTTTGTTGAAGTCGTGTCCAAAGATTCCCTCAGGTCCGTATCAATCTTTATATCTGTGTTCTGATTTTAATGCACACTTGAAACTTATCAATTTTGGTGTCTGGGAACAGGGATGAGAGCGTGACAAAAGCCGCGGTTGCAGCAATGGGTGATCTAGCGGATGTTGTAGGAGAGCAGACGAAGCAGTTGTTCACTAACTTCACCTTCTGTGGTGAGTTTCTCAATGAGTGTCTCCAGTCAGAGGATGAAGATCTAAGGGTCACAACACGCTGGGCTCAAGGGATGATCGCAAGAGTTGTCTACACTTCCTCATAATAAGCTTTTTCATCATCACCGTTCGTGCGTCTCTCTCTCTCTCTTCCTCTCGTTTCGTATTGGTTTTGAGTAAAGGATAAAAGAATAGTTGCCGGTCTTCGTCTCTTCTCTATCGAATCATGTGGGATAGTGGTCAAAGTTTTTTTTCTTTCTGGAAATTGCTTTCGTTGCTCGAGGTCAATCTCTGTTTCGAGCCTGTTGTCTTTCTATCTTCTCCATTTTTGGATATAGCTTATTTTCATAAACCATGAAACAGCGAAATTTTGTGTGTGATTCTTAAGGTTAACGATCACAGTGAATATGCGGTTAAGGATCATAACTCCAATGTTACCCAAACGCAAACAGCTAGATATCAGCACCTTTCAAGAACTCTGTTTATACAAAAGTGCCAAATTTTTCTTAAAGATGACGACATTACATGATGGCATTACATGAATAGAAGCTAAAGCCGGCACCACCACATCAAGAGGAAGAGAAGGTGTCGATGATGGTGGTGTGAAGCGGGTCACTAAGGTGAGTCGCCCAATTGTTGAGCGGTCCTTTACCCGTTGCAGCCGCCTGAACCGCGAATCCCAAGAAAGCAACCATGGCTAAACGAGCGTGTTTGATCTCAGCTAGCTGGAGCTGAGCCGTCTTCTCCGGGTCAGAAGCTAGCCCAAGCGGGTCGAAAAACTTGCCTCCTGGATACAAACGCTTCTCCGAGTCCAGCTCAGCGTTTCGTTGGAACTCGATGTAGCCGATCACCAACACTTCGATCCATATCAAAGTCGAGATAGAGAACGGCAATGGCTGTCCCAAGTAGGACGATCCATCCACTAGCTCCACCTGGTTTAAAGCATAAAAATGAAAAAAAAAACAATCAGACAATGTCAAAAGGCAAAATGCAAACGCGACGGAGATAGGCCATACCTTGCCGGCGTCTTGCCAAGTAACACCGGTGAGCCATTCGACGGAGAGAGCGCCGAGAGTGGCGAGCATTGCCCATCTCCCGTGAATCAGCTCACATTCTCTGAATCTCTGGATACCGAAGACCTCGCTGTACGGCTGAAACGGCGTCGATTTGGGGTCAGCCGCCTCCGTACGGGTCCCGATCACGTCTCCGGCTAAGTTCTTGGCTAAGTTCTGGTCCAGAGAGTCCAAATCGAATTGGAGGTACTCAGCCGGTTTACCTAAACCGAAAGGGTCGAAACCGTAGTCACCGACCAGCGAACCGTCGAGATACTCGGGGGATTTTGCGCCAGGGAACCACAGAGGCCGGTCTGAGAAAACCGTCTTAGCCTTTTTGGGAGCGGCTTTCTTCTTTCCGAATCCGAACCGGGCTGTGAACCGGCCTGAGCTTGAGTGGATGTCGGGAAGCACCCGAGTACCCATGATTGAAGAAGCAGCGGCGGCCATCTCCGGCGTCGTTTGTGTTTGTCACGTTTGCGGATTTTAATTTTCAGTAGAGAGAGATATGAGAGCAAATGACGTTACTCAGTGGCAGTATATGTTGTGTGGGAGAGATGAAACTTGGATATCTCAGGGAAGGATTCTTGACGGTTGGATTGAGAAACAAATCCATCTGACGGTGGGAAATAACGCTCGGCCTTATCTATTCAAAGTTCGCGTTATCCTAAGGAAGAAGCTGATTGGGCAAAAGAGGCTATTGGCGAATCTTGTACAATGCCACTTGTCACTTCAGCAGCACATGTCAATCACCGGAAGTCCACTTGGAAAACCATGACAATCCTTGAATTTTGATAATCCGGTTCGGTAAACTCAATACCAAACCGGAAAAGTTACTTTTTGGAGCATCAAGGTGTTTGAGTGTTGTGGAATTCGAAGAAGGCTTCTCATTGAAAATGATTACATAATCTCGCATCCGATACAGTACATTAGTTCAAGACATGAACGACATCTAACTGTTGCACAACCAAACAGTAAAATACACGAGAAGAAAAGAACAATAATACATTCAGGAAAAAAGACCTCAGAAGAAGAATCTCCAGACGCTTCAGGTATCGATGATCCGGACACACTTTTTCTATAGCACTCAATCAGATACTCGGTGAAGGAAACATCGAAGAACCAATACAGGAAACTGAGCAAATGGTTTTCATTAAGTAGAGAGTTGGAAACGGCCGCTAGGTTTTTTTCTTCTCCATCCCTACCAAAACCCCCAAATAGAACATATGATTGTTAAGACTATTATACAGAAGACAGAACTGGGGAGTCGCGTAGCATGAAAGATGAAATATGACTTACAAAGGCAATGTAATATAGAAAGGTCAGTCCAGCCAAGATAACAAACCCGATTTGGAACACGTTGTACCTGAAATATACCACATCGCTCAATAAGAAGGCATGAGACAGATATAACATAAAGACTGTTATACACTAAATCACTACTACTTACTTGTATAGGTACTTAATTCCCCGAAGGGACTGCAGTGTGTGGCCGAAGATCTCCTGAGCAGCTGTGGCTTGAGCGTAATATCCAAATGCAGTGGCACAGAATTGAATCACACTGCCATTTCAAAGAGCCACAGTTATTACAATCACACAATGCATCCGATTTCCAATCAGAGTGAATTTGATCCCATCATATCCTATTTGGGAGAAGATACAGAAGCATGAAAAAACGGAGATCAAAGAGACCTACCTGATGGAACAAAGAAGAATGAGACCGACGTTGAAGAGGAAAGAGTTCATTAGAGTAGCTCCCCATCTAAAGACAAGTTGATATGGCCAATTAGAAATTAAAGAAAAGGGAATGGCCTTGGAAAATAACAAAACAATGTCAAAAACATTAGATGATTTACTTCATCGGATGAATGGTAATGAAGACCAGCTTCAATCCCAACATCATTGCCCCAGCGATAACAGCGAGTAGAAGGTAGAAACAGAAGAAAGCAAAGGCAGCAGTGCCCAGAAGACCTGGAGGATTCCGCACATAACAACATAGAGTCAGGCAGACACATAAGGAACCTTATATAGAATAATATAACAAGAACAGAAGCAGGAACTTACCCCAAACGTCATCAAGCTTTATAAAAACCTCGTTAAGAAAAGGGGAGAGAGGAGGGTCGACAAGTAGATATATGATGATGTGTGCAACCCAAGCAATAGAAACGATTAATCTACAAAGAAGTAAAAAACAACCATTACAAAGTGACTTAGTTAGGGACCTACAGAGTGCAAACCTAAGGCCATAACACACAACAATTGTAAATAAGATTGTTTTTTTATTAAATACTAACCCTAAGATTCCAAGAATGAACTTGGCCAAGTATCCGAGCACAGTGAAAGCCCATGCAGTTTCTGCCTGAAAACAACGAGGACATAGAGTAGTTGAGTAAATCAACGATTATAGATAAAGTTTTGAGATACACTTGTCTTACCTTCTCTCCTTGAGGGTACGCCTCTTCTAAGAGGTTCACATCTTCCTCCAATTGGAGCAGCTCCTGCATTAAGAACATTCAGTTATAGGATTAAGGGGGCCTTAAGAACTTAAAATCCAAAATCAAGCATGGTAAAGCTGCCAATAATCCAGTGACTCTATCCCATAACCAATTCTACTATCGTAGCAGCATACGACCAACGCTTCTTTACACATTCATGGACCACTATCAATAGACAAATTTTCCAAGTTTCTAGTTATGACCTTGAGATAAATGATGTACCTTTTCAACTGCTTTCACATTTTTCCTCCATTTCCTGCCCTTAGCACCACCTCTTTCTTCCTGATGAAGTTCATCAGCTGCTTTCTTTAGTTCTCTTGCCTTTTTACCTAGTTCAGTTGCTTCCTGTAAAACATTTTGTGGAGTTCACTAAGAAAGTGAGAGTGAAAATGACTTAAAAACTGTAGGAGATGCTTCCAGAGAAGAAAAATAACCAAACCTTTATATATTGTGACCGAGTGATAACAGCTTTTGGTCGCCTGATGAATGCAGTGATAAGCCCTAATGGTAGGCATGCAATACCAACGCCACCAAATATCTAAGAAATTGGAGAGGACAATTAGCTATCAGATTTTTATTGGAATCTCAATATCAAAAACCTATTAACTACAAAGGATACAGAATTAAATCTAGCCATGCAACGCATTAGTCAATGACGAATCCATAATAAAAGAAAAGTTATATCCTTCCCAAGCATACAAAGCATTTCTCAACATCATAGAAACATGTTCATACCGTGAAAAGAACTGACCCAACAATTGTCGCAAGAGCAACAATGTATTCTGGAAAAGTAGTACGCATGGTCCACGTTTTCTCAGATGTGACATTAGCTGTAAATGCTGAGCACTGCATCGATTTACCAGAGGTAGAAGAAAAATGTTACATGCTGAAACGCTCTATGGCATAAATGATAAGTGAACAATACCAACGTTGCAATTAAGAAGCAAAGATCACCTGGCGAGCGGTGTTACCGATGCATGGTTGATTATTTGAAAACTGCCAGGAAGTAGGGAAAGAGGTTGTGGCAGAGGCCAAGTGCCTGACAGAGAAGTCCACCTTTCCAATGACACCTAACATAGTGTAAAAGAGCACAAGAAGATGAAAATAAAATCCAAGGAATATGAAATTAAATGAAATTACGAACAGCTCACTGAATACCAGTTAAGTATTTATAACTTTTGTAAGATAAAGAAGTTACCAACAATCCTAAGCTATTCCTAATCCTAACACATGATAATAAGATATCTCGACCAAGCTCTAATTAGGTAAATTATCAGCTGAAAGCAACAAAGGAATGCAGTCAAAAGATGTCAAATCATAGTGCAAATATGACCAACATCAGATGATCGTTCATTAATGGTTTCAATTACCACTTCCAACTTTCGTAACTCAAGGAAGACTCTGAAGTTTAAGACTTCAAGCCAACAAAATAATTGATAACAGAGGAGCAACTAACCGTATAAAATTCCAAGCACTAGAGCACAAACCACAGCAGTGGTTACCACCCAAATCAAGGCACTTTTTATCCTCTTTCCCAAACTCCTGCAGAAAAAAAGCAAGCCCACAAAACGGTAAACAATATTAGATTGAGAAACAACTAACAATGCAGAAATTAAATGATCAATTTTTCATCGAGATACGAACTTGTCTTGGTCGCCTTCATAGAAAAACATTGCGAAGGGGATGACAAAGAAGACGAGAATAGCGTCCACGATGTAAATGGCAAGCCAAAGCTCCTTCATGGGCAAGGTGAGATTGCAAGCGCCGTTGTAAATAGCATGTCGACAAGCATGCCGATTTGCCACATCCGCCGGTAACATGAGGATCGAGATCATGGCAATAGACAAACCGAAAACAACGACGAATTTGGGGAAATAGGCCTGGTTGGCATCATCCGGATGCTGGTAATTGACGAGGAGGTAGATGCTGGAGATGAAGACGATGACGCAAACAACGATCGCGACAATCACGAGAGCGAGGTTGAAATCGCCCATCGTGTGCAATGTACAAGGTCCCCAATTAAAGAGATTCCAATCCCGGGAACGATTTGAAGATGCAGCAAGCCAATTGAAAAGCTAGGGTTTTCCTCGGAGTTCAAAATTTGAAATTGATTTGGGGATTTTAGCAGATCTGGCTTTCTTATTTTGTTTCCCTCTCGAAAACAGACGAGGGAAAGGGAAAGAGAACTGGGACGGGGATGAACGAACTGTTAAACTACATAATTGCCCTCCTTCATGCGAGGTATTTACGTGGGCAGACAGACTTTACTGCCAGATGTCTTTGGGTAAAAACGTAAATGTCACTAGGTTCGGAGACCAGCTGTCCGAAGCAAATCATTCGGACAAAAAAATTCTGCTGGTAATAAGCAACAGAACGGCACCGTAACATAATCAACTTTTGGCATTTAAAAACTCTAACCTATGTAGAGGATCTCCACTAATTGAATTCAACAGATAGAAACAGAAATAAATTCAAATATTTTTCTCTTGAATAAACAAACAATCCAATGAAACTCAACGACTCTCTTTGCCAAAACTCGGCAACAGTACAAGTAATTTGAGTAAATAGTACGATGCGCCACCTATCGTTGCAAACCGAAGCTCTTCCGGTCCTTCAATCTCTGGAAAATCTCCTTCGGTTGCTCGGTTAAACCCTCCGGCTAACCATCCTAAGCTTTTGTACCCTTCCCCGTGCAGCTTTGATATTGCCATCAACGACCTGGGAGATTGCGAGAAGAAACCATTTACAATATTCTAATTTGAGATTTGATTCTAGACTAAACCGAATCGTTAACCGATGTCAGTGATAAACCAAAATGCACCAGCCTTACCTGAGTCCTTCGCCGCACACGACGAGCACTTTGGTCTTCTTGTCCGGGAAAGCCTCTACAACACGGAGGTTAAATTCGTCATTAAACATGGTGAATCTCTGACCCGTCCAAAGCCCAATATATCCCAAATGGATCCATTTCTTCAGCAGCGTTATCGGCCCATTGTCTGTATCCTCCACGAAAAGTGGCACGTGCAAAGAGCCTTTCACGCGTGCCTTTTCTCTTTCCCAGTCAGGCCTCACGTCTAGTAGCACGTATCCCTCCGACGCCACCACCGTCTTCGCTTCTTTCGGCTCCACCGCTCGGACTTCGCCGGAAGTTACCAGCTGCTTACCGGACACGGCGGAGATAACTGGTAATCTATACGGTTTTCGGAGGCGTCGGTATGGTACTAGTGTTGGCTTGTGGATATGGTTCGGTTGAGTAAGAAGAAGTGTCATCTCTAATTTTTGGGATAAGGAATTTAACCGGGTTATTTTCCTTGCTGAGGATTTTTATTTTGAGCCAATATAAGAATTTCTTCTTCTTTTAATTTCCGTTTTAAGTCCTCAGATATTTTGTAATTTGGTAATCACCCACGACAAAAACATACCAATCGGGCAAACTTTGCAATAACAAATAGTTGAGGCTGCTAAATGTAAACTAACAACGATCATATGGTTATGGTCCGTATGCGGTTGACATTGGTATAATCGGACCGAACCGAAACAACCGGCCAAGAAAAAATAAAAGATTCCGAACCGGTACGGGATGATCGAGTTGAGTTTTAATTGAAGGAAGATCGAGTGAAAAGGAAGAGCGAATCAAAACGAGAAGGAGTTATAGAAATGGGGGTCGATTATTACAAGGTTCTTCAGGTTGATCGGAATGCGAAAGATGACGATTTGAAGAAAGCTTATCGCAAACTCGCTATGAAATGGCATCCCGACAAGAACCCTAACAGCAAAAAGGAAGCCGAAGCCAAATTCAAGCAGATCTCCGAAGCTTACGATGTAATTTCTCTTACACAACTCCACTTTATTCCCAAATGCAAACGAAACACGTTTCCAATTTTAGAACAATTTCCAAAAATTCTCGGAATTTTGAATTTTTAGCAGTTGTGTAGTCTTTTGGTGACTTTTTCTGAAAAAATGTCGGAACAAAACTATTCATGATCAAATTCTTCAATTCGTTGCATTTGACTCAAGGTCTTGAGCGATCCTCAAAAGCGAGCAATCTACGATCAATACGGAGAAGAAGGCTTAAACAGCCAGGCCCCACCTCCCGGAGCCGGCGGTTTCCCTGGTGGTTCGGACGGAGGTGCTTCGTTCCGTTTCAACGGTAGAAGCGCCGACGACATCTTCTCGGAGTTCTTTGGCTTCTCAAGACCATTCGGTGACTCACGCGGTGGTGCAGGTCCTTCCGGTGGCTTCCGGTTCCCCGGCGATGACGTTTTCTCGAGAAAAGCTGCTCCTATAGAGAGACAGCTTCCTTGTAGCTTGGAGGATCTCTACAAAGGCACCACTAAGAAGATGAAGATCTCTCGTGACGTCCTCGACTCAACCGGGTCAGTTTTTAAGACTCATCTTGTGGTGTTAAAGTTCCAAAACATTAAAATGTGTTTGTTTGTTACAATGCAGGAAACCGACGACGGTGGAAGAGATATTGACGATAGAAATCAAGCCGGGATGGAAGAAAGGGACGAAGATAACGTTCCCGGAGAAAGGAAACGAGCATAGAGGGATCATACCGTCGGATCTTGTGTTCATAGTCGATGAGAAGCCACATGCTGTGTTCAAGCGAGATGGGAACGACATTGTGGTCACTCAGAAGATCCCACTCGTGGAGGCTCTCACGGGGTACACCGCTCAGGTCACGACGCTTGACGGAAGGACGATAACGGCTCCGGTTAGCAGTGTGATCAGCCCTACTTATGAAGAGGTTGTGAAAGGGGAAGGCATGCCGATTCCTAAAGACCCGTCGAGAAAAGGCAACTTGAGAATCAAATTCAGTGTTATGTTCCCGTCGAGGCTAACGACTGAGCAGAAAACTGGAATCAAACGGATGTTTTCGTCTTCTTAGAGGATTTAATTTTGAAACCATTAAGCTCTCTCTGTTTGTGCTACGTTTGATTTTTCAGTTATTTCGGTTGGATCTTTTGGCGGTCGTTGTGAAATTGCGTAGGTGTGTGGCCGTGTTGTGGGTTTGTTTGGTAAGATTGTGGGATCATTAACGATGTCGTTTCTACTTCGCATTTAGGGGTTTTTTAACATTTTTCAAAGTTTTTTTGTTTGGGTTTTAGTATATTTTTGTTATTATTTGTTTGTTATTTTAGAATGTTGTATTTGATTGAAAAGAAAAGGCTAAATAAAGCTTATTTACTTTTAAATTTTTTGATTAGAGCTTTATTTGAACATCTAAACTCTTGAAATCATTCAAGTCAAACAAATGTTGTTAACTTTCTTCACCAGCTCCTGCATTCTATACAAGCTCAACAAAAAGGTTTCTAAAACTATACTTTGATACGAACATATCATCATAAAACGTTTTCTGTTATTGTTCTAACAAACTTCCACATGTTTCTCTTTGTAACGTTCATACAAACAGACGATGGTCACATGGTTATGGTCTGTAGAGAGTTAGAGTGGGTGAGAGTCGTGAATTTGTTTGTGAGTTAAACATGAGAATCCTTCTTGCTTCTGCAAAATAATATAATATCAATTAGTGAAACATTATTGTAATGTAACAACAAAAACTATTGTTATGTAACTTCAACTTTTGTTATAAATAACGGAAGACGACAGAAAATAAGAAACAGCAAGCATGTTTTGGCAAGAACACGAGAGTTACTATTCTCCACTACCGTTTAACAGTGGAAATTATTTATGTTCTTCTCTCGTCATTATAAATACCAAAGAGCCATCCTCATTATCATTCACCTCTCTCTTCATTTGTCTTTGCTTCTTTGTGCTTAAGCTTACTCTTTCTTCCCTTTGCTTGCGCAATTGTATTCCTCAATGAAGCCCACACCAATGCTGAAAGATGAGCTGGACATCGTGATACCCACGATTCGAAACCTGGATTTCCTTGAGATGTGGCGACCGTTCTTTGAACAGTACCATCTGATTATCATTCAAGATGGTGATCCTTCCAAAACCATCAACATCCCGCAAGGGTTTGACTACGAGCTCTACAACAGGAACGACATCAACCGAATCTTGGGTCCCAAGGCTTCTTGCATTTCCTTCAAGGACTCTGCTTGTCGTTGCTTTGGTTACATGGTCTCCAAGAAGAAGTACATCTTCACCATTGACGATGATTGCTTTGTAAATGCCTCTCTCTCTCTATCTCTTTTAGAAATTTGACTAGCCTTACACGTTGAAATGACTTGACTCGGTGAATATGATGAATCTTGCAATGCAGGTTGCAAAGGATCCATCTGGAAAAGAGATCAATGCGCTTGAGCAGCATATCAAGAACCTCTTGACTCCATCAACTCCACATTTCTTCAACACACTCTATGATCCATACGGAGATGGGGCAGACTTTGTTCGTGGATACCCTTTCAGCATGCGTGAAGGTGCTATCACCGCGGTCTCTCATGGCCTCTGGCTCAACATCCCTGACTATGATGCTCCAACTCAGCTTGTGAAACCTCTTGAAAGAAACACCAGGAAATTTGAACAAACCAGTTTTGCTATGCCTCCTTTTTTTCTTGAACCAGTGCTTCTGTTTTACTTACTGGTTAGTGTTTTGGTTAAATGCAGGTATGTTGATGCGGTCATGACCATTCCCAAAGGAACTCTGTTCCCTATGTGCGGTATGAATCTTGCTTTTGACCGGGAGCTGATTGGTCCGGCTATGTATTTCGGACTTATGGGTGACGGACAGCCCATCGGACGCTACGACGACATGTGGGCTGGTTGGTGTGTCAAGGTAAATGCAACTCTTGTTCATTGCTTGTGTTTCTGTTAGATCATCGTCTCATGGCATTTGTCAAGTAAACTAATAATTTTTAAATAAAAAATGTAGGTGATATGTGACCACATGGGATGGGGAGTGAAGACAGGTTTGCCATACATATGGCACAGCAAAGCCAGCAACCCACTCGTGAACCTGAGGAAGGAATACAATGGAATCTTCTGGCAGGAGGAGGCTATACCTTTCTTTCAATCTGTGACTCTTCCTAAAGAGTGCACTTCTGTGCAGCAATGCTACATTGAGATGGCTAAGCTTGTGAAAGAGAAACTCGGGAAGGTGGACCCTTACTTCATCAAGCTTGCAGATGGAATGGTCACTTGGATCGAAGCTTGGGATGAGATTAACTCTCCAGACGGAGCTAAGGCCAAGGCACCAGTCGGAAAAGATAAGTAAAAGTGAAGGTCACTGAATAAGGCAAATGGTGTTGTTACTACAAGAGGATGGCTTTTGAGTCACATGTCTAATATCCTCTGTTTATCTTGATTATTGTTGCTTATTGCTATTGTTTTCTATTTCTTATCATAAGTATTTGTGTTTTCAGTCCATTGTCAGCAAAAAATGGTGTAATGTGTTCTGTTGCTTTTGATTATTCTATGAATTATCTATCATTTCTGCTATCCTTTTGTTGAAATTTGAAAATGAATAGGTTTATTATGAATGTTAATGGACAATCCATCAAAGACTTTTAGAATTTGTCAGCGGTTTCGACCAGTATTCAAATTTGAATATTGATATATTTTGTCTTTCAAGGTATAACCAATTCAATTCATCAAATTCATGAACTCCAAAGTTAATTTGAAACTTATTATCTACAAAAACCAATATAAAGGAAATATAGACTTAATGAAAACAGAGGCATGACTTAGGAGAGAGACAGAATAAAAGAATTGAGAGTTACCCTTAAAACGGAGCTAGAATTTATCAATCTCAACGCCATCTCTTAGAACCTCATAAGCATCACGTCTTCTGCTTTTCTTCATCCCAGCCGTGAAATGGATCTTTGATGAATCTGCAGAGATACTTGTGACTTTAACCCATATCATCACTTTTGTTTTCACCCCTTCAACATCAACTAGCTTCCCTTTCTCCAGAAATCCGGTGACCGTTGTGGTGAATCTCAAGACCGATGAATCTTTGTAGCCAACTTCGCAGATTGATGGGATAAAGACTGTTAGTTTCCTCGTCTGTTCATTGAACTCGTAGTTGGTTGCATCTCGTGGAAAGATCCCAACAGGCAAACCAAACTCCTTCAGTAACTCTGGCAATGGCTTCTGCATTTTCCCTGAGAGAAACAACAGTTATTGGAATTTGGATTTGTTGAAGAATGATGTGGCTCCTCCTTGAATGGTCAAGTGGATAAAAAAAAAAACTGACCTTTGATTTTGTTCACTAGCCATTTTGTCCCTCCTTCAATGCTGGTAGACAGAGACTGGAAGAAGAAATTGTTACGGATAATGCAAAATCAACATTCTACTATTCAAGATCAAATCTCCGATGAGCATGAAAATGAGAATCACAAGAGATTGAACGGATCTCTAGTGAGAAATCGCCATCATTAACATGCAACTATCGGATACTTCAGATATAATCTACTCTTAAGATCCTCTTCCACTAACACCGTAATTCACGTTTTATGTTATCACAAATAGCCTCGAATTGGAGAATTGCAGTTCCTTATACAAATTCAGTGAACATACGACAGATTTGCAGGAAAATAAAAAAAAAGCAGAGATCAAGCGACACAGAATCACAATTCTCAAGAGCAGCGGATCGAAATCAGAAATCGAAACTCGAAAGTGATGATTCGCGGCGGGGGATAAAAGCAAGTAGTAGTGATTACTGATTAGTGAATGGAGTAGAGAGAAACGTACGTTAATATCGTCGCCGACGGAATCGAGCTGCTTGTTCGCCTTCTTGCCTAACCAGTACGATCCAACCTTGTTCAAGATCTGATCCATTTCTCTCGCTCACAGATCGTCTCTCCTCTCTCTCTCGCCTAGATCGGAGGAAGTTTTTCTGTCACCGTTTCATTTCATTTCGCTTCTTTTACACCATTATACCAGCCAATAATGTTTTGACACGTAGCAGTGAGCAAAACAGATGTGGATTGCGGAACAATTTTAAATTACCTTTATGCCAACTGGCCAAAACAAAAAATTGTTTCTAGCGTGCTGATGAAATAGTGACGTGGACTGAATAATCTTCGTGTTCACACTTCACACTAAACACTAGGCATTGGCAATGGATAGTTCAGTGGAGACTAATAGCTCAATGGAGAAGCTAGGTAATAGCAGCTGAAATGTATAGAAACTAAAACGCTGTTACTCGGAAAAATATGTACAAACTAAATTTGAAGTTGCATAAATGTGAACATAAGATTGATCAAGAAAATGGCAGTAGCAGCTGCAACAAGAGCTGAAGTTTAGACTGAAACTCGCAAGGAACTTTTCATAGATGATATTACAGGAGAAGAAGATTCGTAATCAAATTACAAAAAGGCCAAAGCAAACGAAGCAGGAAGGTTTTATATCTAAGGAAACGTAGGTTATGGTTTCTAAGCAAAAACCAAGACTAATTAGACAGACATATCAAAACAAGTGAAATGGTGCCAAGTCTGTGCCTATTGCTTGTTGATAATGCTCCAAATACTGTTACACGTCTCGTACGCCGTCATCTTATTTGTCTCGAATTGGAACTTCTCAATCACCCTTTTCTCGCGATCTACCAAATCTATTGAACAATTTGAGTCAAGGATTCAACACACTCAAGGAAAATAGCGAATGAGAGTCATGATTAAAGAACCAAAAAGTGAAGTGAGTAGAGAGATGATGAGATAAGAGGATACAGCCTGAGATCTTTGATGGATCAGTAACGTCCGGTATAATCTTTGTGACAGAAGCATACATAGAGAGCTTTTTCCTGCAGAGAGAAAAAGAGGGATACAGAACAGAGATTGAGAAAACAAATGTAACCAACATTCAGAAGAAACAATTTGCAATAATGGGTTTTGTGGGTGGATCTTACTCAGCTCTCAAGTCGTCACGCACTTTTCTCTTCGTAGATTGCCTCTGTTCATCAATCGATGTCCGTTGTGTATTCAGGTCTTTGAGTTCTTCAGCGACTAACGTATTGACAGAAATCCAAATAAAAGAGCAGATAAGTTTGTAGTCACTGAGTGGATAAATAATTTCAATGAAATTAAACTGTACTTATCTAAGCTCGTCCTTCAGCTTGCATTCTAGTTCCATCTCTTCATCAAGCTCTTTCTGAAGACGTTCGATTTCATCTCCAGCCGAAACATCTGAATTTGCTTCCTCCGTTTTCTTCTTGCAAGCATCGAGTTTCTTCTTACACTCTGCATTATAAAATGAATTAAAAACAAAAATTCCTCACTCGATCGAACACTGTCACTCAAAATTCCTCACTCAATCGAACACTATCACTCAAATCTCAATGGCTTAGAGACCCAAATCGGAAGCCTGACCTTGAGTAGATCCTTGTATCTGATTAAAATCCTCGTCGGAAGCGAAATTGAGAGCTTCTAAGTGCTGGAAACTCTGCGATACCACGTCAAACCCATTCTTAACATTCAATAGTTCGATCAAATCGTCTCCGTAAGACATCAGATCCTCTATATCGAAATTCTCCGATAGATTTCCCATTTCTGATAAGGAAAATGATAAATTCACTATCTTCCCAGTAAAGCCCCAACTTTTTGGAGTAATCGAGCCTGAAAACCCTCACCGGGAAAATTCAAAGGGAAAGAAACGGAGAGAGGGGGGACAGACGAGGAAGAAGATCTGAATTTTGATTTTTGATTTTTGAATTTCAATTAAAAAGTCAGTTTAATTTGACTCACAAAGAAAATAATGGGCCAATTCCAATATTCGATAATGGGCTGATTATTTTTGGGACCAATACGACTCTCATGGTTGTTCTTTTTGACGTTAGACGACTCTCAGGTTTGGCGCTCTCTCTTTCAGTCACAAGTCATAACCGCGTAAATGGTGTCCTACTAATTGTCATTTTGGAGGTCATCTATCTCCTCCACACAGATGAATCAACATAACACACCACACAAATGGTCCAAAAGACCTTGACTTTGAACATTTCTAACTTCTTCGTCTTACATTTTTCGGGAATTTAGTTGATTAGATTCGTAAGTCCATACTCTCGAAATATCTTTAAAACTGAATGATCTTTTACTTCTTCCCATCAAAGTCAAAACGCTCAAGATACTCAATGGGCATAGCAAGAACATATTTACTCGTGTTCTTGCTTTTTCTATCACCAAACGCTTTTAAAAGTTCCGTTCTTGATGATATGGCAACGACAAAATTCACTTTCCGAGGCTTCAAAGGAAACCAAACCGAAATTCAAACAGAAGGAGCTGCGGAAATCCAGAGCAGCGATGGTCTACTTAGACTAACTGATCGGAACCACAACGTCACCGGAACAGCGTTTTACCGCAAACCGGTTAGATTACGTGACCGGTCGCAAACCAATTCAACCAATTCATCCGCAGTCAAAATATGTTCATTTAGCACTTCTTTCGTCTTCGTTATAATCCCTTCCAGTCCCGGAAACGGCGGGTTTGGCTTCACATTCACACTCTCTCCGACCCCAAATCGTCCCCGAGCCGAATCTGCTCAGTATCTGGGGCTTTTGAACAGCTCCAACAACGGGAATACATCTAACCACGTGTTCGCTGTGGAATTCGACACGGTGCAAGGATTTAAAGACGGCGCCGACAGAAGAGGAAACCACGTCGGTCTTAATTTCAACAATCTCTCCTCCGATGTGCAAGAGCCACTCAGCTATCACGACACCGATGACCGGAAAGAAGATTTCGAGCTCGAGAGCGGCGAATCAATCCGAGCTAACATCGATTACGACGGACCCAGCGGAACATTGAACGTGACCGTCTATCCGACGCGGTTAAGGTTCAAACCCACGAAGCCGATGATCTCGCGACAGATCTCGAATTTATCGGAGATCGTGGAGGAAGAAATGTACGTCGGATTCACCGCCGCGACGGGGAAAGGCCAGTCGAGTGCTCACTATGTGATGGGTTGGAGTTTCGCTAGCTGTGGAGAAAATCCAGTGGCGGATCCGCTCGAGATCTCGGACCTTCCTCCGGCGCCGCCGAATACAAGCCTGAGTAACAAAAAACGTTACGGTTCTCAAGTCATCGCTTTGATCGTATCGTTATCGATCGTCACATTGTTCCTGCTTGTGTTGCTTTTTCTATTTATCATGTACAAAAGGCAAATCGAGGAAGGAGAGATACTAGAGGATTGGGAATTCGATTACCCTCGTAGATTCAGTTACAGAGATCTCTACTTAGCGACGGGGAGATTCAAAGAGAGCGAGATCATCGGCGCCGGAGGATTCGGAGTCGTGTACAGAGGAAATCTACCTTCTTCGGGCCCAATCGCAGTGAAGAAGATAACTCCACATAGCCTACAAGGTGTTCGAGAATTTGTCGCAGAGATCGAGAGTTTAGGGAGATTGAGTCATAAGAACCTCGTGAATCTTCAAGGATGGTGCAAACACAAAAACCACCTCTTGCTGATTTACGATTACATCTCCAACGGAAGCCTTGACTCGCTGCTCTACACAACGCCGCGACAAACCGGCGTCGTTTTGCCGTGGGACGAGCGATTCCAGATTATAAAGGGAATCGCGTCGGGGTTGCTGTATTTACACGAAGAATGGGAACAGATCGTGATTCATAGAGATGTGAAGGCGAGCAATGTGCTCGTGGATGCGGAGATGAACGCGAAATTAGGCGATTTCGGGCTCGCGAGGCTTTACGAACGCGGAACGCAGTCGCAGACCACGAAAGTCGTTGGGACTTTGGGATACATGGCACCTGAGCTCACGCGAAACGGCAAAGGCTCGACCGCGTCTGACGTTTTCGCGTTTGGCGTTTTGTTGTTGGAAATCGTTTCTGGGAGAAGACCAACGGACACGGAGAACTTCTTCTTGGCTGATTGGGTTATGGAGTTTCACTCGAATGGTGGAATCCTTCGCGCCGTGGATCAGAAACTCGGGTCTAGTTTCAATGGCAGAGAGGCGAAGTTAGTGCTCGTTGTGGGATTGCTCTGTTGCCATCAGAAACCAACGTCACGTCCAACGATGAGAAACGTGATTAGGTATTTGAACGGCGATGAGGATGTTCCACAGATTGATGGAAACTTGGGATTCTCGGATTCTTCGAGAGATTATCTAAGAACGAATGTTGTAGGAAATGTTTCATCTGATAGAGCCTCAAGCTCGAACACTTTTTCTTATTTATCGGAGGTTTCTTCGAGTTCGCTCTCTAATGGTAGGTAGTTATTAGTTAATACTTAACAATAATCCATAGAAATTGAGCATAGTTTGTTTGTTGTAATTGTAAACAGTGGATTATTTTGATAGTTTTATGGTCTTGAATGCTTTAGTGTTACCGTTAGGTGTGACGTAGTCTTACATGTTTTGAAAAATGTGTGGAAAAAAAAACAATGATTGAAATTTTTTTTGAATGATGAACTACTTATTTTAGTTTGGATAATTCTCCGAGAACTATTGGTTATTACTATTAAAAATGTAGTTGGTGTAAAAAGAAAAATATTTTTTTTCTTTCTTTTCTTTCTGATTGCTATTTGTAATTTACAACTTTTTGATATAATACTTGCTATTAGTATTTTTTTAAACCACGAAAATATGTTATGTAAGAAGGTAAAAAACTAAAAATACATAGTAATCTAATTAGTTCTGTAATAATATACATTAGGTGTAATCTTTGTTGTGCACTCTTAAAAACAAAAGCACAATAATTTGTGGGGAAAAGAACATACAATAATACATATATATATATGAATAACTGAATACAAACAAAGGCTAGACAATCAGATTCCTAAGTATGATGGATGACCCCTCTTGAAGACCTTAATGTCATTTTAAGAAAAAGAAAGAAGTGTGTACGTGGACGGATATAGATGGATCCATGAATGAGAAGATACAGTTTTATTATACATAAGAAAATAAAAATAGAGAAGATACAAAATCGACATCGACAAAAGATAAGATTAACATTTAGGTCAGTTCCAGTTTACATACGTAACTCTTTGATTGGATCATTTAGAGCAATTTCAAGTAAGCAGCAAAATAGAAATATAGAAATAGTGTTTGTCCAATTATTTGAATCAACGATTCCAAATTGCTATGATATGGACCCTTGTTTCAAGCAAAAAAAAAATGATATGATTGGAATGGTAGGTTGATGGTTTCACTTTCATAAAAGAACGACAAATGAACTAAGAATCTATGACTCAGTTTGTGTCCAGGTTCATGATGTGTTATGTGTATATATATAAACGTGTATTGAAAGAACTAAGAAGCGTAAATTATTTGAAACTGATTAGAGCTAGAAGCAATTATTGTTTTTTTTTCGTAACAACAAAACATGAACTTGGGGTCCCCAATTCACAAATTTGGAATGTCATAGAATTCGCCACTAGGCAAAGATTCACTCGGTGATTCAATTGTTTTGTTTTTGGGATAAGCGTGTTTACTGTGCATCTTGTTTTGTAGAGGTAGAACCATTCATCTAGAATTCTAGACTGTCACTATCCTACAAGTTAAGTACGCCAACCAAATTAACAACATTACAATAATCCCCCGTGACATATTGTCCATGGTTGGATTGGTGTGTTTACTTGCTCGTCTTATCTATGATTACATAGGTTACCTAATAAGTGTGATTTTAAAGTATTATTTTCATATTATAGCAAGTTTCTTATCAATAGTCTAGTCTAGGTTATAATTAGGTGAGATATACGTAAGTTCGATATAAAACTGGGACTATTAACATTACTTTATAAGAAACAAAAAACATTATGTACAAAACGGATACGCTTCCACTGATAATAGTTTACTGATTTCATGCCTTTTTATAGACCAGCCAGTTCTGTTATACTAAACTCTACATATAAGTGATATAACTTCCTTGTTTCTCTCTCTCTTCTTCAAAAGATTACCGGCGACATTTTAACGGCGGTGAAAAGATGAGGAGGTCGACCGCGGTTAACACATTACTGAAACGGAACTATTTTCTTCTCCAACGTCGACATGGCGTCTCCCAGACAGTAGCTCAAAGAACAAACTCCGTTCACGAGACCGAGACCAAAATTCCGGAAATTCCCCCGTTCAATTATTCTCCGGCGCCTTACGACGGTCCTTCCACCGCAGAGATCATCGCAAAGCGGCGAGAGTTCCTCAGCCCCGCTCTGTTCCACTTCTACAATACTCCCGTACAAAACGACGCCGCTTTTCATTTTTCCCCTTTAAAACGACGCCGTTTGCTCACTGATGGTTTTCTTGATGATGAAAACAGTTAAACATTGTGGAGGGAAAGATGCAGTATGTGTTCGACGAGACAGGTCGGCGATACTTAGATGCCTTCGGAGGAATAGCGACGGTTTCGTGCGGCCATAGCCACCCGGAAATAGTTAACTCCGTCATCAAACAGTTAAAACTTATTCAACACTCCACCATCCTTTACCTTAATCACACCATCTCTGATTTCGCTGAAGCTCTCGTCTCCACTCTTCCTGGAGATCTCAAGGTAAAAATAAAAAAACAACTATTAAGAAAAAAATTCTACTGGCGTTGATAGATGACTTGACCGGCAAGGCAAAAGGAACTTAGGTCACATATACCTGTGTGTGTGCCAGGTGGTGTTTTTCACTAATTCCGGTACGGAGGCGAATGAGCTGGCAATGATGATGGCTAAGCTGTACACGGGATGTAACGACATCGTTTCGCTTAGGAACTCTTACCATGGAAACGCATCTGCAACTATGGGAGCCACTGCTCAGTCTAACTGGAAATTCAACGTCGTTCAGGTTGGTTATGTTATGACTTATGAATAGTCTGTCTTTTAAACTGGAATATATTATTAGACAGTAAATTTCTAAGGCATCAACTTTGTTTTTAACAGAGTGGAGTCCACCACGCTACAAATCCAGATCCCTACAGAGGAATATTCGGATCGGACGGTGAAAAGTACGCGAGAGACGTACACGACCTTATCCAATTCGGTACTTCTGGTCAAGTCGCCGGTTTCATCGGCGAATCTATCCAGGCAAGATTAAATTTGTAGTTTTGTGGGTGCTTATGTATGGATATTAATCATGTTTGTCGAGATGGTGAATTAACAGGGAGTTGGAGGGATCGTAGAGCTTGCTCCGGGATACTTACCGGCCGTGTACGACACCGTGAGGAGAGCCGGAGGAGTTTGCATCGCCGATGAAGTCCAATCCGGTTTTGCTCGTACCGGAACCAATTTCTGGGGATTCCAATCTCATGGTGTCGTACCGGACATCGTCACCATGGCCAAGGTAATCACTAACCGTGAATCGTGCATTTGGTTACGATCATCGATTGATTTCTATAATCTGAATTTTGGTTACGTTCACAGGGGATCGGGAACGGCATCCCGCTTGGAGCGGTTGTGACAACACCGGAGATCGCCGGCGTTTTAAGCCGCCGGAGTTATTTCAATACTTTCGGAGGAAACCCAATGTGCACTGCCGCGGGACACGCGGTTCTGAGAGTCATTCACGAGGAGAAGCTCCAAGACAACGCTTTCCACGTTGGCTCACATCTCAAACGCAGACTTACACAACTCAAAGATAAACACGAACGTGAGTTCTTGTCCAAATTAAAGACAACTTCTTTGTTTGTTTGTTTGTTTGAAATATTCTCTTTTCTCTTATTATGTGCTTAGTCATCGGAGACGTGAGAGGAAGAGGATTGATGCTCGGAGTTGAGTTTGTCATAGACCGTGACTTAAAAACTCCTGCTAAAACAGAGACTCTTCATTTAATGGATCAAATGAAAGGTTAGATTACATTTATTTGTTCATCCTAAACCAAACCGATCCGAATCAAACCACAAAAACTCGATCCAAACAATATAAAGTATAAACCGAGTCTTTACGTTTGGTTAAAACTTAAAAGTTAAAACAGTTTTGAACCACCCGAAAAGTTAAATTCCTTCAAGCATTTAAATACTACCATTATAAACCAAATCCAAAAACCGGATCAACCATTTAATATACTACCATAGTATATTTGCTTACCCGTACCTTGTCTGAAACTATACTTATGCATTTTAATATGAATATTTTGCTATAAAGAAATGGGAGTGTTGGTGGGGAAAGGTGGATTCTACGGGAACGTCTTCAGAATCACTCCTCCTCTCTGCTTCACCGTCTCTGACGCCGGTTAGCTCCAAAGACTATTCTTCTACTTAAAGACCTGTTCAAATTGAACTCCTTCAATTCCGACCCTGTTCGTTGAGCATAACTATGTTTTTTTTTAATCCTTTGTTTTTGTAGATTTCCTTGTGGATGTGATGGATCACGCCATGTCGAAGATGTGACTAGTTTACTCTCTTTTGTGATATCTCCCATGATCATTCACCATCGTGTGTGTATATATAAATAAATAACACAAAAATCAGGGAATGTAATTACGATATTTCGATTAGTTTTTATCCAAATATATAACATAATAACCTATAAATCAAACAAGTCGCTGCTTTATATCTTGGAAGATGCACAAATGTCAAATATATACATGTATGATCTGAAATTCCGAGTCTTGAGTAAAATTTCAATCATAAACCTGTGTGACGAAGCGGTTGGTCATGAAAGGCGTGGTAGTGGTCTGTGCGGCGTAGTGGGAAGGCGACGACTGGAGAGCTGTCATGATCGCTGAGGTTAGACCCATTAGCATGAAGATGAGTTCTTCAAGTATTCTCAGTGTCTTCCTCATCGAAATGCTGTGTGTTTTTATCGATTGCCGAAGTTTAAGAGAGAGAGAGGTGTGATATTTTCTGCTGACTTTTGATATGGTCTTCGATCTTATTCAGACAAATCAAGTGTTCACTTGATATTTAAAAAAACAAGAGGAAGTGTTCACTTGATATTTAAAAAAATAAGAGGAAGTGTTCACTTGATGTTCATGTCCAACCGTGTACGCACGCGGGTTTACGCCGGTTTTCCCAATTATAAGTAGTTATTTTGACATATAAAATAAATAAATAATTTTTTAATAATGTTATATATATATATATATATTTTTTTTTTTTTCTATTTGTGAAGTGGATGGCAAATTAAAATTATGCTTTTTTTGGTTGGTAACAATTTAGTTTATAAAGGCCTATGTTTTTGTTTAGACACTAGCTAGATTCTGCAAATTTGGTACGGTCCATTGACTTTTGTATGTTTTAGTGTGACTTTGACGTTGTATAAGTGAGTTTATTCTTAGAACTTATATAAGCCGGACTAGCCCTTAATTAAATAATTGCTTTGGCTCTTCGATTATCTTCTTTTATGCAAATCAAAGTAGCTATGTTTTAATAACACAAATGAACATTTGGAGACCTCCCCCGTAATACTACGATTGTATTTGATTGTATCATCTAAATATGATTGTATGTAGACCTCTAGTGAAAACATCTAAATATGATTGTATTTGATTGTAAACTTTAGATAACATGTAGATTTCCGAAATCGATGCCTCAATCTTCTAAAATTCAATACCAAAGGCTTTAGCCACTTGGATCCAACAGCGAACTTAATTTAACCTTAAATAAGATTCTGAAGAAAGGTAACTTATGAGTCGGAACAAGCAACCGAAGCATGTACAATTGAAGCTTAGGAAAAAAACTACAATAGGCATAAACGGGAGATGTATACTGGCCATCGGGAAGCCTCATAAGTTATAGTTGGGATGTTTGAAGTAACTTGATTTGTCCGGAAATAAATCCATCACAATATCACATCGGTAAAATCAAGGATGTTATTCTTTAATTAATACTTAGCTAGACAAAAGGAGATAAGCGAAAGCAAAACCAAGAAAAAAGATGTGTGAAAGCAAAACCAAGAAAAATAAAAAAATGTAAAATTCGAGACTAGCTTGATTAAAAGTTCAATCATAAACCTGTGTGGCCAAGCGGTTGGTCATTAAAGGCGAGGTAGTGGTCCGTGGGGCGGAGTAGGAAGGCGACGACCGGAGAGCTGTCATGATCGCTGAGGCTAGACCCTTCAGCACGACGATGAGTTCTTCAAGTATTCTCTGTGTCTTCCTTATCATCGAAATGCTGTGTGTTTTTATCGATTGCCGAAGTTTAAGAGAGAGAGAGAGAGAGAGAGGTGTGATATTTTCTGCTGACTTTTAATATGGTCTTCGATGTTATTCAGACAAATCAAGTGTTCACTTGATATTAAAAAAAGACAAAAACGAAGTGTTCACTTGATTTCATGTCCATTATTTAATTTTAATGGGACAGTTGCAAATGAAACCTGAAATTTTAATCAAAATGGAACTTTAATCCAATCATTTTTTTTATAAGAAGCAAGTTTAATTTCAAATTTCAAATTTCAATAGTTTAAGAAGTTTGAACTTTGCTCAAAAGAAAAAAGAACTTTGAACTTTGAGGTTGAGAGAGTGTTCGAAACGTGTCAAGAAGAAAAGGTGTGAGTAATGCATTTTACATCACTGGCAATTTAAAGATTCTTAACAGCATTTGTGGTAGAAAATTTCATTATGAAGACAAATGTTCATACACTGGCATTTTTCAGAATCTAACATTTTTGGCAAGTTTTCGTATTTTGAATTTCAAGTTCAAGATTCCAGATTGCAAATTTTGTTTTGTTCCACATTGCAATTGCATCTTTGATTACTTTGTTTTTTTCTGTCGATAAAGAAACTCTTTTTTCCCCGTAAAAATGCATACAAATACTTTCATATATATCATAGCATTAATTCTAATTTTTGATTAGAAACTTGAAATGTGTTACATAAATTTGACTCGATTTCATCTCAAGAGGGTAAAACTAAAAACGGAAAGGAGAAAAAGAATGAGGGAGAAGTGGAAAGAAAACGCAATGCATTGAAGACTTTCCCTTTGTCTCTCTCTTGACAAAATCCCAATTTTCGCTTCCTCACACTTTCTCCTGCCTTTTTCTCTTCTGCCGCCATCACCACCTCCACCACCACCACCACCACCACTGTTTACGCGCCTCCGCACCAATCGCTGTCGTCGCCGTCATCGTTAGACATCCCTTCTCCGGATTCCTAGGGTTTCCGCTGCCGCTTCTCTGTTCATCTGAAGGTTCGTCGAGCTGGATTTTCTGCTTCTGCGCCGCTGGTGCAGCGGCTTTGTCGATTGATCTGGCGTTCTCCTTCTTCCGTTCTATTTTATTTCCATTTCTCGCCCAATCCGAACAACAAGCTAGGGCGGAGCAATTGATTTGAGGGATTCCGGGTTCGGGCGTGTTCTCCGATTTGGATGGCATTGGGAGACTTAATGGTGTCTCGGTTCTCGCAATCTTCCGTCTCTTTGGTCTCCAATCACCGCTACGACGACGACTGTGTCTCCAGTCACGGCGACGGTGATTCGTCAATCCCCTCGCGGAGCAAGGATTCCGAGGCTACGAGCAGTATCTACGGAAATGGCACAACGGAGAGAGCCGCCACCGCCACCAGCATGGCCTACTTGCCTCAGACTATCGTGCTCTGCGAGCTTAGACACGACGCCTCTGAGGCTTCTGCTCTCTTGGGGACTTCCGAGAGCTTAATCCCGGCCCCCAAATGGCGGCTTAAAGAGCGAGTAAGTTTGCAATCGAACATTGTTAGCTCTAAGTATGGTTGAAATAACTTCTGGGTTTAGTGCAATTGAGGATGGAAGAGAAGCATAGAACAACTACATTATCTAGAATTCATGATACAATCGGTTATTGTTTCTTACTAAGTTGGGTTTGATTTTGGAGATAAACCTTAATGACACAAAAGTTCAAAAATTGGCACCAAGATACACGTTTTCACTTAAATCCCAATGTCTGTTCAGAAACATTAAAATTTCCGAGCGTAAGCTAAATCAGGCTTTATTCGATCTGTTTGCTAGAGGAATTCTCGCAAATCTCATGTTCTTTGCTGACTTTTAGTTCTTGGTATTTGCAGATGAAAACAGGATGCGTAGCTCTAGTTCTTTGTTTGAACATTACTGTTGATCCGCCGGATGTTATAAAGATATCTCCGTGTGCTAGAATCGAGGCTTGGATAGGTTGAAACTTTGGCCAACTCTTTCTTTTGTGTGATTATCCTTTTCATTTGTTGCCACAATCAATTTTTTTTCTCTCTTTTATTTGATGGCAGACCCATTCTCCATGGCTCCGCCAAAAGCACTCGAGACTATTGGAAAAAATTTGAGTACTCAGTATGAGAGATGGCAACCAAGGGTTAGTATTTATTTCCTTGCACCTTATCGTTGTTCTTTTGTCAAGTTACGTTTTTCATTTTTAGTTATAATCTCTCAGGCCCGCTATAAGGTTCAGTTAGATCCGACGGTAGACGAGGTCAGGAAGCTGTGCTTGACTTGTCGGAAATATGCAAAGACGGAGAGAGTTCTATTCCATTATAATGGGCATGGTGTGCCAAAGCCTACAGCTAATGGTGAAATTTGGGTATTCAACAAGGTCGGTTTTTTGCTAGCTTTCTTTTCTCTACCATGTTCTTGTTCCTTTTCATCTGTTACCAACGTACTGATTGATGCTGTGTTTGAGCAGAGTTATACGCAGTACATTCCATTGCCAATCAGTGAGCTCGATTCCTGGTTGAAGACACCGTCCATCTACGTTTTTGACTGCTCTGCGGCTAGGATGATTCTTAATGCCTTTGCTGAGGTAAGGGAAACAACCACTTTACTCATGTAAAACATCCTCCTGTCGAGTTTAAGACTTGATTCTGCAATTGGTGCTCCATAAGTTGATGAAATTCATTTATTCTTTATGGTAGCTTCATGATTGGGGTTCTTCTGGTTCCTCTGGATCCTCAAGGGACTGCATTCTACTTGCTGCTTGTGATGTACATGAGACACTTCCTCAGAGCGTTGAATTTCCAGCTGATGTTTTTACTTCTTGCCTCACAACACCCATTAAAATGGCGTTGAAATGGTAAACCCCTCTTTTCATCTCTGATTTTTTTTTTTTTTTGGCGTATTCAGATGTCATCTTTCTTCCTACAAAACGTTCTTTGAGTTCCATCAAAGTACCTTATAGAATATTAGTTAGAAGGTTCTTGCTTCATCATGGGTAAGATCAGAACTATATGATATTAGTTAGAAGACCTTCTGCATTTGTTTTAGTTTTGTGGGGTGAGTAAAGTAGAATATTGAGAGTTGCGAAATAATCATGACTGATAATTACCTATAGCTGTCATATTGCTTTTCTATTGGTCGCTAAATATTTCTGAAGAGACCATAGGAGTCATGATGTTATCATGTTATCTTGACTAATAGCCTTCTCCTCCGATGGTACTTATTTCTATAACTCATTGCTACTGAGGTTGTGCAGTTTCAGTTCTAGGCTCCTTTTTAACCTTTTACTGTTAAATGGAATACTACTATATGCTGAATGCGTTTGATTTAAGTCCATACGGAACTATGCAGTTCAGTTAAGCTTGCAGCTTTCACACAAGAGGGTTTCCATTGCAGGTTCTGCAGGCGTTCTCTTCTGAAAGAAATCATCGATGAATCACTTATTGACAGGATTCCAGGCCGCCAAAATGACCGTAAGACATTGTTAGGAGAGTTGAACTGGATTTTCACAGCAGTGACGGATACAATTGCATGGAATGTGCTTCCTCATGGTATTTGTGCAAAAATTTTGCATGCTGTATTATGGCCAAACCTCTTTAGCCTGACTTGTTTGTAGTTCTTTGTCCCTCTTCACGAAAGTTAGTTTTACCATGCAGAACTTTTCCAGAGATTATTCAGACAGGATTTGTTGGTCGCTAGCCTTTTCCGGAATTTCTTACTTGCTGAGAGAATAATGCGGTCTGCAAATTGTAATCCAATATCGCACCCTATGCTGCCTCCTACACATCAACATCATATGTGGTATTCAATAAGAACCCTATTCTTCTGTTAGACAAAAATTTATGTGTCTAGAATTTTCCTCAGCTAGTTGTTGCATGCTTTTTAGGGATGCATGGGACATGGCTGCTGAAATCTGCCTTTCTCACCTTCCCCAACTTGTTCTGGACCCAAACGCAGAGTTCCAGGTTTGTTTTGTCTTATATAGTTTCCTCGAAATTGTATAAGAGGGCGCCTGTCTTGATGATAATACTTGTTCCTTTCCGTTTTCTAGCCAAGTCCATTTTTTACTGAGCAACTGACGGCTTTTGAGGTGTGGCTTGATCATGGTTCTGAGCATAAGAAGCCACCAGAGCAGTTGCCGATTGTTCTTCAGGTGCAACCTAATTTTTTGTACTCATTTCCATTTTAGTTGTGAGAGAGAGAGAGCCATATTTATTTCTCATTCGCACACCTGCCTTTGTGTGGATTTGACTTAGGGGACATTGTTTGGCTTCTTTCTGGACGTAACATCATAGATTTGTTAGCATCTTACTATTTTAGCGAATTTATAGACACTGTTTATCTTCAGGTGTTACTTAGCCAGTGCCATCGGTTTCGTGCTCTTGTACTTCTTGGAAGATTTCTTGATATGGGTTCATGGGCTGTGGATCTGGTATACTTCTAAATTTGAACTCCCTTTCCCTTTTTAGTTTTTACCCATAGTTCTTCTGGTTATTGTGTATGTCTTAACACTTGAATTGAAATTTCTTTCAGGCTTTGTCTGTTGGAATATTCCCATATGTGCTGAAGCTTCTGCAAACAACAACGAATGAGCTAAGACAGATCCTTGTTTTCATATGGACAAAAATTCTTGCACTTGATAAGGTAAATATTGACGTTTAATGAGCAATTTTCTGGGAGGACGATGGCGGTTTCTCATGCCTCTGCTTGCTATATTACAAATTTGTGCTAGATCCTATTGTGGCTATCTTCATAGTGTACCTTATTGAAAAGATAATATGTTTTTTTTTTCATCTAATTCCGACATGAATGCTGGATGCCTTAAATCTACAATCCGATATTTCTCTGCATGTTTTATATCATATCCTGGGACATCGGTTCATGTTGCTCATTTCTCCAGCCATCATACTCTTGTGTTGCTTAAGCGTTCTCGTTTCAGTCTTTGGATTATTCCAACATTGACTGGTTCTCTCTCTTTGTTTTCAGTCATGTCAAATTGATCTTGTGAAGGATGGGGGTCATACATATTTCATAAGATTTCTAGATAGCTCGGGTGCGTTTCCAGAACAACGAGCGATGGCTGCTTTTGTTCTGGCTGTCATTGTGGACGGACACCGACGAGGCCAGGAAGCATGTCTTGAAGCTAATTTAATTGGTGTTTGTCTGGGTCACCTCGAAGCATCCAGACCAAGTGATCCACAGCCAGAACCATTGTTTTTACAATGGCTTTGTCTTTGTCTTGGAAAGTTGTGGGAAGATTTTATGGAGGCCCAAATAACGGGTAGGGAGGCCAATGCTTTTGAAAAGTTGGCACCTCTGCTTTCCGAGCCCCAACCTGAGGTGAAGCTCAGATTTCTGTATAACGTCCTTCGTGTAACAGTGTGATTTCTGACCGAAACACTCTCTTGCAGGTTAGGGCTGCTGCTGTTTTTGCCCTGGGTACCTTACTTGATATTGGGTATGACTCTAGTAAAAGTGTTGTGGAGGATGAATTTGATGATGATGAAAAGATTAGAGCTGAAGACGCTATCATTAAAAGTCTCTTAGATGTAGTTTCAGATGGCAGTCCACTTGTCCGAGCAGAGGTTGCTGTAGGTACGCAAAGCATGCAACTCTTGAACATTCATGATCGTGGGGCTATGGGTTACTAGTTGTCATTTAATTCGAAGTAAAAAATTCTAACCTAATGAGATTATTTTAATTAGATGCGTCTCTAACACTTTATCTACTGACTTATTACTTGCTGAACATAATAAGATGAGTTCCAAATTACACTAGACATCCAAATATATTTGCTGCGTTTAGTTGGAGAAACCGGTAGTTGATAACTCAATACAACCTTGGAATCATGTTGTCCCTCGTTTAGAGAGTTCATATGTAGTTTTGTGCATTGCCAAATGTCTGTCTTTGTTCCTTCTGCACATTTCAAAGCGTTTGCTTACTTTTATTTTTTTCCTATTTGATCCCCAAGTCTATCTGCTGTTGATATCTCTACAGCTCTTGCACGTTTTGCTTTTGGCCACAAACAACACCTAAAGTTAGCTGCAGCTTCATATTGGAAGCCTCAGTCAGGTTCTTTGCTTACTTCACTCCCTTCAATAGCTAAATTCCACGATGCTGGGAGTGCAACAATTGTTTCGATGCACATGAGTCCTCTTACTAGAGCTAGCACTGATAGCCAACCAGTGGCTCGTGAAGCTAGGATCTCTAGCAGTCCTCTTGGCTCGTCTGGGCTAATGCATGGATCTCCGTTATCTGATGATTCTTCGTTACATTCTGATTCTGGAATCATGCATGATAGTGTCAGCAATGGAGCTGTCCATCAGCAAAGACTATTGGATAATGCTGTTTATTCGCAGTGCGTTCGAGCTATGTTTGCATTAGCTAAGGATCCATCTCCACGTATTGCAAGTCTCGGGCGGCGTGTGCTTTCAATTATTGGAATTGAACAAGTTGTTGCGAAACCCTCTAAGCCCACTGGCCGACCAGGGGAGGCTGCAACAACATCTCACACTCCTCTTGCCGGCCTAGCTCGCTCATCCTCATGGTTTGATATGCATGCAGGTAGCTGTTGATAAAATGTTTTATGATCATTACTTTATGTGAAAATTTTAAAAGCTTATCAGATGGCTGTCCTTTATCCAGTGTTTGTGAGTTTTGATCTTTCACTGTTTGATGACAGGTAATCTACCCTTAAGTTTTAGGACTCCGCCGGTCAGCCCTCCTAGAGCAAACTATCTAAGTGGACTGAGGAGAGTTTGTTCGTTAGAGTTCAGGCCTCATCTAACAAGTTCACCAGACTCAGGTTTGGCTGATCCGTTTTTAGCCGCCACTGGATCTGAACGGAGTTTGCTTCCGCTATCTACTATCTACAACTGGAGTTGTGGCCACTTTTCTAAACCGCTTCTTGGTGGGGCGGATGCTAGTCAAGAGATAGTTACCAAAAGAGAAGAGAAAGAAAAATTCGCTCTTGAGCATATTGCAAAATGCCAGCACTCATGTAAATAGTTTTCGTCTGTTATTCCTGGTTTATTCTATACCTTTACTGGTCACTTGAATTGACTTGCATCATTTCACCTTGACCAGCTATTAGCAAGCTCAACAATAATCCTATTGCCAACTGGGATACGAGGTTTGAGACGGGAACAAAGACAGCTCTCCTTCACCCTTTCTCTCCTATTGTAGTTGCTGCAGACGAGAATGAACGGATCAGGTATGCAAGTTTGTTCAGGGCATAGCTATAATTTGGATCTTAGATCAAGTTCATGCGTTCAGGTTGACTCTCTCTTAGGCAAATGACAGTCTAGTTCCCCCTAAAAATAAAGCTATGATTATGATATGTAGCTTAGATTTCTCTGTTTAGTATCATCATTTAGAGAACTAAAATTTGATAATTTCTGTTGTGACATTATTTTTTTATTGATATGCCTCTACTGCGTTAAGTATTTACTGTATTTTTCTCTCAGAGTGTGGAACTACGAGGAAGCAACTCTTCTCAATGGCTTTGAAAATCATGATTTTCCTGACAAAGGAATTTCAAAGCTTTGCCTCATCAATGAGCTTGACGACTCTTTGCTACTTGTTGCATCATGTAATATTCACAACTCTTGTCACCAAGTCTTTCAGATGCTTGCCAATTGATTGATTATAACGGCTGAGAAATGGTATTTATGTCTTACACGAGCTTTTTGGAATGTTCGGGTAGGTGATGGATCGGTCCGGATATGGAAAAACTACGCAACAAAGGGTAAACAAAAGCTTGTTACAGGATTTTCTTCAATCCAGGGTCAGAAGCCCGGTGCACGTGACTTAAATGCTGTCGTGGACTGGCAACAACAGTCTGGTTACCTGGTTTGTGATTTTCTCAATGACGCTATGCAGTGTTTCTTCTTTTGATTTCCAAGTTACGAAACCTGGCTTATTGTTGTTTGACAGTATGCTTCTGGGGAGGTGTCAACAGTCACACTGTGGGACCTGGAGAAAGAACAACTTGTCAGATCTATTCCCTCTGAGTCAGAGTGCGGAGTTACAGCACTTGTAAGTCTGTATGAATAACCTTCTTCTTTATAAAATATAAACACTCTAGAATGTCATGATTTGCTATCGATCCATTCCACTTCTTTTTGTTTGTACCGGAAGTTCATGGTTATCCTGCTTTTCCTTGGCCAAAGATCTTAACATCATCTAAAAGAATGTGAGGCTGGTATTAATAGTTACTCTGAGAGTAATGTAGCCATGCGCTCGTTGATTGTCTGTTGGGCTGATCTTAGGTTATAATATGAAAACGAATTATGCAAGTTTGTTAGTTCGTAGCAAATGGTTGTTCAAACTTAGAATGAGCAAGAAGAAACTAACAACAATACCTCTAGATAGTCTCTTAAAAATACAAAACACGGGAATTTTGCTTACGGTATGCTATCTTTGTAGTCGGCTTCTCAAGTGCACGGAGGTCAACTAGCTGCTGGTTTCGCCGATGGATCTTTGAGACTTTATGATGTTCGGTCACCTGAACCGTAAGTTGCTTTATACTTTATAGTAAATTCTTGAACAGTGAATTAGAACAAGAACTCCCCAATTATAATGAATTGACGACACCAAAATGGATTTTGATACATTGATTGATATCATTTCTCGTATTGAAGGCTTGTCTGCGCGACTCGGCCTCATCAGAAAGTTGAAAAAGTGGTTGGTCTCAGTTTTCAGCCTGGACTTGATCCTGCAAAGGTTTCAAGCTAAAACCCATTTTCAAAAGCTCTTCAATTCTTTGTCGCTTTCCCGAAGCCAATATCTGTTTTTTTTTTTTATTTTTTTATTGTTTCAGGTGGTGAGTGCATCACAGGCCGGTGATATACAGTTCCTTGACCTTAGAACAACAAGGGACACATACCTGACGATTGATGCACACAGGGGTTCACTCACGGCCTTAGCTGTTCACAGACACGCTCCAATCATCGCGAGCGGATCTGCAAAACAGCTTATCAAAGTGTTTAGCCTTGAGGGAGAACAACTAGGGATAATCCGCTACTACCCGTCCTTCATGGCACAGAAGATTGGTTCAGTGAGTTGCCTCACGTTTCATCCGTACCAGGTTCTGCTTGCAGCTGGAGCTGCTGACTCATTTGTCTCCGTATACACCCACGACAACTCGCAAGCAAGATGAGTCGCATAAAATGTTGCGTTTGGCATTTGCTCTTGTGATAAAAAGAAGAAGAAGAAGAAGAAGCAAGTATCAGTCCAGGTCGGGTCGGTTTTTGGAAAGTGGGTGTGGTTTATAGTATTCGTTAGCCTCCGTCGAAGCTAGAAAGAAGATCTAAGTTAACACTAATGAAGGAGGCTTCACCAAATAAGTTTTATATCTCTTCGTAATGCAACGCACGTAAATGTTGTCTGTAAATAGTCTCCCTGTTTTGCTTTTATTTTTCTCATGTATCTTTGGCCTTTGGGTGTGTGATTTCCTTTTCATTAATCTTTTTAAGTCTCTCTGTTTCCTAATTTGTTTCATGTGTAAAAAAATGGTAAAAGTAATGGTGGAAAAAAAATCTGCATTTTCGTGATATTCTTACAAGGATAATGCATTAGAAATTTGTGTAGTTATCACTTGTGTCTTTTTAGTTCAAGTGAATCTCGATTTGTCTTGCACTATCTTATTGTTTTTATGATTGCAACTGCTCATTGAGAGATCTAACCACACGTTAAGCAACTAGGTCCTTTTCTTATCACGCACTGATACGGTAGATTAACGACAACCACAAAGAGTGTTTATTCTTAATCCAGAGTCAAATCTTTGTCACGCATCAATGATCTAACTGGAAGTGTGAGGAATTTTGGTAACTCGGCCATTACATCTAAACTCTTTTGCAGACTTTGTTTTATGACCAAAATCGTTGAAGCACACGTGCTGTGTTGAAAAAGAAACATCAGCGTTTGGTAAAATTTCATTCTCTTTGCTCGATTTTCTCTTCTCCTTAGGAGAAATCTCTGATTTCCACCAAACACAGATTGCGAAATCCACCTCACTCTAAATAAAAACAGCCTCTTTCTCGTTTCATGGGTTTCTCATCTTTGCTTTGGCTTGCTCGATAGAACAATTTGTTTCCTCTCTCTCAATTCAATTTGCCATAGAAGCTTAGTGTCGGTTTGTGTAAGTTTTCTCCTTTTGCTAAGATTTGTGTCGATAACTCCATTTCATTGTCTGGTTTCACTGATGCATTAGAATCTGTAGACTTGTCATTATTTTTGTATTCGTATGGGTCAAAAGAGCAAAGGGTCTTGGCTTAGCTCCTAGTTTCGGCTCCTAATGGTACTACCGTACTAGAATCACATAGCTATCGATTTAGGCCTCTTCAATGTTGAAATGACAATCCTTTTATGTCTTGTTCGTTTTATGGGTTTATGGTAACTTGCTGTTCCATAGAGATTAACGAAATTGACATTGAAGCAAGTAGAAAATTAGTATTGACATTGCATCAAACTTACCGGAGTTTTTGGGGTTGCTTTAGCTTCTTTCTCCGGTTCGTTCTTGCTACTTGCGGTTGTGACGCTCTCTGGCAATGAGGTCTTGGTCTTGTTCGTTCTGGAACATAGCTTCACGACAAGCCATGAAAAGCGGAGCGTTTCTCGCGAAGACCTACTGCTTCCTCCATGTAACCACAAACTATCTCGGCTTTCCAACTTACGTGAGTCACATCAAATCATTTCTTCTCTTTGTTAATCTAAGTCAATCTCAATGTTGATTTCATCGATATGTCTCTCTTTTTTCTGTTTGAGCAGTGTTTTGGTCCGAGCATGGTCCCGACGCTTCATCCTTTGGGAAATATCTTACTGGCGGAACGAATCTCCGCGAGGTCTCAGAAACTGAGTCGTGGAGATATCGTTGTGTTTCAATCTCCAGAAGACCCTAACAAGACTCCGATCAAGAGAGTGATTGGAATTGAAGGAGATTGTATAAGCTTTGTCCTTGCTCCAGGGAACAAGGATCAATCAAAAACCATCGTGGTATATTGTCAATTAACCTTTTCTCCTTTCATCTTGCTTATGAATCAGATTCGAATATGCTTCATTCGAACCAAACTAGCTTCATTTTTTGGTGAAATTGGGTAAACAGAGTTGTTATCTTTTGATAATGTTGGTACTAACTAGAATGACAATTTGATCTCAAGTTTAGAGTCTTGTTAAGCTTTGAACTGTTTGTATCTGTGGAATTGATAATTAAGCAATGTAAATGCTATTATTATGAGCAGAAACAGTTTTCCTTTTGAATCTTCACATGAAAATGAGAAAGATGTTGCTTATGGCTGATTTGATCTGTTGACATTTCTATTGGTTTAGGTTCCTAAAGGACATGTTTGGGTGCAAGGTGACTATACTCATAACTCGAGAGACTCGAGAATGTTTGGTCCTATACCTTACGGTCTTGTTCAAGGCAAAGTGCTTTGGAGGGTATATAAGCTTATTCACTCCTTTCTGCGTTTCTAAACTGTCATTTCCATTTGTTTGGTAATCAATGTGGCTAAACTGTGGTATCAAATGATGTGTAGGTTTGGCCATTTCAAGATTTTGGACCGCTTGGACCGGCCCCAACTTGACAAGTATATGGTTAGTGGCACTAGTTAGCTTGGTCCTTCGGCCGATGGCTGAGGTGGTTTTGTTAGTCTGGTTTTCTCATTGTTAAGCCGAATTAGTACGGTTCATCAAGACATTAAAAGTAGCAAAAAGACCTTATAAGGATAGCGGTGGTTACTAGTTGGCGATCTGATACCTTGTAGTAAGTCTACTAGAGATTTATTATAAAACCTACATTGTAAATGATTTTTAAATGTTGTCTGTAAATAGTTTCCCTGTTTTGCTTTTATCTTCTCATGTACATCTTTGGGGTGTGTGCTTTCCTTTTCATTAATCTTTAAGTCTTTCCGTTTCCTAATTTGTTTCATGTGTAAAAAAATGGTAAAAGCAATGGTGGAAAAAAAAAAAAAATCTGCATTTTCGTGATATTATTACAAGGTTAATGCATTAGAAACTTGTGTGTTTCTTTTGTTCAAGTTTATCTCGATTTGTTTTATATCTAACCACACGTTAAGCAGCTAGGTCTTTTTCTTATCACGCACTGATACGGTAGATTAACGACAACCACAAAGAGTGTTTATCCTTAATCCAGAGTCAAAATCTTGGTCACACTCACATCTACGATCTAACTGGAAGTGTGAGGAATTTTGGTAACTCGGCGATTACATGCAAACTCTGTTTCTGTGACCAAAATCGCTGAGGCACAACACGTGCTGTGTCGAAAAAGAAACATCAACGTTTGTGCAAATGAAAATCCCCCGCGTGCAACGACGATTGCTTTTCGTTTCGAGAGTTCTTCTTCACGGATGATGTCTTTGTAGTTGTAGGGAAGGGGAATCAAAGCTTGTCTGTGAGAAATCTCTTAACGAAATGGCGTCAATGGCGATCGGCGTCAGCTTGTCGATGATTAGCGGCGTAATAGGCGGAGGAGACGATGTTACTCGAGCAACAATAAAAAAACTGAATCTGAATCAGAAGAAGTCACGGAGAGAGAGTAGACGCAGGTTTTTGGGGATGACCAAATTTCGAAGCTCCGGAGAAATACGAAGCGTCTTGAAGGCGGTCGGAGAGGAGGAGGAGAAGCAGACGGAGAATATGAGTAGGAATCTGAGAGTTGGACTCATTTGCGGAGGTCCGTCGGCGGAGCGCGGGATATCTCTCAACTCAGCTAGATCAGTCCTCGATCATATTCAGGTTTTTTCTCCTTTTACCATTTTGGATTAAATTTGGAAAAATCGGGATGTTTCGATTGTGTTGGTTGGATGGTTGTTTCAACAGGGTAACGGTATAAGCGTGAGGTGCTATTACATAGATGTTGATCTCAGAGCTTTTGCAATCTCCTCCGCCCAGGTTTGTTTGCTTTTTATACTCACACTCATCTCCACAAAAGTTTCTCTTGTATGCATGCATGTATCCATCTCTTTTTTTTTTGGTTTGTGGAAACTTTCAGTTGTACTCGAATACTCCGGCTGATTTTGATTTCAAGCTCGAGAGGTAAGTTATATATAATAAAGTATATACAAAGGATACTGAGACTCGGTCATGGGACAACAATAAGTTTGTTTGGTGTTGTAGTCTTGCAGAGAAATTCTCTTCATTAACAGAATTGGCGGAGCATCTTGTTACCGCGGTGGACATTGTATTCCCTGTTATTCATGGTCGATTTGGTGAAGATGGTGGTATTCAGGTGTTTTGATTTTGGGGGTCGTTATGAGTTGTAACTAATTACGTCACATAACCTTAGATTAAATTGATTAATGTTATGCAGGAGCTCCTGGAGAGTCATAACATTCCATTTGTTGGGACCGGAGCCGGTGAATGCGGCAGAGCCTTTGACAAGGTAAATTATCAGATATTGTTAGATATAGCTTAAGGATTAGTATAGTTCTGACTATTTTCATAGTGAACTAATTCCAGTATGAAGCCTCTTTGGAGCTCAAGGAACACGGGTTTATGTCAGTGCCAAATTACTTGGTGCAGGTAGTCTATTGTCTATCCAGTCTCTTTATTTGCATTAGACGTTCTGATTTGTTTCGTCTAGCTAAAGTGATATCTTTCTTGTTTAAAGGGAAGTGGAGTAGATGAAAGTGAAATAGCACAATGGTTTACAGATAACCAGCTGGACCTCGAGGTGGGAAAAGTCGTGGTAAAACCAGCTAGATCAGGATCAAGCATTGGTGTCAAGGTTGCTTTTGGCGTACATGATTCAATCAACAAGGCTATCCAACTTATTCTAGAGGTATCCGAGTGAGGAACTTGGAAATGAAACAATGTCAAAAAATCTATGTTCATTTAAGAGATTGCAGAGTTTGTTTGTTTTCTTCCCTTGTCTTTCAGGGAATTGATGATAGGGTTGTTGTGGAGGTGTTTATTGAAAATGCATATGAGTTCACTGCCATCGTCCTGGATGTTGGTTCTGGCTCTGTTTCCCATCCTGTTACGCTCTTGCCCTCTGAGGTAAATCACAGTTTCTCTTGTTTTCTTGAGTTTCACTGGTCCATAGATATATTTTCTCAACTGATATAAGTTCATACGTATCCAAATGCTTATGTGGTCAGGTGCAACTTCAGTTCCATGGAAGAAGTGATCCCAAGGAAGACGCCATCTTCGACTACCGGAGAAAATATCTGCCGACTCAACAGGTACTCATCAGAAACATGATTCATGGAGTCATACTTTCTTTCTGCTTTCCTCTCACAATGTGTTTTATTAAAAATTGAACAGGTCACTTATCACACTCCTCCTCGTTTCCCTCTCCATGTTATCAAAAGAATCCGTGAAGAGGCATCTCTTCTATTTCGAAAGCTAGGTCTTCGCGATTTTGCTCGTATAGATGGATGGTATTTGGCTCCCACTTCAAATTTATCATCATCTGCAAGTGAAACACTTGGAGGATGCAAGTCAGGGGATATTCTGCTCACGGACATCAACTTGGTCAGCCTATTGCAATCTTTTTGGCCTTAGAATGTACCTCGAGCTGTTATTTTTGTGACCTCGAATGAATATTATTACTATACTGCTTTTACAGATAAGTGGCATGGAGCAAACTAGCTTGCTCTTCCAACAGGCTTCAAAGGTAAATAAAAGATATGGTTATGTTAACAATGTGCTTCAAACTGATAAGTGATTCTTACATTCAGGTTGGGTTTTCTCATTCAAACATACTGCGAACTATCGTCCACCGAGCTTGCTCAAGGTTTCCACATCTTTCTTGGTATAATCATGGGTCTAGTGGTTCAACAACCCAGGAAAAATCCGGGGACGTCCAGAAAGTGTTTGTTATATTTGGAGGAGACACTTCAGAGCGGCAAGTCTCTGTCATGAGTGGAACAAATATTTTGCTCAATTTGCAAAGATTTGTCGATGTAAGTTGAAAATAAATGCATCAATGATGTCATTTTGAGGCCTAACATTTCCCTGACTCTGGTGATCTGGTTGTTTACAGCTTAAAGTAACTCCCTACCTGCTTTCCCCATCATGTTCAGACAAAACCGAATCTGATTTGGACAATAGACAAGTCTGGTTATTACCGTAAGTATAGAGAAGTCTAGCTACTGATAGATACAAACGTTGACCTCAAATACAATACCGCATTGATGTCCAGCTTATATAGAGTGGAACAACAGATTATGTCATGAAACTATTTTTAACTTTATTCAGTTTAATACCTTATCATTCCACATCAGCAAATATTTTATATTTCTTGTCAGATACTCTGTTTTGCTGAGGCACACTGTTGAGGAAATTCTTGCAGCGTGCTTGGAAGCAATCGAGCCTGATCGGGCTCTCTTTACATCTCTGCTTCAGAAGCAAGTGAGGGAGGATCTTATGGATGGTTTGAAGAATCAGAGCTGGTTTGCAGGGTTTGATATAACAGACGAACAGCCCATCAAAATGTCTTTGAAAGAGTGGATCAAGCTGGCCAAGGAAGCTCAAGCAACCGTCTTCCTTTCAGGTCATTCTTATAACCGAGAGACTGCATGCAATGTTTCCTATTGTGTATTAAAATGAGGAAATATAAAATCATGAGAAGAAATCTATCAACAAATTAAAGAAAAAAAGCCTAGTAGCCAAATGCCAAGAACTAAAACAAAAGTTGGGGATGGTGATACATTTCTTGTTACTCTTTAGTAGCCAAATACAGTCTTATGCAGTGTTTTTGTGATTATATTTTTTCAAACGCTAACTGACAGCTCATGGAGGAATTGGGGAAGATGGTACACTACAGGCGTTACTGGAGAATGAGGGAGTTGCTTACACAGGTTTGTTGCAACTTATGATACAGCATTCGGGTTTCTCTTTTATTCTCTTCATGAATATGTTAACCTGTTTGTTTCAACACAAATGAAGGTCCAGGCGTACTAGCTTCTAGGACTTGCATGGACAAGGCTATGACATCTCAGAGGCTTAGTCATGTACGGTTACAAGTCAATATGCTCTTCAAGCCAATATATTGAAAAACGTTTAATGTAACATTTAATGTTTCGCGTATCAACAGCTTTCAGCATTTGGAGTTCATACGATAAGCAATGATGTGAAGAGAACAGGGGATATGATACATGAGAGCATCCCAAACATTTGGGATGAATTGATCTCCAAGTTTCGGTGTCAGACACTGTGTGTTAAACCAGCAAGGGATGGTTGCTCTACTGGTGTTGCAAGATTATGGTAACTCGTTTTCAAAATGTCTTTTTACCAATCTTTACCTCTTTTTTTTTTTTTTTTTTTTTTTTTTTTTTTGTGTGTGTGTGTGTGTGCGTGTTTAGACCTTTGGGGTTTTCCTTCAGTTCCTCTGAAGACCTTGCTGTATATGTACAAGCTTTAAAGGATTGTCTACCAAGGATTCCTCCGAACACTTTCTCTAAGGTAAAAAAAAAAATAATTATTATATTCATTGATAAAGGAGGATTATGCAAATATCTATCTCGGCTTGTGTGTAGGGACATGGAATGATAGAGATGCCAAATCCTACTCCAGAGCACTTGATTTTTGAACCATTTGTTGAGACAGACGAAATCATAGTTTCATCATCAAAAGCCAAACAGCAGCTCTCTTGGAAAGGTATGAGGCGGTGGGTAGAGATAACGGTGGGTGTAATCGGAAAGCGTGGGTCAATGCATTCACTGAGCCCTAGTCTTACTGTCAAGGAAAGTGGCGATATTTTGTCACTTGAGGAGAAGTTCCAAGGTCATCATCTTTCTTTGCCACTTCATGTCAATCTTTCTTTATGTTTATGAGAGTATAATTACTCTTCTACAATGGCATATGTAATTGTATCTTTTAACAGGCGGCACTGGCATAAACCTTACTCCACCTCCACCAACAATCATGAGGTTTGTTACTAAAACTGTACTTTTGCATCAAGTGTGTTTTGTGGTATCATTAGGAGAAGATATATAAGATAAAGACAGCATATGAAGACTGATGAGCTGCGTGATTTCAGTAAGGAAGCTTTAGAAAGATGCAAACAAGGCATTGAGCTGATTGCGGAAACTCTCGGCTTGGAGGGGTTTTCACGGATCGATGCTTTCGTGCATGTTGAAACCGGAGAGGTAATAGACGACACAGAAGAATCACTTTTCATTATACTAATGTTTATAATCTTATCTTTCAATACAAAATCAGATTCTTGGTTCTCACAAAGAAAGCTGTGTAGGTGATGGTTATAGAGGTGAACACAGTTCCGGGAATGACTCCTTCGACTGTATTAATCCAACAGGTGACTTTTGCATTCTTATAGATATATATGTTTAGTCTTGCAAATTGCAATCGGTTCGGTTGGGATCATGTTTTTCTTTGTCTTTAGATTTGTGTACGTTGCATTGGCATAAACTAAAAAGAGACACATTCTTGTTTTGGTTTTGGTTTTGGTTTTGGACTGGAAACCTAAAGGCATTAGCAGAGCAGCCACCAATGTACCCTCCTCAATTCTTCCGCACACTGCTCCATCTTGCTGCTCACAGAGCCAGAGTCTAGTAAACTATTTCTTTTTTTTTCTCCCTTGGTTACTTTCTTCCCAAGTTTAATTAAAAAAATGTTGTAAGATTAAATTTCAGAATAATATGACTGAATAAATAAATTGATTTGTTCATGTGTTGTTAACTTGTTATGAACACAAAAACTAGACTAGGGGTGTCAAAATGGGTCATTACCCATGGGTTGACCCTAATGGTCAAAAATTTTAATGGGTTTGGGTTGAATTTTTTTACCCATATAAATAAATGGGTTTTTGTGGGTTGACCCTAATAGTTTATGGGTCTAACGGGTTTACCCATTAGGGTTACGGGTTATCCATGGGTTTCTCAAAATTTTTTTTTTTATAAATTTATAGTTATATTTTATGATTTTATTTTATATTTTACCTAATTATGAGTATTTTAATTTGTTTAATACACAAATATTACTATAAATATTAATACACAATTATTTTAATACACAAATATTACTATAAATTTATTATTTGGAAGTTTAAGTTGAATTTTTAATAATATATAGTATATTTTAAAAAAAAATATTACTCATTTATTGTAAAAACGAAAAAATATTACTTATTTTTAATATATATGGATATCCATAAAACCCATTTAACCCATGGGTACTAACATAATTGGGTTCGGGTTATAAATTACAACCCATAAAATAAATGGGTCGGGTCATAACCCAACCCTATAACCTTCAAACCCGTATAGGTTAGGGTCGGGTTGGATCGGGTTACCCATTTTGACACCCCTAAACTAGACCATGCTGCTGTTGTTCTGTCTGTTTATTACGTTTTGTTCACCATATATGATGTTAGATTTCGCAACTAAATACACTATTGCCAATTTTCCAAAATTATTTACGTCATGGATGGATTTAAGTTATACGGAAATCCATGTCACTTCGGGGACATCCAATACAAATAAAATTAAAAGTGGTTAGGGAAAACCATATTATTGTTATCATTATTATCGTTATAAAACTTCAGACATAGAAAAAGGAAATCACTAACTAATTAACAAAAAAAACAAAAAAGAGAGTAGAAAACATAAAACGAGATGCTTCTCTCACACCCGAAGAGGAGGGGCGGAGCAAGTCTCCGAGCCCACCTTGGATAAAGTACGTGAAAGCAAAAAACTGCAAATCATCGACTGAAAACCTATACCATGTACGTATGCCAATCTCTGAGTATATGGGTCGAATGAACAACCAATACAGATGCCACAAAGACCAAAAAGCCATCCGAGGAAGAGCGTGATCAAAGCATGTCTCGTCTCCATCCTATGGTTATCCGACAGCTGGATAAGCCCTATCCCACCCGTGAACAAAGATATGGTGAACAGCGACACATACACCGTAAACTCTTTCATAATATCTGCATAATGTATGGGCGACATAATGACTAAATGCAAGACCAACCCCGAGAACATAACCTGAGGTAACCTCTCTTCCTTTTTAGTAAAGACTTTGCAGCAAGGAGAAGGAGGATCGGTGAAGAAGAGATATCTGAGTAGCGTCACTACGTAGAATGTTGTGACACTCACCGCACCGTCCCTGAGAAATCGAGACCATGACGGTGACTTTCCTCCAGGTGGCCAGAGAATATTGAGTGATATGGAGAGGCCGAAGATCGAGAGTAGAGTCATTGCATACCATATTCCTCTGCATACAATCACATCTTTTTTACTCATCACCTTCTCCATTCTCGAAAGAGCGTAAGGTTACTTTTTTTGTAATGCTTTGCTGATTTTCAATGCAAGAGATGAGGAATAATAATAACAAAAGGGACTAACGACTCTCTCTATTTATAAGGCTTAATTATAATGCTCCTAAAGAGAATTGGAAAAGCAATTTAAAGAGGAACTCCAAGCCAAGATAGAAAACTTAAGCAAACTAAATCTAGGATGATCAAGTAGGGTATACAGTATATCTTTGTTTTTTTTTTATATAAAAATTATATATTTAGACAATTCTTTATGTACAAAGATCTTCGATATAAGATATATACAAATATTTTCGATAATATCAACTAACTAAAGAAATCTCGACAATCTTTCTTTCCTATCGGGTAAAATAAAATAAATACTGTATAAAACACTATATTCACACACGAGCTTGCTCTCTGTTTACTCTGGATCCCGGCGTCTTGATGATGCCACAAAGTGTTCCATGAATTTCTTGAAATGTCGTCTTTCTGAAGCGTTTCTCATCACTAATCTAGGTTACTTATGGTTGTAAATTTTAGTGTAATTTATTTTTATGGCAAATCTTATTATATAAAGCTGGATGCGCGCGATGTGGTTGCGACACGTAGGATTTTTATAAAATTTAGGATTGCGACATGTGTCACTTTTAATGTTATGTCCGTTAAGATCGTGACATGTGTCTTAGAAAAAAAAAGAAAAAAATAATAATTAAAAAAAATTAGATAAAGGAAAAAAAAACGAAATTTTAATCTTTTATAGTTAAAAGAAAAAAAATTATATTTGTCATATCCTAATAGAAAAAGGTTTCTCATTCATCAAATTTATATTATCCAAACACATATAAGATTCAAATTAATGAAATAAATAAAATCCTATTAGTACATGAAATAGGTTAGGTTTAGTTAATCTTTTATAGTTAAAAGAAAAAAAAAATTATATTTGTCATATCCTAATAGAAAAAGGTTTCTCATTCATCAAATTTATATTATCCAAACACATATAAGATTCAAATTAATGAAATAAATAAAATCCTATTAGTACATGAAATAGGTTAGGTAAACTAAATTTCCTATAACTGCATGGAATAAGTTACATGAACCCTATAAAAAGAGAGTTAAAGTAGTCTTTTTTTTCTCATTCACAAACTCATCAAAGCAAACAACATGATAGCAATACGTATGATTTTTATAACTCACAAAATTGCGATATGTGTAATAAAATAATGATAATAAAAAAAACTAACTAATAATGAAAATGAAAATTTATAATGGTCTGAGTCAAAAACAAAATTGAGAAAGAAACAATATAAATAGAAAACTAACAAATTAATTATCAAGCAACTAACTAATATTAAGAAAATATAATGAACCGATATTCTAATTTTAAATAGTTTAATATATTTTCAATATTGTTAGGTAAAAAATTATTAAATAAAGATTTCATCAATTGAAATCTCTTGAATGGAATAATAAAGTTTTGTTGAATTAATTAATAACTATATTGGATAAAACAAATTAATTCATTTTTTATATCATGAATTCAAAAAAATATCAATTACAATAAAAACGTAAAAAGGTTACCGATCTTATTTTATTTAAATATTTTTATCGGGTTTTTAATATTATTCTGTTTACTTTAAAATGATCAAATTTGGTTTAATACTTTTCCATGATTTTATTACAAAATCTTAAAATAAATCCCGCGTATACGCGGGTCTTTAATCTAGTTTATATATAATTGATGAAAATATACTAGTAAGACATGATTTTAACAAATGTTTATAATTTGTCTCTACATTTGACAACTAGTTAATGTTTTGTTGGTTTTCTTGAATTGAAGGTACATCTTGTTGCAGCCTTTCATACACAGGGAACTACATGCATCAACTGATTTTGCTTGACACGTCTGGTCCATCAGATGATCAGATCCAAACCTCGCAAATCATGTCCATCCGAGTTTGTGGCCCATTCTCATTCTTTTATCCAGGCTTAACCCTTCACCCATTGTAAGTGAATCTGGAGATGACCTTGACCCATTCGTCTTCATGCCCTTCATTATGAAATGCTCTACTCAAAGCAATCTTCGTGTTCGTGTTTTGGCATCCCGTGCTTTAGTAGTCTTGTTTCCATTGAGAAACTCCAAAACGTTCTTCTCCGCATTACCTTCTAATGGGGGCCCAAGTGTCCTTCAGTTATCCTCATGGAATATTGTAGCAACTTGGTGTAAGAACCCAATTTCTACAATTGGGCACTGATTAATATAAAATATAAATATGAATAAATTAATATAAATACAATATTAAAATGATACATAAACAAGAATTAAAGAAACAAAATCGGATTTGCAGAGTCGAGATATAATATCTTTCCTTAATTCTGTAAATGCCCCGTAATGTGACGGTTGCATGGCGTTCCGAATCCCATGATAAAACTGCACACTTTTTATGATTGCATCATTCAATACATAAGCTTGCAAACCATGTTTTATGTGATATACTCTCATAAGAAAAACCAAAACAAAAGAAGAGATATGAGAGATTGTTGTTTTTGTTCTTGTACAAGTATGTGTGAATGAGAAGACCAAGGCTTTAATATATAGCCAAGTGCTCAACCTACAAGGAAGAGTAATAAAGTGGAGATTTGAGAATTCATTCTCTTTTTAATTGTCTTGACTGAATTTATGTTACAAATTCAACTCTCCATTTATTTTTTGTTAAAAACAATGAGACAATTAAATGATATATTTTCTTTGTTGACTCAATCAAAAAGAATACTTGGTCAAAAGATTAATCTTGAAGACTGTTGGCCCGATAGCCAAATCCCGAGGCCTGAAAACATGTTCAACTCGAATTTTTTTTTTCCATTTTATATCCAAGAGGATTTCACCTCCAACTTCTAGTATAAGATATTATTATAAATATTACATTTTATGCTATACAAGCAACTCACTTGGACCTCCATTTTTCATTCAAACCAACTTTATTTTTAACATATAAATATACTATCAAAAATGAGTTTCAACACTTAGTAAATTGCTACGAGTTGAGGATTGAAGGATTGAAGAAAGCAAGAAGGTAAAATGATTTTTCTATTCCCAAGTTTAATAAAAAAGGAGAATTGTTGTAACTTCTAAGATTAAAATTTAAATTGTGAAAATGTACATTTCTTTGTATACGTGGAATGTAGTAAATGTATAGTGTATTACGTCACATGGTAGGCTTTGCCATTAATATTTAATTGTTTATCAAACTTCGATTTTGCTTATTTAGGTCACAGTTAGATACAATTTAACCGAAGTTTACTTTTGTTTAATTTACCTTTCCAGTCTAGTTCCTATTAATGTTTCCAATCAAATTATATGTTAATAAGATTAACCGAGCAAACAAAGAAGTGTTATCATAGACTTGTTCTTTGTCTGGTATGAACAAACACTCACCCCCATACATTGAGACCTTGGAAATGAATGAGACTGAAGATTTTCCAAGCGCACGATTTGAAAAATCTTTCGATTCTCGGTAACTAATTTGTCATGAGAGACTTAGAAGAGAGACGATCGGAAAAAAAGATAAACTAAAACCATAACAGCCACATAAACAAAGATAATCAATAGCTCCATTTGTATCATATCATAGCTTGTGCTAGCCCAACATTTTGGATACTCTAATAACTTTTTTTTTGTAGATAGTGCATATATTGTGGATAATAATCCATTCAACTCTTTTAGACGAGTTTTTCAACCATTGTTATTAAAGAAAAACTCACAAAAATTAGTTGATAGAAAAACTCTAATGACACATAACAACATTTACAAAAGCACATATAAAGTGGATAATGTAAAACAAAAATGTCGTGGATGAATTAAGTCCAGGTTAAGTTAAAAAGCGCTGCAATAGTGACAGCCAGTACACTGGTTCGAATCCCGCATGAATATTAGTTTTGTGCATTTTTTTAATATAAACTCACAATTTAACCGGCCCAATTTTTGTCTGTGCTTGTGGGCCTGTGGCCTTCGGGCCGGATTGAATTCCTTTCACTGAGACAAACGGTTTAAATTGGCGGGAGTTAAAACACTCAGGTTTAAAGAAGCCATGAGCATCGTCACCGTCCCAGCAGCATCATCAACATCGAAAGCCCTGCAGATCAAAAACCTAATCTCCGTCGCATCCTCCGTCAACCATCTGAAAGTTTTCCACGCATCTCTCATCCGCCACGATCTCCATCACGACACTTCCCTCGTTAACCTCCTCCTCAAGCGAACGCTCTCCTTCCGCGAAAACCGTTACTCTTTCCTCCTCTTCTCTCACACCCAATTCCCAAACATTTACCTCTACAATACTCTCATCAACGGATTCGTCAACAACCACCTCTTCAACGAAACCCTCAATCTCTTCCTCTCCACCCGCAAACACGGCCTCTCCCTCTATGGTTTCACCATCCCTTTCGTTCTCAAGGCCTGCACCAGAGCCCCGAATCTAAAACTCGGAATCAACCTCCATTCTCTAGTGGTGAAATGCGGTTTCAATCACGACGCGTGCGCTATGACGAGCCTCCTCTCTGTTTACTCTGGATCAGGACGTCTTGACGACGCACACAAACTGTTCGACGAAATTCCTGAGAGAAGCGTTGTTTCATGGACGGCCTTTGTTAGCGGCTACATTGCTTCAGGGAAGCACAAGGAAGCTATTGGTTTGTTCAAGAAGATGGTTGAAATCGGAGTGAGACCCGATAGCTATTTGATTGTTCGGGTTTTATCCGCTTGTGTTAAGGTAGGCGATCTCGATACCGCCGAGTGGGTTGATAAGCTCGTGGAAGAGATTGGGATGCAGAAGAACTCCTTCGTGTGCACGACACTTGTCAATCTCTACGCGAAGCTTGGGAAGATGGAGAAAGCGCGTTCTGTTTTCGACTCTATGGCTGAGAAAGATGTAGTTACTTGGAGCACTATGATACAAGGGTATGCGTCTAATAGCCAACCGAAAGATGGTGTTGACTTGTTTCTGCAGATGCTGCGGGGGAATCTTAAACCGGACCGGTTTTCGATTGTTGGGTTTCTTTCTTCTTGTGCGAGCTTGGGAGCGCTTGAGCTAGGCGAATGGGGAAGTGGTTTGATAGATAGGAATGAGTTTTTGACTAATTTGGTTATGGGGAATGCGCTGATTGATATGTATGCGAAGTGTGGTGCTATGGCTCGAGGTTTTGAAGTTTTTAAAGATATGAAGGAGAGAGATAGAGTTATCATGAACTCTGCGATTACTGGTCTTGCCAAGAACGGCCACGTTAAGCTCTGTTTTGCGGTTTTTGGACAAACGGTAAAGTTAGGTCTCTCACCTGACGGCTACACGTTTCTTGGACTGCTGTGTGGTTGTGTTCACGCAGGTTTAATCCAAGACGGGCTTAGGTTTTTCAACGCGATGAGCTGTGTTTACTCGTTGAAACGCACGGTTGAGCATTATGGTTGTATGGTGGATCTTTGGGGCAGAGCAGGGATGTTAAGTGACGCGTACCGCTTGATCTGCGATATGCCGATGAAGCCAAACGCGATTATCTGGGGAGCGTTGCTGAGCGGGTGCAGGCTGGTGAAAGAAACGCGTTTAGCGGAGCGCGTTCTTAAAGAACTCATCGCTCTGGAGCCGTGGAACGCAGGGAACTACGTTCAGCTGTCGAACATATACTCGGTTAGTGGGAGATGGGACGAAGCGGCTGAAGTGAGAGAGACGATGAACAGGAAAGGTATGAAGAAGATCCCTGGGTTTAGTTGGATCGAATTGGAAGGGACGGTCCACGAGTTTCTCGCTGATGATAAAACTCATCCTCTGAGCGAGAAGATATATGCAAAGCTTGAGGATTTGGGTAATGAGATGAGGCTTATGGGTTTTGTGCCAACAACGGAATGTGTGATGTTCGATGTGGAAGAAGAAGAAAAGGAATCGGTGTTGGGGTATCACAGCGAGAAGCTTGCGGTTGCGTTTGGGCTGATCAGTACGGTTGATGGTGAAGTGATTCGAGTGGTGAAGAATCTGAGAGTTTGTGGAGATTGTCATCAAGTGATGAAACTGATATCGAAGATCACGAGAAGAGAGATTGTTGTTAGAGATAACAATAGGTTTCATTGTTTTTCAAACGGCGCTTGTTCTTGCAATGACTACTGGTGACGTCACTGTCTTGAGAAAAGACCGGGAATTGATTTTAATTTTTATGGTTTTCGAATTAGTTACTTCGGTTTGGTTTTTGATCAAATTACATCATATTTGAAAGAGAAGCTAAACGACTGCGTATTTCCCACCTATAAAGCGCGTTCTGAAATCTCAACAACGATGCGTTCGCTCCTTAATTATCAAAGACAGTTGGAGAGAAATCTCGAAAAAACCTAAAACCCGTCGCTGGATTACATTATTTTGGAGAGGAGAGCAGGACATGGAGGATGGAATCGGAGGGTACGGAGTTGGAGAAACGAAAAAGTTGTCGGAGGTGGTGAAAGAATGCGTATCTATCACGGTGGTTCGAGGAGACGCTCAGGGAAGCAAAAGCCGGAGATATCAAAATGCAGCTCCTCGTGAGTCAGATGTATTTTAATGGCTATGGTATCTCCCGAGATCCTCACAAGGTTCGTCGTTCCTTCTATAATTGTCTTTTCTTTTGAAATATGAAATACAGTTTCATATAATAAGTAAATTGCTTAAAATTCCATCCCTGATTTTGGAAGGCAGAACAATCACCAAAGTTATTCGAATGGGAAAAAATTGATTTTATCTATTTAGTATTTATATGAGTCGTTGTTCTAAAGATAGTCTTCTTGAGAATCCAGTTGGATATCCTTGCAGAAAGTCTCATGTTGGATTTTTAAATGTTGTTATATTTGTTTGCAGGGAAAGTTTTGGAGGAAGAATGCATCAAAGTACATTGCTTCAGTTGAGGCTGCGAGTGAAAAACGTCCAGGTCATATTGCTTTTCTTTTCTTTGCACTTGAATAGATTTGGCTTTCTGATTCTGTTAATCTTTGCGTCATTGCATTGCATTTACATTAATCTTGGCTACCATTTTGATTTGTTTCAGGCTATGGTGCCAGTGACTCGGATTCCTTTGATGAATCAAGCATTTGATTGTACACAACTTGTTGAAAAGAGACGAAGCGGATGCTACTACTTGGAGAAACTAACATTAATCTTATAACAACCACTTAATTCACTGTTTTCTTTTCTTCTTCTTTTGGAAACTGTAAATTGGTTTAGTGGCATTCCTTAGCTTCTTCTTTCTGGTTGTTTTGATGCTTTTCGTAAACGTGTGCCTTGAATATAATAGATTGAGCGAGTTAATAGTACTCGGATCTTCTTCCAACTCTAATTTACCATTAGGGGTAAAAACTAAACCATCCACAGAAAGAAAAAAAAAAAAAAAACACAAGAGACTATGTTCAGCCGCATCGCACATCCCATGTCAACCGATGCAAGAATCCCAATTTCTCTTGGTCCTAAGCCTCAACTGGCAGCACTCTAAACATTCATGACAGGCTACTGAGCTTAGGTTCTTGAAACAGAGGAAATGTGAACTTCTCTTTCCTTACACAGATAGGCCACTGGATGCTTCGGACCATAACGCCGTCCTCCGTCACAAATGTCTTCAAACAAACACTCCATGCCTATTGAGACCCGCAATGTGAACACAAGAGCCCTCGGGGTCATATAACTCACTGCACTAAACATGAACCTCTTCTCTCTCTCATCTCCCTTGTAAAGGTTTTGGCCAAGGTACACAAACTGGCAAGTTTCATCATCGGTTCTGGATATTCTCAGCCACAAACGGGTATCTTTTGGCACATTCAGAAGCATGATCTCAGACGGTATAGCCACTGGTAGTCCAGCCACAAAGGCAATCGGACTGTAAGGACCATTACCAGGAACCTCGAGCTCTGCACTGACACACTGCAGATCACCAGAGAACGTAAACTGTTCCGGAGAGAAGCAATTGTATTTCCTGATGAGATCTAGCAGTCTACAGCAATTTATATCACCATAGCTCCCAACCTCTTGCAATGACTTCTTAGTTTCAGTTAGAAATTCTGATGGTTTGGTGCATTGTTGTTCATGGTGGAGCTCTAATTGAGATACTGTTGATGCTAGCTTCTTCTTGCAGCTAAGGCGGCAGCAACTCTCAAATTTATATAGTCTTAACAAGCAACCCAAAATTATCAGCTCCATTACTAGTGACACCTCCGTAGACAGGCCTGTGAATCGACACCTTATCTCCATCAGTTTTATCTCTACTTCTTCCATCAGTAGTTCCAGTTCTACAGATTTACACGTGCTGGTGTGTCTTGAGTATTCGAAATGAGGCCACACCTGGGAGAGAAGTTTTATTAAGTGAACGTACTGACACATAAATTCTAATGCACCATTGGAGATTGAAGAATTGGCTGTTTGCAACTCCTGTTTGCAAGACCTGGACAAAGGAGATAAGAAACACTTTATTAGAGTCAACAATAGTAATACAGAAGCTGGAAATTCAATAGATTGTAAGCTGTAAAACCTCAATGCTCGGAATGCGTCTTTCGAGCATCCTGATTGTGATAATAACCAGGCAGCCTTTACTTTCAACAGTATATGGTTAACAGACTTCATTGCTTCATTTCCATTTTCCACTTCTGCTTTTGAAGCCATGTGTTTGCTCGCAGCAGGTATATCTTTGCTCTGTAGGACGATGGGGTTTCCGCTAATATCTTCATTGCTGTGCCTATATGCATGAAAAAACATATCTCCCTTGTTGAATTCTGTCCCCGAAGAAGCAGAAAGAACAGCGCAATGAGACAAGTAAGCCAAAAACGTATCCTGGTCCATCATATCATCAAGTCCACAAGAGAATTTCCCCAGCAATGCAAGTGAATATGAAAAAGCCAGAGGTGGTATCGAGGTGATGCTTTGTTTGTCTGCAAGAGGGGCTGAGATTATCAGCATCAGAGACGCAGATACTTGTCGGCTGTTGAATTCCGATTTATTTCCGGAAGCTGTCTCTAACTGAAGAGAATGACAGAGTAAGCCAAAAAATGATTTGTATGTCTATAGACTAGAGTTGACAAGTCCTGAAAAGAGTGAAAAAATGCTCGCTTACCTTTTCACAAAATCTCTTGACCATACTGACTAAGAACTTTGTGTGGTTTTGTCCGAAATGGAACAGAGCAGACAAGATAAAAGGTTCGTCCTGGTATAAAACAGCAAGAAAATTGAGGTTCAGAAGAAGAAAAAGAAAGAACTGATGGAATCAGAAGCTACTTGATCTTTGTAGGTAAGTGTGCCAACCTGTGGATACATCTCTAAACTTTTTAGGATACCATCAACACATTTGTTGACCAGCTTCACATCAGGCATCTTTACCAATTTGAGAATGTTTCTAGCCGTAAGTCTTATGTTCTCAGAAGTATCAACAAGAGCATCCAAACACTGCAAAGTCAAGCAGCAGCTCTTTATCAAAACTCATAGCAAAGAAATAGTCAAACAGAGCCAAGAGACAATAAATATATGGAGCGGCAGCGAGATTAGTTTAGTAGCAAATCAGTTGGGCCTAAACCATAGGAAGTGAGTTGCATAAAACCTGGACAATTCGAGGCAAGAAACCGAACTTATGAAGTATTGCAAGAGAAGCATTCTCATTAGCTTTTTACCTAACCAGCTCTATAGAGGAAAAAGGCAAAAGAAATGGTGACTTACGGCGGGCAGATAAGTTTCCTGTATTTTCAAGTTCCCCAAGTCTGCTATATGATGCAATGCCTCTAAAGCTTTCAACCTGACAACCATATAATCATCGTATAGCATATCCATCAATAGGTTCACAGCTTCATCTGGGAATTCGACAGAATTTACTGAGAGGGAGTGGAAGGAGTCAACCGCGGCTTCACGTACCTTCGGAATGACACATCCAAAGAAACAATTAAAACTCAACCAAAGTCTTTTCACAAACAAAACAAGAACGGAAGTTTATCATAAGAGTACCTCGTAGAATTCATCTTCAAAACCATGGATGAAAACTCCAGCTGCAGCAGAGACATCAGCTGGTTCTTTCAAATGCTGACTCTGCAGTTTCTTCCCTTTTCCCGCTCCCAATACCTTTTTGGAAAGTGTCTGCAGAATAATGCTTTCTGATGCAGTTCCTATTATCCCAAATGCCTTGAACACCTCAACCCTCACGTCTACACTCATATCTCTCACAATAGAACAAAGCTGAAAGCATTTTTATAAGGAAACATTCAGTAAGAAAGAATCTGATAATGACTTGGCCACATAACTTAAGCCCTTATGCTAAATCAATTTGTAGCTAAAACAAATTGGTAATCGTATGGACATTCAAATGCTGCACAAGCCAGAGAATAGCTAGTTACCTGGAGAAACACAGCATCCGTACACTCTCTTCTCTTCGTCTCTACCTTGGATGCTATCAACACTTTGCCCCACATACTAACCTGAGCATTCAAAAAGTTGCCAACTTCAATTAGATATGATCGGATTTTTTCAGCCTATAACAATTCTTTCATCAATCATAAAAAACTTACGGCATGAACTGCAGAAGATCTGACGCTATCTTCAGCATCGCCTAGAAGCTCAACAGCACGAGTATAGCAGCCTTGTACGGCATGGGCGTGATCGAAGTCACCAGCCTTACATATATGAATCAGCCCATTCAGAGCTACTTTTCTGATATACGGATACGGATCCTTGGTGAACCCTAAGAACAAGGTGAAAAGTACGGACGACGGGACATGGAACCTCTCCGCGTTCCTAAGCAGCCACAGCCGAAAAGATATAGGTGCTCCGAGGCAGATCGACGCAAATCCCTCGCCGTCGATTTTGGAAATCGCGGTGGCGTTGCCGGGGTTCGTCTCTGACAGCGACGCCAGCAGAGCAAGCGATTCCACGGCGACGCGTCCGTGACTCGCATCGGCGGCGGAGTTTTGAAGGCGAAGCAAGTTTGACAGGACGGAATCGAAGATCTGTGTAGCTAATTCGTTTCTCCAAATGGAAAGGTCGGAGAGGAGCTTGAGGACGTGGTGAAGAATCGCCGGGTCGTCTCGACTCAGAAGACCAGTAAGAAATTTGAACACCGAGGAAATTACCGAGTCGGAAGTGTCGGCGTTGATAATGAGTGATCTAATGGAAGATAGAGTCTGGAGAGAGATTGATTCAGCTGAAATCGAGTCGTCTTTTTCCATTGATGAAGAAGACGAGGAGGGAATCTCAAACTCGACGAAGCTTCAAAACTTATTTATCTATAACAGTCGCCGTCGCCGTCGCCGGTATCATGTCGTTATTCACTTAGTGACAAAAATAAATAAATCGATACTATTTTTTTTTTTAAGGTAAAAATTGGTAGTAGTATTCAGTAATTCTTTATCAAAGTCTAACAGTAAAAAAATGGGATCTCTCTAATTTTGAAGTAAAAAAAAAGGTGGGTTTTACATGCTACCGGCTCGTCCGGAAGTGGGTTTCTTGAACTTGGAAAGGTCAACAAGATCTCCAAACAACTTCTCCTCTGGTTTCTTGTTCATAGGTCTCATCATTGGTGGATGACCAAGAGGCGAAGGATGATGAGAAGAAACTTGGTAGGGATTATTAGTATGGTTGGTTCCATTGTCTTGAAGAGCCATTCCGTACATTTGTTGTTCTACAAGATACTGTTGTTGTGGTGGCAGCTGAGGTTGTCCTCCGTAGCCTCCGTACATGTTTGTAGGGTTGTTATGATACTGGACGTTTGGGTTGTGGCCAAAAGGTGGCATGTGGCCTCCTGTCATTGGAGGGAGGAGCATATCAAACATGTTATTGTTGTTGGTAGCATGAGGAGAGCCACCTTGATGAGGGTTGTAACCGAGTGGTTGATGAGTATGCGTGGTGATGACCACTTGAGTCACTTGCATTGGATGAGTAGGAGAGTATTGAGGGCTTGAGCTTGGAGATTGAGCTTCCCATGGTGGTGGAGGTAATGCTAGAACATTGTTGTTTTGTCCACCTTTAAAACACAACAATTTAGTACTTTAGTATTGAGTTTTAGCCCAAGATGTTAAAAAGCAGAATATTTACCATAGTGAGGAGAGGCGGGAGGGCTAAAGGTAGGCGAAAAAGGTTGATTTCCGTAAGAAGGAGAAGATGGTTGTTGGGAAATTTGGAGATTCCAGACAGGACCAGCTGATGGTCCTTGTCCGTAAAAAGATTGGTCTTGATGGACTGGTCCAAATCCATTTGATTGCACCATCTGATTCTGATTCGAAGTTGGGGTAGAGCTTTCGTTAGTATCTGATAACATGTCGATTAAGACGAGGGAATTGTCTGGCGTTGCTACGGGACTTGTTGGTTGTGGAGGTCCAAGAGGAACAAGAGCCAGTGAGTTTTCTGCATTCGGTGTCTCAAAGTCATCTCCACTAAGAAGATCTATTTTTGGACCATTGGTTGCAGAAGCCACAATACTACTACCACCATCTTTGGTTTCACTGCAAAACAAGTTCAAAATGTTTTACAATGTAACTTGCTGCACAAGTATCTTACCTCTTCTAAATGAATCCTTGGAAGAATAAAATATTTGATAGCTAGAGATGATTTCTTACCATGAATCAACATCTATGATCTGGTTTGGGTCCTTAGGAACTTCTTTTTTAGCTTTTTCTTCCTTTTGTATCACACTGTTTCCAGAAGCGATGGATTCGTGCTTCGCAAGTAATCGCTGCAAATCGTCATTTAAGGCTAGGCCTTGGCAAAGCAACGATTCATCTCTGAAACATGAACCAAAACGGGTATAAAGATTTTATATTCGTCAAAGTTAATCGAGTTCTAAAACAAAATTATGCGGGTAAAAGTTTTAGATCTTTACGATGTTGAGTTTACAAGGTGTACTACTCTTTGTTTATAGGTGCGACATTGGCTAACAAGATCTACGACAACCTCTTGTTTAAGTCCCTGCATATATAAAAATTATTTATTTATATGGAGATCCAATGTTGCAAAAAGTTATATATACACTTTCAGAATTTGGGTGTCAAAAAGGATAATACCTCTTTGTTTTTTCCAGCTATTGCGATCATCATTTCAGCTAAGACATCCATAATTCCTCTTGCATTTTGAATTTCTGTCAAACTTCAACAACAAACGAAAAACAGCTATTTTGTGTCAATATTTTTTATTTTCAGTGTTCCTAGAAAAAATGAGTAATATAATCAATCAAGATTAACACCTCAAAGTTGGAAATTCTGACTCTGTTGAAGTATCAATCGCTTCTCGTCTAGCGTTACGAGAATTCTGAGGATACGTTGTCGAAGAACCATTTTGTCCTGAATTGATTGTGGTTGGAGGTCTTTGAGGAAATACAATTCCTGCACGCTGCAAACAAGATAGAGAAAACAAATGAAATCCAAAAATTCGAACCATGTCTCTACGTACTCGGTATAAATGGGCATGTTATAGCCAAAACAAAACATACCAACAATTCTTGGTATGCTGCATAATATTGTGGATGTCTTCCTTGTGGACCTGAAAAGCTCACTTGCCAGGTATCTATAAGTATCAATATCTTCTCCTTCACTTGGATGTTTGGCTATAAGTTTAACAAACAACGTTAACATATAAGTTTGGTCTCACACTAAAAACAATGTTAATGGATAAAACAGTAGTTTAAAAAGAATCATAGCCTGACCTTCCTTTTGACCATCTTCACCATCTTTTGGAGAATATCCTTCTCTGCAACTTGCATATGAGTAAGTTCCCCGCAATTGTTTACGATTGTCTCTAGCAACTACAATGGTAATTAACATTCCCAAAACATGTTTATTAAATTCTCTCATGAAATTATAAATTAAACAAGTAATTCTCTAAAGACTATTGGTTGCTTGCATACCAAAATAAGCTGAAATGTTTGATTTCAATTAACCATCCGAAATTCTACAAAGTACAATCAGCTAAACCAAACCAAACTAAAACATGAATATCAAATGGCAAATAAAACTTACAGTAAGAGCCAAAAGTTGAACCTTGGAAGTCCTACTACTAAGCCTTTTCTTTATGCCACTCACAACCTCTCTCGTTTGCCTACAAAACACACATTTTTGTATCACAAAACAAAAAAAGAACAAAGAAACATCAAATACCAAATGTGAACGAACCATGCATAATTGATAATTCCAATAACTATTACAAATGCATAACCGAGATATATACGTTTAAGATCACAGCCAAGCATTGGATCACGGATTCATCACCGGTCAAAGAAAAACAAATAATGAAAAAAGTTGTTACCCTGGCTCATGATTAAGCATGTCACAAATCTCGAGGTTCATTGCCCAATCAGGTCCTATTAGCATATCGCTTGTGGCTCTATCAACCAAAGGATGCACCATCCTTTAGTTTTTTTTTCTATCCTTCAAGAGTTGTTTTTTTTGTTGGTTTTCTAAGTAAGATTTGTTTCTTCCTTGTAATATGTAAGCATTATTTCTCCACTTTAGTTAATTTGCGAACAAAAATAATATGGCGACACTTGTAAACACCGTTACTACTTGCTACATTAAAGCAGAGGATTAAGGAACTAATTGACCTTTCATCTTTTCTTACAAAAATGTTTCTCAAACTTTTTGGGCTTATAGTGGGCTTCGAGTGTGGAACTTATACCGTTTTTCCTTCACAAAAACGACACGCTGACCACTCGTCAAAACATGAAACGCCACGTCGTCTCAATGTGTAAAATCTAGATTTGGATTATTATGTTTGGGCACGGAGATTTCAGTGACTTCACATCTTTGCCTCTTTTGTGTACTTTCTCGTCGCCATGGACGACCTCTCTCTAGAGAGAATCGATATCTCTGGTCCAACATTGGCGTCGCTCATTCAACGTGTGTCCTCCTCTCCCGGTGACGTCGATGGCTTGATCTTCGGCCAAATCCACCGCATCGTTCCTTCAAATCTATCCGACGATTCTCCGGCGGATTCGGTAGCCTCGAGCTCCTCCTCCTCCTCTGGTCAACTCGTCGCCACCGTCACAAGCTTTCTCTGCTCCGGTAAGACTGTCTCCTTCTATGATCCGATTGGCCGAGTTGACTCACGTCGGATCAGCTCCCTCGGAGTCGACTCGCCGGACCGGCTAATTGGCTGGTTCTCCGCCCGAAGGAAAACCGCTAATCGTCCTTCCATGCGGGAGCTAGCCGTAACGTCGTCTCTCTCGTCCCAATTTCAACTACCGATCGAGGACTTGGAAAACCCTAACTCGCCGGCGAACATGGCTTCCTCCGTATTCTTCCTTCTTACGACGCCATCGACAGAGCAGCTAATCCACACGCACGAGTACCGCGCGTACCAATTCCGATCCTCGAACCGGCGGGTCGAGCCGAGATCCGTTGCCATAGTCAACATCGGGCCGGCGTTTCGCGGCCATTACGGTACGTTCAGTCCGAAATCAGGATTTCCACCGCTGATCTACGATTTGAGAAGCTCAGCGATGAACGAGGATCGCGACGAAGGGTCCTTGAGCGCGAAGAAACAAGCGTTGAGTGATCAGAAGGAAATCGATGCGTTAGCAGAGGGGTTACAAGTGGGATACTTGAAACGTTTGGTTGGAGCTGAAGCTGCGAATTATACAGGCGGGATTGAAGAAATGTATGAGAGAATGCTGGCGAAAGTCGAGAGCTTGGCTTCGGAGGTTGAGCAGAGCTCAGCTAAAGTATTTGAGCAGGTACATAAACCATCTTAAAGCTTCAAATTTTCAAGAATCAATATTTGAAGTTAAAGCCAAGAATTCAACTGGTTTTGCCATCCTGTTATTGATTGTTGTTGTCTAGCAAAATGCCACAAGTGTTACCAATATATAACATTTTTGCTTGGTTCTTTCAGGATAATCGTAATAGGAAGTTGAGATACAGAATTGCCAGAATTGGGCGATGAAGCTTCTACTGGATTCCTGTTCTTTTTTGGCGACAGGTGTGATTTGCTTCTAAACATTTCTTGGGTAGATTGCTTTATTCCTTCTGTTGCTAGTTTTTGTGGGAGGAGAACAACCAAGAACGGGATTGATTCATGTTAGAGCTGTATAAATGGGAATGTATATGTTTATCAAGTTTAACACTAGCGAGATAGATGTATGCATACAGAGGATTGTTATTGATACCAAATGGTAGAGTAAGTGAGGGTTGGGCAGAGAGTACTGAGGAAGCCGATTGTTGGGCTTGGTATGTAGGCAAATGAGTCGCTGTGTTGTTACTTTGTGTGATCACGGCTTATCTCTTAACACTTTTCTGTGACCTTGTAGATCTTTTCGAGGAGCCAGAATTGTCAGAAGTAGGCAACTGTTTTCATTATAAGATTTGATGTAACATGTGTATGTTATGAGACGTCATTCCAGACGGAAGATGATGGCTCTGGGCCAACTTTCAGAAGCTCTTCAAAGCCAACCTCCTTTGGTCAGATTCCTCATTGTTTCTGAGTTCTGACTGCCAGCGGAAATGAAATTGCTTTGTGCTTTGATGTAAACTATCCAAAATTATTTATGTAATCATAGTCGTGTTTGCCAAATTAGTAACCGGTTCATGCCAATTGGCTTATCCAAAAACCATCGAAGGACCTTCTTTGATTAAAAACCAAAAAATCAACTACTTAAAAGTGAAAAGTTGAAGAAGTTGGGAACTAAACAGTAAACAGAATGTACTGGATGAGAGGACCACTACGTAAACTACAAAACCGGTTTCTTAACAAAGTCGCCAAATCTCATAGTACTATAAGTCTAATAGTACTCTATACATTGGAAGGCTCCTTCATCTTTGTGCTATCTTAACTACTTCTAACGACAGAACACCAACACTTCCTCGATAGCTTTTAATGCACTTATTGTAGTGATACCACAATTGCTCATTATAGTTGGTATCGCTGTACCGGTCTTTAACTAGTAAGTCATTTGGAGTTGGATTAAGATGGGAATTTGTATTGTTAAGAAATGATGACAAAACAATGCAAATCCATGCAAGATAAGTATATTTTTATGAGGCAGTTGAACCATTGATAGAGTCAGGATATTAATTGGCCGCAGATAAACATTAAATTCATCCACAACTAATTCTGCACTTGCAATCAATCTTCTTCAACTACCAACCCCATTCCTCTTTAACATCTACTAGTAGTATATATAGCCTCTCAGTTCTCCAACCCTAATAAAAATAAACCAAAACCCACAACAAAAACATACAAAAAAAACAAGAAATAAACAAAACAGAAAGTAACATGAGATCTCTCTTAGTAGCCGTGTGCTTGGTTCTTGCATTGCACTTTGGTGAAGCAGCCGTGTCTTGCAACACGGTGGTTGTAGAGCTTTACCCTTGCATCTCCTTCGTGGCTCAAGGAGGAGCCGTCCCAACAGGCTGCTGCACCGGTGTCAGAGCGCTCAATAGTCAGGCTCAATCAACTGTGGACCGTCGCAGCGTCTGTCGTTGCATCAAGTCTGTTGTTGGAGGAGTCTCTTACTCTTCTAACAACCTCAACAATGCTCTCGCTTTGCCTGCCAAATGCGGTGTTAAACTCCCTTACAGTATCAGTCCTTCCACCAACTGCGACAGGTTAAAAAAAAAAACTACACCTATAATTAATGATTTATTTAACAACAAATCATCATCTACATAACTTGTTCTTAATTCTTTTGTTTTTGCAGTATTAACTAAGAGAAGCGCAAAACTCGATCCTAAAGGAAGCTACTATGCTACAATAACTAAGAAGCCAATAATCATTTAGGACATGTTTTGCTTGCTACCCTACTTTAATCAGTGATGATGTAATCGTCGTATCGACAATGTTCTTCCTCTAAGTTACTATGATATATTATTAACAGGCACTTGCCTATAATCTTATCTCAACCATTCTCCTACGATTATGTGTGAAACAAAAAAAATCGAAAGGAAAATGTGTAAACATTCGTTACTCACCATTCACCAAGAATCCACTGCAAACTTCCAACCGAACTAGCTAGCTTCAACAAATTTATCAAGGACATAAAAGTAAAACATATATGTATCAATTCCAAAATCTTTCAAAACCGCAAAACCTAGCTAAATGCAGAAAGTCTGGAATTCACCACATCGTTCGTCATTTCATTCATAGGTTTTGCACTTTTGCTCGAATCCTACCAAATGTCGACGTAGAGAAATGGCAAGAGAGTGGTGTTAGATTGGAGCTTTGGACTTTTGTTTTGGGCTATCCTTATAGGCCAAATAATAAGTTGAGATCGGCCTCATTTTTAATATATAACCGGTTCATTCCAAATAGCTTAACCAAAAAACATAAGTAGCGAAGGATCATTCTTTTTTTTCTTTCACTGAGTTGAGATCGGCCTCATTTTTAATAGTATTAAAAGGTCACATGGAGCAGAGTATTCACAAAGCAAAGCCAAACCGCCAAAACTCACTGGCAAGAGGCAAAGAAAGAAAAATATCAAAAAAGAGCTAAACCTAGCTCTAACCAAACAAAGACAAAACCAATAGAGTATAATCGGCCTGGCCCCTGAGATAAGGACCATCTTCATATTACGATAGTGACGTTTATTTATTCAGTTGATAACATTTTATCGAGACACTTTTGATTCAAGTTGTCAACCATGATTATACTGAAAATCATGTTAAACATTATTTCTCATAAAAGTATAAGATCTTATGGTGATTTTGGATGGTATTTAAATTTGATTTATAAATTCACCAAGACGATTAACTATATTATTATTATTCGATCCTTAGTTTCAAAAATCATTGTCAAATTGTGGATATGATTACTTGTTTCCGAGTTAAAATATGGTTTAGGACCACTACGTAAACTACAAAACGGGTTTCTTAGCGAAGTCGGTCGACATAGCTCCTTCATCTTTGTGCTATCTTAATTACTTGTAACAACAAAACCCCAACACTTTCTCCCTAAGGAAAATCTAATTCACCAATCCGTCTTCACTCTTCAGTTTTCAAAACTATATATTATAGGTAAACATTAAACTCATCCAACTAATTCTCCTCGCAACTACTCTCTTCAACTACCAAACCCGAACCACAGAAAAATCTTTAACATCTCTATATATACAACCTCTCAATTCTCTAATCATATAGCCAAATAAACAAAACAACCAAAGCAATAACAAGAATACAAATAAAGAAAGTAACATGATGAGATCTCTCTTAATAACCGTGTGCTTGGTTCTTGCTTTGCACTTTGGTGAAGCAGCCATGTCTTGCGACTCAGTGATGGGAGAGCTAAACCCTTGCATTTCCTTCGTGCTTCAAGGCGGAACCATCTCAACAAGCTGCTGCAACGGTGTCACAATGCTCAATAATCAGGCTCAAACATCTGCGCAGCGTCGCAGCGTCTGTCGTTGCATCAAATACGATATTAATGGAGTCCCTTTCTCTCCTAAACAACTCGACAATGCTCTGAACATTCCTTCTAAATGCGGTGTTGATCTCCCTTACAGAATCAGCCCTGCCACCAACTGCGACAGGTTAAAAACATGCATACATCTCTTTTAATTAGTGATTTATCTAACAATAATCATCTACGTCGTCACTTACTCGTTTTTCTTTTGTTTTTACAGTGTCAACTGATAGAAGCGCAGAAAATTCGTAAAATGAAAGATGCATGCTGTACTACAATAAATAAGAAGCCAATAAAAAATAAGGATATGTATATGTTTTGCTTGCTGGTAACCCTACTTTGATCAGTGATGATTTATTGTCGTATCAAAATATTAGTCTAAGTTGTTGTTACTCTCTTGGTTACGTTTTGCTTAAACTTTTGTTTCCGTTATGTTGTGTGTTTTGTATTTTCAATACAAATTTATGATATATTTTTAAGATTTATCCGTATTGTTTTAACTTATTAATTATTCAAATAAAATAAAATAATGTGTTAAATATGGTTAAACAATAAATTTAGTTATTTTTTTAATCTACACAAAACAAACTAGAATAACAACTAAAACGAAACATATATATTATCAACATGGACTTCCTATGATATTCGACCCTAAAATGGTATCTCGACCATTTTCCATATTATCAACAAGCACTTCCATGTGTGTAAGAGAACGAAATTAAGAAAATGATAGAAAACATTTTTACAAAATTTAGAACTTGTCCAAATATCCAAACATAAAATCATTAGAGTTCAATAATACTTTATAAAAAGTTTGTAGAAGTGGTGATGTAAATATTAATGATTTCTCACAAGAAATATAATAATTAGTCAAACGTGGAAATCATTCTTTATGTGGCTTGTTCAATAAACCATCCAAAGTAAAGCCGACCCCGTTCAAACCATAATTATATAATCAAACAAATCTCAAAAAGTCTAAAGCATGAGGAGAAAAGTATACGCCGGAAAATCAACATACTGTACCAGAAGAAGTATTAGATATCGTATCAACAAAACAGGATAGAAAACCTGAACGTGCATACTAGTGTTGGGAACTGTTCAGGATTATTCTTTATAATTTTGTATTTTGTGATTTGAGGAGAACAACCCCATTTTAGAGATAAGTAACTTTGACATGGAAAATATTAGTTGCATATGCACTTGGTACAAGCAGAACTGAACGAAGATGTCTTACTCATTGAAAAAGTTTCATATATGAAAACTTGATGAATGTAAACTTAGGCTGATCATGCCCAAAGCAGAGCCCAACAAAGCTGAGGAAAAGCGGCAAGAGCAAACTCCGCCAAAATAGGAGAACAAAATAATAAAATAACACTATTAGAAGAAAGAACAAACTATTGATTAAAAGTATTAAGATACATGATAATCAAATGTTAAGTATACATAATAAATCTGATAATAAACTGTTGTTATCTTAATTAGAAAAGTATTTTAAACAAAATCTCGAGGTTATAGAAATTCGGTCAAAAACTTCGTGTTAATTAAAAAAGTGTAAAAAATTGAGGAAGCAGAAGAAGAGATGTGAAAAAAGATGGAGAGTGGTTTGCGGGGACCCCACGTGTCCTCTGTTGTCGATTGCGATTTTAAAGAGTTCGTTGCACGCGTGCAATGCGCGTGTGCTTAACTCTTTCTTTAAAAATCATTTCATTTTGTTTATTATTTTAAATCAATCTTCCAAAAACGATGTCACGCGGGTCCCACATAAGTAAGACGTGACCGAATATCGACCGTTGATAAGGCGCAATGTGTTATAAGTTAACGGTTACGATATAGGGTCAACAACCTATCTAATTAGCAATTTGACCAGAATAAAACCCAATTAGATACGGCCAATTTTTATTGAACAACAAATAATTAAAAAAAGACAAAACTAGTTTTCCAAGTTTGACTGAGATGTCGCTTTTCTCGAGGCTCTCTCTTTACTGGAAATCTAGGCTTGCTCTGATTTTGCAATTTGTTTGCCTCCTTATCGGTTTTCTATATTATTAATATTTAAATGTAAACTTACAGAGTCGGAATTTAATCAATTTATTAAAAGATATGTAGTGTAGCTACTACTTACTAGTGATTCAAAAGAGATTTTAAGGTGGAATTCACGTGTGTTATACTTGTGCAATGCCACTAGATACTAACAATATTTATCTATATTAATAAAAGTTTGTATTTGCATTTAGAATTTATCAGTACCTTTACGTTGTTAAAATTTAAAAAAGGAAAGAATGTATTTTTAGCTTATAAGTATAATATTTTGTGACGAGGTTATTGGAGGAAGAAAACAAAAAGTTGGAGGGCGAAAGAGGAATAAAAAGTGAAAAAAAGCGAGAAAATTCCAAACAAGTTAGCTGAGGAATTGAATTAAGATAAGGAGAGGTTTTAAGTAATAAATCTTGGATATCTGTTTCGTTTGAACTTTGACCACTGCTTCTCCTGGGTCCCACCTATCCCTCTCTCTGATATCTCTCACTTTCCTAAACAGACCCTCATGAGTTTCCCTTTCCTTCCTTCTTCTCTGAATTTAACATTTTTCATTTTCACTCATTTTGCTTCTCTCTCTCTCTCTCGCCGAAGTTTCACTTTCCTTCGTCTCCGAAGAATTTTCTGGGTTTCTAGCTCCTGCCAGGTTTGAATAAATTGCTCTCATCTCTTCTTTGATTTTCTAGATCGAATTTGCTTTACTTTTTCCGCATTCGGACAACGAATTTCTTAAGGATCAGATTTTGATATCTTCTAAGTTTTTTTTAAATGAGACAAACTCTGATTTCACGAATTAGCTTACTGGAAAAAGTGAATCTTTCAATTGAAAATATCTGATGAAAGTGCGATTTTTTTTTCGTCTGTGTTTAACTTCCTGGATTTATTGTCGTTGTCTCTACCGGAGAGATGTCGTCATTAATCATATCGAAAGCGCGTGTATATGATTAATAAATAAATATTGCGTTTTTACAATTCGGCTGCTTCACTGATGAAAATTAGGGTTTATGTATGTAACTATCCTATGATTGCTGCTTGCTCTCTATCTAATCATCTCCTTTAAATCACGAGATCTATACCTGAGATTTGATCCACTTAATTCAGAAATCTGACTTCATTAATTCCATTGTTTCTCTTCAACAGTTTCTATCGCCAATTAATCTAAACCATGCATAAACGGATCTGGGTCTTTAAGCTTCTGGTGCTAAAAAGCTTTTGTTTTGAATGTTTTTTGCAGATGAAATTGTGAGCTTCACTTATCTGTACGTTTTGGCGATCGAGTTTATGAATTTTAAGTGGTAATCAAAAACAGATTTTGAAAAAGATGATTCTGGGGTGTTTCCCTGTAAGAAGCAAGAAGAAACGAGGCTCTGTTTCAATGAAGCGAATGGAGCCTGAAGAAAGCATACCAACTGCTTTACCGGAACCGCCGAAGATTCCTCCAAGCCGTAATCTACAATCTGCTCCTCCAAGTTTCAAGACTCGAGTGAAGCCAATTCACTCCAACAACAACGGTGGACCAGCAGGAGGAGGGATGAGTAGCAGCCGAGCAAGAGTGATGTCTGCTCCGTCAAGCATCCACGGTGTAGTGGACCGTGATTTGCTCTCAGGAGGTTCAGGAGCTAACCTCGATGATCAAGACGAACAACAACAACAGCCGAGAGTATCTAACCCGCAACCGCTTCCGTTACCGTCTCCGAAGACGGCTTCTTCTTCGTTGAAGCATTGGGGCAGTTTCAAATCTTTCAACGGAAGAAGCAGCCAAGTCTCCGCATCCACATCAGCTTCAGCTGGGCCTTTGCCTTTACCACCAAGCGGTTCTGTTAGAAGCTTCTCTTATGATGAAGTTGTGTCCGCTTGCAAGGCGTTTTCTTCAGACCGATGCGTCTCTGAAGGCCTGTCTTCTGTTGTCTACATGGCTTCGTTTGGTGATGAGGCTTCGACTGTTAACTTAAAGAAGGTCGAAGCAACTGTTGTCCGCCTTCACGTAACCACCACTCAGGTAAATAAAATAAAAAACATTTCATTTGCTATGTTGTTAGTTACCATATTCTGAAGATATTTATTTATGTTGTTTCCTTTGTTATTGTGCAGAGTATCAGAGAGTTCATTAATGAAGTGAACACGTTAGCGTCACTGCAACACCAGAATCTCTGTAAGCTTGTTGGCTACCATGCGCGTGAAGGATCCGACACAAGAATGTTGGTCTACGAGAGGCTTGCTTACGGAAGCTTGGACCGGTTGCTTCACGGGAGATCTGATGGTCCTCCGCTTGATTGGAACACTAGAATGAAGATTGCGTTATGCGCTGCTCAGGGTCTTACCTTCTTACACGAAGAAGGCCCGTTTCAGGTACACTCACACACACACAAAACCATCAACATTTGTGTGAATTTGTAGTTATTGAGACTTTTTGTGTTGTGTTGTGATGAACAGGCAATGTACAATGAGTTCTCAACGGCGACTATCCAAGTGGATAAAGATTTCAGCGCCAAGCTGTCAGGATACGGTTGCGTAAGCCACGCGCCAGAGACGGAGACCTCGAACAGCTCAGCGCTTGCGAATCTCTCGGTGGAGACGATAGAGAGAGGGCTTCTGACACCGAAGAGCAACGTGTGGAGCTACGGGATAGTTCTTCTCGAGATGTTGACTGGTCGGAAGAACATGGACGGGTCGTATCCGAAAGAAGAAAGGAACTTGGTGAAATGGAGCAGAGCGTTTTTAGCTGACGACTGTAGGCTCTCGCTGATAATGGATCCTCAGCTTAAGAGTCGGTTTCCGGTTAAAGCGGCGCGGAGCATTGCGGATCTTGCGCAGAAATGTCTTCAGGTTGAGCCATCAGAGCGTCCTACAATGAGAAACATTGTGGATCAGCTTAAGATCATACAGGACATGAAGTACGCGTGTAGGTTTCCGTTACGAGAACCTGCACCGGTCGCGGGAAGGAAACATATGGGAAGGTCTAGTAGTCTTAATACGATTGTTTGGACACCGGCGGCGGCAGCGCCACCTAGGTCGAGTTTTTCGCCGTCGCCTCCAGCACGACGACCGTCGGTTTCGCCCAAAAGGGGACGGGCGATCGTGTTCCCGGCGGTGGTTCCGCAACGAGTGTGTTCGACGTTGGAGGAGATAAGCCGGGAAGAGGTTCGGAGATATTCATCGGCCAGTGGTAGGAGAACTAGCCTCGAAGGGTTTTGATTTGTTCATATCTCTTTCTTCTTCTTCTTTTTTTTCTTCATTTGTTTTCTTTGATTTGTTATTTGGATTCCATATATATGAAAAATTGTTCTTTTTTTTCTTTTTTTGTTAATTATGAATCCAGACGTCGGAAGATGGAGTTTGTGATGTTGTACATAATAAAAAAATATTCTTCAGAAGAAAAGAGAACAGATTGGGACTTGGGAGTATCGTGTCGTAATACTTTGTAACGATACTTAGAGAGTCTGGATAAGCAACACTGTTTGATCAAACTTGTAAATGTTTCCGTTTGTGACAAAAACTGGAAGTACGCTAATACATGCAAATCAAATCTCAAAGTAGGTTATTTTTTTTTAGAGTTCCTAACTTTGCATAGCAGTACTTTTGTATCGCATAAAGTGAATGAAATAACTTATGAATGAGAAATCTTGATATTAACATTGTACAAAGAGTGAAAGAGAAGTACTTATACAAGAGTAGAGATCCTTATCTAGATACAGATATATTCATAATACAACTAGAATAAGCTAAAGTCATGTCTATCTAAATTAATGTAGTCATGATCTAACAATGTAATCTTTATCTCGATAGTGTCCACAAGTCGTCCATCGATTTAGATGTTTTGGGTATTCCATGGAGAAATAATGGGGATGGGGTGAGAGTGAAGATTCTCATTACTACAAGGGACCAAGCTGTGTGTCGGAGGCTGGCCGTTGATCACGTGGTAAAACTTGACTTCCTAAGTTGTGATGATGCTTGGAAGTATTTTTGCACACTAGTTGGAGAAACGGCTACTACCGAACCCATGGCGAAGCAACTCTGTATGCAACTTGGAGGTTATCAATTTGCCATCAAGGTCATGGGAGAAATTATTGGCCAGTGGAAGTACGGTTTGAAGCATGTAAAATTTCCAGACCGTTTGGGAAATATTGCAAGGGGAATGATATATGCTTCTCTAAAGTCGAGCTACGATTGTTTACAAGACAAGATGAAGTCATTTTTTACCAAAAAAAAAAAAGATGAAGTCATGCTTTCTTTTATGTGCTTCGTATCCCGGGGGTTGCATAATCAACGTAAAAGAAGTTGTGTGCCGTATGGTGGCACAAGGAATCGTAGAGGGTTGCCATCAGGAGGGTTCAAGGCTTGAAAGACGTTTGTCTTTTAGAAGATGGTCTTGTCGATGAGACGGTTACAATGCACGCAGTGATACACGGTTTTGCCCGATGGCTGCTTAGGTCCACAAACCAGGGAAACATGTATGGATCTAGTCCACACAACATGGCTTCCCTGTCATGAAATTATTGTCTTCTGAATCTTTTCCTTTATATTTTGACATTTTTTATGTTTGCTTTTCTTCCCAAAAAAAAAAGGTGTTTAAATTTATAGGTGTTGTGTTAATCTCTGACATGTTGACGTAAGGTAATTGTTAATTTCTAGCTAAACTACCTCAAATTATATGGTAACTGTTTCTAGCTAAATTATCTTAACATATTAAAATTAGTGATAGATTCGTTTGAAGGTTAACATTAACATGAGTTGTTAAAAAAAAAGAAGGTTAACATTAACATGTATTATGGATACATATATGCAAATTTTAGGAACTGCTAAAGTGCTAAGTGTTTCCAAAAACATTGCACAACGTCATAAATATTTACGGTGAAAGAACGCTAAACCCTAGTGGTGAATCCAAACTGATTTATACAAATGCTATTACGTATCTTGTGTATGTAAAAAAGTCTAGTTTATACCAATACTTTAAGAAATCCCTATACATACAAATGAAATCTCAAAATACATATGTGATTTCTTATATAGTTCTTCTTAGAATTATCAATTATCTAATGTTTTATGGGGTTTGCAAAACCAAACACTATATTTAGGATCTATATTTGAATATAAGTGTCAGAATCATCTAAGATTTACTTAAAACTATCCAAAATCATTCGAATCCGCATATCTGATCTTATCGATTATCACGGTATCAATTATCACGGCATTACAGGTCAAGTAGATTCTGATTAGACGTTAGAACCGGATCATCGAGTTTAACCGAGTTCCGGTTCGGTTTGATATTTGGTGTCCTCACGGTCGAGATTGAACTTTGTAACCTGCGTTCCAGTCCTTTCCATACCACCTTATCCAGCGTTATCGCCGGCGGAGGAACAAATGGCGGGAAGAGCTACTTTCTCTGTTTCTTCGTCTCTTTCCTCCTGCATCCCTTATTCAGTTACTTCTTCTTCATCGCTCTCACTATCTTTCTCGAATCGGTCGTCGCTACCTGTGCGAATTTCTCCCCGAACCAACAGATTTCCCGGTTAAAATACTCTCCGCCCTCTAAATTCGAGCCATTGATAAATAAGGAATCGATTTTTGAATTGTTTATAAATCCAAAACACGTTGGTTTGCAGGGATTCACTGCTCTTTGTCTGCCAACGACATCAAAGCCGGAACCAACATCGAAGTCGACGGTGCTCCTTGGCGTGTTCTGGGTATTCTTCTTTCTCTAATTTCAGGTTTTGCTTTTGGAATTTGGAATGGATCGTAATCTAAACTTGTAATGGATTTGGTAGATACTGTTACCAGTTCATGACGAATTAAACCAATGTCTTGGGGATTAATTGCATCTAATTTCTGCTGCTTTAATTTGCACGTCTTTTCTGAGTATGTCTCGAATTTCTTGGCTCTTTTATTTTGGGCAGAGTTTCTTCATGTGAAACCAGGAAAAGGAGCGGCATTTGTGAGAACTAAGATCAGGAACTACGTAAATGGTAGCACAGTGGAGAGAACATTTCGTGCTGGCATTTCTGTAAACAATCCTCTCTTTGTCTATTATCTTAATCTTGAATGATTGTAGCTGCACCATCTTGATTACGATTGGATTCTCTCTTCTACGTTGCAGGTTGAGGAAGCAAATGTATACAAAGAAACCAAACAATTTACATACAAAGAAGGGGCTCAGTTTGTTTTCATGGATTTGGTATGTACAAATGGATCCTTTATCCTTACAGTATCTTCTTCGCTATTAGTATTGGGTTAGAGAATGGTTCTAATGATATGGTTATCAAAATCTTAATCCACAGACCACTTACGAAGAAACACGTCTTAACGAATCTGATATGGGCGATAAGACGAGATGGCTGAAAGAAGGAATGGAATGCAGTTTGTTGTACTGGAAAGACAAGGTACACACTTTATTTTTTCTCGTTAAGTTCACAGATGAAGTAGCGGTGGTGATGGAATCTAATCTTGTCTCTGTCTGGAATTTTTGGCAAAGGTTATCGATTTCGAGCTACCAAATACAGTTAAACTAAAAGTGGTTGATGTTGATCCTGGCCTTCGCGGTGACACTGCGCAAGGTAACAGCAATGTTGCACAGAGTTTGGTCATTGTGTTTTTGGTTTAAAGCAAGCCTTAACTAAGTTGTGTGATGTGTTATAGGTGGATCAAAGCCTGCGACAGTGGAAACAGGTGCAGTAGTTACCGTACCACTCTTTGTTAACATAGGTGAAGAGATTTTGGTGGATACTAGAACCGGTATGTACATGAACCGGGCGTGAACCGGCTCTACACCTAATTCATTGGGTCCAAATAATGATAAAATAATTTTTTTGGTCTGTATATGCAAATATTCGAATATGCCGTAAATGTTATTTTAAAAAAATTTATTGAACACCACAAGATTATTTGTTCGATATAATATTAATAATCGCGTTAAAAGGAAAAAGACAATCAGAACGTGTTCAAGTGGGCTCACGGAGAGCCGGCCCATTACGGCAAAGGAATAGTTGGTGGGACAAAAAAACCTCCGCCGCACATTTAACAGTTGGGTCACGTTCACCCAAGAGGATACTGCCACGTGTCTGACCCCTGGATCCACGATGGTAGTTCTCTTAAATCCTCTCTCGTCCTTGTTTTCCTTCTTCGTCTCCTTCCCCAGACATCCTCTCTGGTGAGTCTCCTCTCTCTCTGTTTAACATTTCTCTCGCAGAATTTAAAAATTATTGCTTTTTTCTTTATGGATCGATATAAATTATCAAAATTTATGTATTGCTTTTACGACTTGAAACGTTTTAGGTTGAATTCACAGTTTTGATGTAGATCTCGCCGACTAGATCTGAATTATCGAAATTGAAGTTTTGAATTTCTTCGTGGTTGGAAATTTTGGGTTCTCGAAGCTGTATAGGTTTTTCTAGCGATTCCGAATCGGAAATTGTAGGGCTCTGAGAATTAGGGGTTTTGCTTACTCTCAATTAAGAAAAGGATCTTTGGGCTTTTGCTTATATTGATTCTACAATCGTCTCTTGATAAATTTGGTCAATCTCTTTACTTTCATGTGGTATATAGCCTTTGAATTAACGAAATTTCTTCTACCTGCAGAGCTTAGAAAATTTTCATGGCATTTGCGCACTTCTGCAGCATCGAATGTTTCCTTAAAATCGGGAAACAACAAGAGCTCTTCCTCCTCGTCATCGGATTGCCTATCGCCAGAATCCTCAAAATCAGCACTCGTTTCAGTCAGTTCTCTCCTCATTAACTCCCAATCGGTACAGAATCTCTCACACCAGTCTGGTGAAGAAACTCGTGAAGCTTCCCCGGAGATTCTGTATCGATTTCCCTCTCTGGTGTGGGAATTATGGTTTCCTCTCACCGTCCTGTCCCCATCAAAACCAACAGGCAGCAGTATTTATCACTCAGCCCTTCACAACAATCTGTGTTGAAAGATGATGTTGAGCTTGATTTCTCTGATGTGTTTGGCCCACTCCCTGAAGAGGTGGCCAGTGACGTTGCTTACGACGAGCCTGCTGTTGTCTACAGTCGATCACACTCATTGGTTGGGCCGTCTTCGTTCGGTAGTCATTCTTTCAAGCTGAGCAAGCTCACCTTAAGAGATACTGAGGACTCAGTTGAGTTGGTGGAATGTCTTGAAGGTGAATCGTTGAAAGAGAACGATGATGACGACACTGACAGTGATAAAGCTCTGGAGGGAGATCTTGTGAAGGTCTCTGGTGTGGTAGGGCTTGTGGATTTTGAGATTATGAAGGTTGTTGGGAAAGGTGCGTTTGGGAAAGTGTACCAGGTGAGGAAGAAGGATACCTCTGAGATATATGCTATGAAGGTTATGAGGAAAGATAAAATCATGGAGAAGAATCATGCCGAGTACATGAAAGCTGAGCGTGACATTCTTACCAAAATTGATCATCCTTTCATTGTGCAACTTAAATACTCTTTTCAGGTAAACAATCTCTGTTCTCTCTGTTTGCAATTCCTAGAGTGGTTTTAACTTTATAAATGGTTTAACTAAGAGTGATATGCATTAACCTTTTGTGTTGCAGACTAAGTACAGGCTCTATCTTGTGCTTGACTTTATCAACGGAGGACATCTCTTCTTCCAGCTCTATCACCAAGGCCTTTTCCGGTTTTGCTTTAGTTCCCTTTTTCAACTGTTTTTGGAGTTTCATTTGAATTCTGCAAGGCTTGACTAGTTGCATGGTTTGTTTTTTTACAGAGAGGACTTGGCTCGTGTATACACTGCAGAGATCATCTCCGCAGTGTCCCATCTCCATGAGAAAGGCATAATGCATAGAGATCTCAAACCGGAAAACATTCTCATGGACGTAGATGGACATGTGATGCTAACCGATTTTGGTTTAGCAAAGGAGTTTGAAGAAAACACAAGGTCAAACTCCATGTGTGGGACTACTGAGTATATGGCACCTGAAATCGTTCGTGGGAAAGGGCATGACAAAGCTGCTGACTGGTGGAGCGTTGGGATTCTTCTCTATGAGATGCTCACCGGAAAGGTAAAAAACGTTTTCTTTGTTAATGAAGAATCCTCATCCATGCCTTAGTATTTGTTTAGTGTGTGATGCCAGTTTTTATTTGCATTTGCAGCCACCGTTTATGGGGAGCAGAGGAAAGATAGAGCAGAAAATTGTAAAGGACAAGATCAAGCTTCCCCAGTTTCTGACTAGTGAAGCTCATGCCTTGCTAAAAGGGGTAAGTATCATCATCATCATCATCTTCGTTTACTATGAAGCATTGGATTAATTAGACCGAAATCTGATTTCTGGAATTGTAATGAATGTATAGCTGCTGCAAAAAGAGCCAGAAAGGCGACTAGGAAGTGGACCAAGCGGAGCAGATGAGATAAAACAGCACAAATGGTTCAAAGGAATGAACTGGAAGAAGCTGGAGCTTCGAGAAGTGAAGCCAAGTTTCAAGCCGGAGATATCGGGAAGACAATGCATAGCGAATTTTGACAAGTGCTGGACTGAAATGTCTGTGTTGGATTCTCCAGCAAGCAGCCCCAGCTCGGGTCCTATGGCCAATCCTTTTACCAACTTCACATACGTCAGGCCTCCTCCTTCATTCCTTCACCATTCCACATCCTCGTGAGAGTTTATCTCCAATCGAGGGAGAGTTATTTTTAACCGAAAATGTATCTGAAAGTTCTTTAAGTTTCTCACTCTCAGAGTCAATAATATTTCCCATAATCGTTTATTTGAATACATTTATGTACTTTAATTGTCAAGTATATTATGATTAGAGAGAACTTCTTAACGAAAAGGTGCATATGACGACAACTTCAGTATCCTTTTTTGACTCGACTTTAACTTATGTCTAAATCCATTGTATTTTGTATTTGTAACTGACGTAGTCAAAAGTACGTCTTGTAGTGGGCTTAATGAGAGCAGGCCCACTAAAATAATATAAAGAAAACCTCCGCCGCGTTTAACAACTAGTCAACATCCTTCCAATAAAAAATAAACACGTGTCCTAACCCCTTGATCCACGATGCTTCGCAAGTTTCCTTTTCCTACAATATAAAACAAAAATAAGGGAGCCACGCGCCTTCAAAACCTTTTCCTTGCAGGTTTGGCATTTCGGTTTAACCTCATAAATTCTGCTCTTTGTTCTCTCGTCTCATTCGGATCCTTAGGCATATTCTCTGGTAATCATCTCTTTCTCTTTGACTTTCTCTCGCAGAGTTTAGATTCCTTTTCTTCTTTGCTTTCTGGATGCAAATTATTGAAGTTGTTTGTGTCTACGACACGAAACCTCTTTAGGTTCAGGTCATAGTTTTTCTTTAAACCTGGATTTGTTGCAAATTTGCTTTTGTTTCCCGGCAACTCCTTCCCTGATTTTCCGGCAGATTTAAATTATAGAGATCTAATTTCTTTTTGTTGCGTCCTGGTCGAATTTAGGTTCTCAATTCTGTATTTTTTTTACCGATTCTGGGCAAAATTCAAGTTTTTTCTTCGCAGTGAAAATTTCCTTTTTTTTCCTTTGAATTTTGGGTATTTGGTCGGTGCGAAGTTTATTCATAAATCTCAATCATGTTGAATATTGACTTTAGTTTTTGGTAATTAAAAAAGGATAAATATTTTCTTCTTAGTTTCATAATCCTGGTCAATCCTGAACTTGAGATTCTATATATGAACATGTCTTCGTTTCTGAATTTGTGAACTTCTCGTGAATTGCAGAGCAGCTTATGGCATTCGGGCACTTTTGCAGCATCCACTGTTTCCTTAAATTAGGGAAACAAGAAGAGCTTCTCCTCCTCGATTCTCTCCTCGTTGACTCCATCGTTACCAGACTCTCACCAATCTGCTGAACTTTCGAAGAAGCTTCAATCTCTTATTCTCTTAACGACTTTGGTTTTAAATTATGGTTTCCTCTGATTGTCTTGTTGCCGACAAGTCTGGCAAACTGTTTCAGAAACAGCTATGCTTATCCATCACACCTCCAAGTTCTGTTTTGAACGAAAACGTCGAGCTTGACTTCTCTGATGTGTTTGGTCCACTGCCTGAAGAGGAAGCCAGTGACGCTGCTTACGACGAGCCTGCTGTTGTCTACAGTCGGTCCCACTCATTGGTTGGCCCGTCTGTGATTGGTTGTCAATCTTTCAAGCTGAACAAGCTTACCTTGCGAGAGACCAGTGACTCTGTTGACTTGGTGGAATGTGAATCATTGAAAGAAAACGACGAACTCTCTGGTAGTGATGACACTGACAACGAGAAAGCTCCAGAGGGAGATCTGGTGAAGGTCTCAGGAGTGGTAGGGATTGATGATTTTGAGGTTTTGAAAGTTTTGGGGCAAGGTGCGTTTGGGAAAGTGTACCAGGTGAGGAAGAAGGATACATATGAGATATATGCGATGAAGGTGATGAGGAAAGATAAGATTATGGAGAAGAACCATGCAGAGTACATGAAAGCTGAGCGTGACATTCTTACAAAGATTGATCATCCTTTCATTGTGCAACTGAACTACTCTTTTCAGGTAAACAATCTCAATTCTCTCTGTTTGCAATTCCTAAAGTGGTTTTGACTTCGTAAGTGGTTTAACTAATATTGGTTTGGATTAATCTTGTGTTTGCAGACTAAGTATAGGCTTTATCTTGTGCTTGACTTTATAAACGGAGGCCATCTTTTCTTCCAGCTCTATCATCAAGGCCTTTTCAGGTTTGGTTTGGTTCTCCTTTTCAACTGTTTTTTGGAGTTTCATTAGAATTCTGCAAGGCTTGACTTGTTTTTTGTCTTTCACAGAGAGGACTTGGCTCGTGTGTACACTGCAGAAATTGTCTCCGCACTTTCTCATCTCCATGAGAAAGGCATAATGCATAGAGATCTCAAACCTGAAAACATTCTCATGGACGTAGATGGACATGTGATGCTAACTGATTTTGGTTTAGCGAAGGAGTTTGACGAAAACAAAAGATCAAACTCCATGTGTGGGACTACTGAGTATATGGCACCTGAAATCGTTCGTGGAAAAGGACATGACAAAGCTGCTGACTGGTGGAGCGTTGGGATTCTTCTCTATGAGATGCTCACTGGAAAGGTACAAAAAGCGTTTCTTTCTTTCCAAAGAAGCTATATTGTAGTCTTGGTCCTGTTTGCTTAGGAGATAACTAATATGTCATGTGTTTTCTCCTATTTTTGCAGCCACCGTTTCTTGGGAGCAAAGGAAAGATACAGCAGAAAATAGTGAAGGACAAGATCAAACTTCCACAGTTTCTGTCCAGTGAAGCTCATGCCTTGCTGAAAGGGGTAAGTATCTTCATCATCATCTTTGTGTACTATGAATCATTGATTAACTAGACTGAAATCTTATTCTGATATTGTTAATGAATGTGTAGCTGCTGCAAAAAGAGCCAGAAAGGAGACTAGGAAGTGGACCGAGCGGAGCAGAGGAGATTAAAAAGCATAAATGGTTCAAAGGAATGAATTGGAAGAAGGTGGAGGCTAGAGAAGTGAAGCCAAGCTTCAAGCCTGCGGTGTTGGGGATACAATGCATAGCGAATTTTGACAAGTGTTGGACTGATATGTCTGTGCTGGATTCTCCAGCAAGCAGTCCCAGCTCGGATCCTAAGGCTAACCCTTTTACTAACTTCACATACGTCAGGCCTCCTGCATCGTTCCTTCAACGGACCACATCAACTTTGTAAAGGAACTATATGTGGTTATTAGATGGGTTTATTAATTATAAATATACAGAATTTGATGTTTGTGCTTATAAAAAATATACATAATTTTATGGTTCTAAGCTTCTTCATCGTCTTCTTGTGTTTCTGTTATTTCTTCTCATGGCCGCTTCTTTCTCTAACATGTAGATTCGTTAAAGAGAATATGAAATTAAATATGAATCTATGTTAGAGGTTTGACCAAGAAAACGTATATAATATTTGATATTTTATGAGATCCTTTTTGAAGAGTGAAGGAATTGTTTTGATGGCGAACAAATCTATTAAATAATTGAAGCAGAGCAGACTAGCATTGACCTTTGACCCTTTGGTAAACATAAAGCTAGCGTTGAAAACGTGTATAAGTTGATAACGACGTGCTTTCGGACCAAACTAGTGTAGTAGTATCTTATCTATTATCTAACAATGTAAAGTAAAAGCCATTGGTTTTCTTTATTTGGTTTTCATTGAAAGAGAAGCTTAAATCAAAGTAAATTGGTTATTTTCAATCTTAAAAATCCGTTTTTCTTCACAAAGAGGATGGATATGCTCCTCATAAGTAAAAGTAAGAGAATAAAGAAGAATTAAAAAACATTGCACACATTTAGATAGAGACGACGATTCAATATATATAAAAGATGCATATTAAAGAAAACAGGATGATCTAAACTCAAATGTTTTAATGGGATTTTTAAACTTTCGCATTATACATACATTGATCAGAACAAAAGAGTTTTGGTACTTGACACCGTGGGGAAGACAAGAGACAATAAGAACACAACAAGGGTTCGGTACTTCGGTCAAGGCCGTTGTGGACTTTCAGGTACGGAATCAATGATGGAAGTAACCTTCTTCTGTAGCTCCGGCTTGTTTGCTCCCACAAGCTTGCCTATTTGCTCTCCATTCTTTAGAAAGAAGAATGTTGGTGTTGCCTTTATGTCCCACGATGAGCTAAAATCCTGAAACAAAATTCACAGATAAACAACACATTGGACGAGATTCCGTTGTGAAGAAGAAATGTTTAGGAAACAATGGTGGTGGTACTACTTACGCTGAGTTCATCAACATCTACAATAAGGAACATAAGAGAAGGATGTTTCTCTGAGAGCTCGATGTAAAATGGTGCCACAATCTTGCAAGGACCACACCAAGTCGCGCTGAAATTTGCAATCACCTGTTTAAAGAGCAGAGATCTGGTCATAAGAAACACAACAACATTTCTCCATATGAAAAAAACAGAGAGCTTTTTAAGAAGGGAAAAATTACTATTTTGCCATCACGTTCAGCTTCTGCTAATTTGTCATCCCAACTCTCTTTTGTTGTGATCAGATGAACATTGCCGCCGGAAAACTCAACGTTGTGGATTGAATCATCGTCTTCTTTCCCCTACCGTAGCAAACCAAAAAGATTTATTTTCTAATCATAGCATAAACAACAAATACAATTCCAATTTCATAGAGAGGAACAAAAAAATACCTTAGAGACGCAGCTTCCCATTTGAATGTCGTGGAAATTCGAATTCGTCTGAAATATAATAAAATCGATTTTTTCTGCAACTCCCTGGAAAAAGAGGAAACTTTTCAATTAATCGAATCATGGAGAGGATTCAATAGCGAGCAAACGGAAACAAAAAAATGAGAGAGGCGGTTCGATAGAATAAACGGATTAAGAGAATATGAAACGGCAACAACGGACCTTTGAGATCGGAGAATTAATTAAACGCGCAACCGGAGAAGAGAGGTTGAAAATTTTGACAGAGAATGATACAAGGAAGAGAGAGAGAAGAGGAAGAGAATTGAAAGTACCAACCTATTTTTCTGGTGCTGAAGGATGGAAGAAAACGGCGTCGTGGTATGAGGAAAGAGACCAAATTAGATTATAGAGGGAGGAGTCGTTGATTGGAGAAGAAAGCTCTCTCTCTCCTCCCATTATGACCGCGTCTCACACCCAATTTTCCATCCCCTTTCTCTCGTAATTACGGTTTTGCCCTTATCCTCTCTGTCCAATTTGTTTTATTTCTTTTTCAAGACTCAGCTTTATAGTACGTACGTTACCAAACCAAAATTCAACGAAACAAGAGTACTGTACACAATGCAAATAATGCACAAGGAGAATTCAATATTGACCTTAAACGGATACAGTAACTGAAGAAAAATTAACTGATACTCCTCCATACAATAACAAAATAACAAATATGTCGGCAGCAGCATATGAAAACTTTTATAAAGAAAAACTCGTAGTTGTACCAGAAAAATCACATTTATTTTTAGTAATCATTCACCACTTTTGTATTGATATAAGTATATAACGATGAGTGAGCAAATCGACAATACAACATTCATCACTCGTACCCTTGTTTCAAAAAAAAATAATAATAATAATAATCACTCGCGCTAACACACAAAATTGGTTGAAACTCAAACTTAATTCCACAACATTAGTATCGATTTGGCTTTGTAGTTAACGTAATCGTGTTTAATCAAGGTATGTTAATTTTTCTTGACTTTAGCTTAGTTAGAGCATCTCCAACCCCATGCTAAATATGACATATATGCTATTTTGCCATAATTTTTGCTCCAACCCAATTGCATATGCTATTGCAAAATAGCATCATGCTATTTTTGCTTCTATATTTGGCATGAGATTATGCAATATGCTATTTTGCCATTGAACTTTTTTATTTATAAAATAGTCCTTCAATTTGTAATTACTTTTAATTTAACAGTTTAATTATATTGATTATGATTTATTTAAATAAATAAACAATACTCATAACTTTTTCAAAATATAAATAATATTTATTTCATAGAAATATAAAAACATAACCATAATAAACTTCAAATTTTATTTTTAAAAATACTGAAATTCAAAAAACATAAAACAATAGGTTAAAATCTTTGTTTTCTATAATTTTTATGTAATATGATGTATTTTGTTTTAATATTATAATAAAAAAAATAATATAATTCTGGTTGTTTTTGCAAAAAAAGAAAAACAAATGATTCACTTTGTAAAATTTGAAGAAATCAAGTAGTTTTAACAATTAATAATAAGTTGGAAAAAAATTATAGCATGATATATGGCATGAGGGGTTGGAGAGAAACCCAATGCTATTGCTATATTTTTGCCATTTGCAATAACATATGGCATGAGGGGTTGGAGATGGTCTTAGAATGACTATCTTTGGTAAAATGACAAGTCACCTTGTAAATAACAAAGAACCAATTAACTCGTATTAGCAACAAAAAAAAGCTCGAACTTGTGTCTTTGCATAATAATATATGGGAAATATATTTCGTCTCAAATCTTGTAAAATACGTATCAACAAGGTATTTTGGACCCCGGTTTGTTTTCATTTCTCGTTTAGTCAGATAGACAAAATATGATAACAATCCTACATGTAGGGAATTAATCAATACATATATGTTTATTTCTCATTATGAGAAAAAAAAAAAAAAGGAGTATTCAATTTACACGAGTTATAATAAATTCAAAGAGAGGACTTCCAAGCTCATCTCCTCGCCTAGCTCTGTCAAGTTACCTTCATCATCAATTGCTCCCAGATAACACAAATCGTTCAAGGCCCACATGAAGGACTCAGGGTGAGGAGGATCAACAACTTCGAAGGATAACAAGTTCACATGACCCAGCAGCCTTTTCAAGATCAGAACCGTGTTTTCAAGGTTTGATCTACATATCTCAGGAACTCGCGACTCACTCAAGTCACTGAAATTTTGCTCAGTGTAAAGCCTGAAGCATTTTCCAGGCCGTGCTCTACCGGCACGACCCGCTCTCTGCTCAGCACATGCCTTGGATATTGGGGACACCAACAAGGACTCGAGACCAGTGGGTGGGTAGTAGACTTTCTGCCTGGAGACACCAGGATCGACCACGTAAACAATCCCGTCGATGGCTAAAGAAGCCTCTGCAACGACAATCTTTCTCACAGCTGGATGTGGTGCAGGATCGAAGATCATGTGCTGCATGGCAGGCGTAAGAAAGGAGGAATACAATGGCACAACTTTGACTTGATCTCCAAGCGAACGGGAAATTCTCCTGCAAGCAACTCGAATCTCTTCTGCCCCGGTCAAGAAAACAAGAACATCACCAGGTGGCTCACACATGTGAATCTGGATAGCTTTTCTTATAGCAGCCTCGAGATAGTCCATGGCAGGTTGTGGAGTATACAAGATCTCCACAGGATGGAGCCTACCGGGGACTGTGATGAGAGGAGGCTCACTTCTAAAAAAATCCTTGTGGAACCATGGGGTTGCACTCTGACTCATCACAACCAGCTTAAGATCAGGTCGGCTAATCAATGCTTTTTTAAGAATACCAGAAAGCAAATTAGTGGCTAGACTTCTTTCATGAACGTCGTCCAGAACAATCACTTTGTATCTCTCTAAGAGTGGATCCGCCGCCGCTTCTCTCAGAAGCATTCCATCGGTCAGGTACTTGAGCACCGTTTGAGGGCTGCTGCGATCCTCAAAACCGACTGAGTAACCGACTTCTTGCCCGATCTCTACACCCATCTCTTGAGCAACACGACGGGCCGCAGATATGGCCGCAACTCTACGAGGTTGCGTGCACCCAACCACCCACTTGCTAGGGTTAGGGTTAGGGTTTTCATCGGCGATTGCTTCTAAAACAAACTGTGGGATCTGCGTTGTTTTACCACAGCCGGTCTCACCCACAAGCATCACGATCTGATTTTCCTTGAAAGTTTTGAGAAACTCTTCTTTCTGCATCCACACTGGTAGATTCCTACGTTCCTCCAATATTTCGTAATACCTTGCAGAATACGCCTTCTTCATCATCATATCGATTCTCTTCAACAACCAACTCCTCCTTGTCTTTTTTTTTTTTTTTTTCTTTATCTCCTTCTGGCCACTTAGGTTATATATTTATAGCAATCCTGTTTTCCTTTTCTCCGAGTGTATTTTGGAAATTTTCCTTTTCAACCTATAAAATATGATCCAGAAAGTGCCTGCTTATAAAATATGAAATGAAACACTAAATAAGGAAATACAGGACAAAAATAGGAAATATGCAAGAACAAATCGCTCAATAATCAGTCATGAAGATAGCACATGCGTCATAACTCGGCGTGCTCAATCGCCATCTTTACATGGTTACCCCCATCGTCAATTACAATGTAAACTCTGTTCGAACTAAAGAAAAACGGTATATCATTACCATATATGCCAAAGGCAAAGATAACGAGACAGGCTTTCTGTTCGGCCCGGGGTAACTTTCATGTCCGTTGAAGACAATGCCGGAATAAAACATAACAAAGTGTACCAAAAACAACAGACAAAACAAGGCAGAGCCATACAGCTAAAGCATATGTGAAACAAGGCTAAAGCAGATCGCAAAATGAAGAGAAAAGAAAGCTAGAAAAAACAACTAAAACAGAGACGCTATGGCATATCCAATCAAACCGAGTAAACCCAGATCATAATAACAAGGATAAACTAGAGTTAGAGACAAAACAAAAGAATTCACACAACAATATACTAAGAAAAACCAGAGACAAAATAAGGCAAAACCAGATGATAACAATTAAAAGTCACAAAACAAAAGAAAAGGCACAACATCAGACTAAGCAAATTACGAGAGCAAAAAAAAACATATTGTATTACTAAGCAAAACCATGGACAAATCAAAACTTCTAAGCAAAAAAAACTCAAAGACTGTATTAATTTAAATAAACATGACTTTAGCTTATTCTAGTTCTATTACGAATATATATTCTATCTAGATAAGGATCTCTTAATATCAAAATTGCCCATTCATAATTTATTTCACAAACTTTTTTTTTTTTTTTTCACAAACCTTGGCTATGCCCTAAATCAACGTAAAGACTGTTATTTCACAAACCTTAGCTATAACCAAAATCAACGTAAATACCGAGAATTAAATTGGAGAATCTGTTGACCAAAACACATAATCTAAATAGGATCAGGATCGGAGAACTTTTTGATTAATTTACTGTTTCAATAGCATAATCTTAAGTACCTAAAGTAAAAAATACGGATAGTTGAAGGAAGAATAGGAAGCAGAAGAGTAGTTTTTTTTTATAGTTTAAAAATAAAAGATGTTTGCTTGTCTCATCCCATAGCGTGTCTCTGTGTCCAGCTTCGTGCGGTTGCCTCGTACTTGAATTTATCCGTCTTGTACAGATGAGCTATCTCCGGCACAAGAGGATCATCTGGGTTCGGGTCCGTCAGCAGTGAGCTAATCGATAGCAAAACCTGATTCCATACATCATCATCATTCACATTAATAAACAAACTATCGGTTGAAGTAGTTCCTTTTAACCTAATTGTACTGTTAAACGGTAGTAGAGATAGTAATTAACTCAAACCTTGGCTACGGTAAGAGCAGGACTCCATTGTTCTTTCAATATATCAAGACAGATGCTTCCGTTCTCGTTGATGTTTGGATGGTACACCTTAGTTTTGAAAGTCACCTGCAAAATCAGATATATATACATCATAAGATATAATCATAAAAGTTTTATTTAGCATCACATGATTAGTTTAGTAAAAAGACAAACCTTTGGTGGCTTGAAAGGATAATCCTGAGGAAATTGAATGGTAACCAAAAACACTCCTCCGGCATACGGACTGTTAGAAGGTCCCATGATAGTTGCTTGCCAGTGGTACATGTCCTCAGCCGGACCTGAGACAAAAAAAAACTCGTAAGGATTCTTACTTTTGACCACCAATCTTTTAGCACAAAAGAAAAAACAAGAAAACAAAAACGCATCTCTAATATACATGGATTGATGAAACAACGTATGTAAGGGAAACGATCTATAGTCTTTTAGAGCGGATTAATCAGTTAAATCAATAGAGAAGGATAATAATAATAATAATTACCTGCGCTACAGTTTGAAGGAGGATCCATCTGGAGATCCCTGAGCTCTCTTGAAATTCCCCTAGAAGCCATCACTGATCAGACAAGAAAACCTGCACAAGTACCAACACAACAAAACGACACAAACACAATGAGTATTGTGGACAAGGGAGGACAAAACTTAAACCAACCAACTTATAGCTCAAACAGATCACAGCAAAACTTCGGAACCAAACAACACAAATCGTAAGTGATCAGAAACCCTAGACTTGGTGGGAAACTAAGCGCGCAAAAGAAAATAGAGAAAGAAAAATTTCGGGAGAGAAGAGATTAGGGTTTAATTACCAAGTGGGACTGGATCTGAAACCGCGCGCAACGAGTGAGAAGAGAGAAGAGAATCAAAAAAAAAAAAAGACGTGCGAAAGAGAAAGCTAATGCCCTGCTCCTCCTTCTCTCTTTCTTTATATAGTCAGAGGATCTAACTTGTATTTACGTAAAAGTCATTCATGCCTTCTGATTCTGTGTTCCTTTTCCTAATTAGTATTAACTTTTACGTGCCAACTATTTTATTTACATTATCTCTTATTAGTTATATCTTATTATATAAAATCAAACGCGTTTAATAGACGAATATGGTACGAATAATCTTAAGAAATTGTACTACAATATTTTTTTGGAAAAATGCATATTTTGAAAAAGTTATACGAACAAGTTTATGTCAATAAAATTTAAAAGGGAAATACATATTATTACCTGATTCAAAACTGAAAATAGCAAATGGAAATTGTATCAAATTATTGCATGTTTTAGAGCACCGTTCTATGACCTAAAAAGAAAGTATAATAAAAAATAAAAAATTGAGTCAGCAAGTATAATTTGTATATAATAATTGACATATTTGTAATGATTTTACATGTTCTACATTGTTTTAGTATGAAAATAAACAAGTTATAAACTTATAATAATGGAATATTTCTAATTACTGGAATAGAAATTTGAATAAGACTGAGTATTACTTGAAAAGATCACAAAAATTGTATGAAGGTCAAAAAAAATAATTTATCGCAATATTGAGTAGATATGTATGAATTTTTTGTATAAGATTGGGGCTATTGCAATATTTGTTTCTTTCTTCTGATTTTCCATGAACTGCTAAGTGTTAAAAACATCTAAACGATATGTACAGTAAAGTAAAATATTGGCTTTATAATGAATTTTAAACACCATTTTTATATATAAATAAAAAGTTTTCTGATTTTTATTTTTTAAACACTGATTAATGTATAATTTTTTTATCTGTTTTCATAAGTACACAAATCTGACAATAGTTCCTAATGCAGTAAATTTATGTTCTGTGTAAACTATCATGTGTCGATACCAATAGTACAATATTACACTTGTATATACATCAACTGTATGGTTGAACGAAAGAAAAAAGAGATGGCATCTGAGTGATATTCACATTGACGGATCTGAATGGTGACCAGTTGAAATTTGAGAATCATAGGGTGGAAAGCGTGAAATCAGAGTACTTCATAAACTATAGTATTATTGTATTGACTATTTAGCTACTAGTTTCCTACTATTGTCAGTGATCCCTAACATCTGACACCAAACAAAAACCATTACCTATTGTTATTGTATGCCTGAATCTAATGTTGTTTAATTTCTGCTTTCCAGTACCTTTCAAGTAATCAAACAGATGCCTTAGCTGAAATACAAGATGTTCTCCGAGCAGTATGTCATGCACACAAGTTGCCTTTAGCTCTAGCCTCGATTCTTTGCATAGAGGAGACAGCTTGTTATGTGAATGATATGGAGATGGAAGGCTTTGTGCGCGCGTGTTTGGAGCATTGTACTTTGATGTAGACTTCCGACAGAAAGATTTTCAATATTTGATGTAGCGGTCAATTCTTTTTCTGTTATGTTTTGTACTAATGTGAATTATTGAAATTTCCGACTTTTTAGAGCAAACTACGTAGCTCATGAATAGCGACTGAAGAATCTCTTTGAATCTTAAATTGGCTTAAATGGTCAAATACTTTTTAATGGGCTCACAAATAATATAGTATGAGAGGCCTTATGGTAAACAAGCCCAATTAGGTTGTTAACTGTGTTATACGTCAAAATCTCCCACATCGCTCAGATAACGAGAAGAAGATTGGTTTATATATGGTTGGAGTGACAAAGATGATTGTCCCTTCGGGGACATCCGATAAAATTGGAACGATACAGAGAAGATTAGCATGGCCCCTGCGCAAGGATGACACGCACAAATCGAGAAATGGTCCAAATTTTTTTTTTTGCTAAAAGTTTCACCATCGATCTCTGAATTTTGGGTTTTGTTCTTCCGTTTTCTGATTCAGAGCTTAAGTTTTTGATGCTAATCTGTGCGAGAAAGAAAGACTACATGTTTCTGAAACCTTAAAATTCTAGTTTTTTTCCTTGATTAATTAATATAACTGGAACTGCAGTGAAATTGGTTCGTCGTTGCAGTACGGATGGTCGGAGAAATTATCTATCTCTGTGTTTGGTTCGAGGTGGCGACGAATACTAAACTCGTATTTACACAAACTAAACAAGAAACAAATTTATTAAAAAAAAACATTGGAAACTTTACTAACCCACACACTAAAAACCCAATCTAAAAACTACAACCATTAAAGGACAGAGTTTCAATTACATTACTTTTTTCAATTTTAAGTTTTTGATGCTAATCTGTGCGAGAAAGAAAGACTACATGTTTCTGAAACCTTAAAATTCTAGTTTTTTTCCTTGATTAATTAATATAACTGGAACTGCAGTGAAATTGGTTCGTCGTTGCAGTACGGATGGTCGGAGAAATTATCTATCTCTGTGTTTGGTTCGAGGTGGCGACGAATACTAAACTCGTATTTACACAAACTAAACAAGAAACAAATTTATTAAAAAAAAACATTGGAAACTTTACTAACCCACACACTAAAAACCCAATCTAAAAACTACAACCATTAAAGGACAGAGTTTCAATTACATTACTTTTTTCAATTTTAAGTTTTTGATGCTAATCTGTGCGAGAAAGAAAGACTACATGTTTCTGAAACCTTAAAATTCTAGTTTTTTTCCTTGATTAATTAATATAACTGGAACTGCAGTGAAATTGGTTCGTCGTTGCAGTACGGATGGTCGGAGAAATTATCTATCTCTGTGTTTGGTTCGAGGTGGCGACGAATACTAAACTCGTATTTACACAAACTAAACAAGAAACAAATTTATTAAAAAAAAACATTGGAAACTTTACTAACCCACACACTAAAAACCCAATCTAAAAACTACAACCATTAAAGGACAGAGTTTCAATTACATTACTTTTTTCCAGATAAAGTTTGGAATAAATTATGCTGAAGTAGTCAGACATAGAACTACGAAAAGGTTTATTACGCAGAAAGAAGTAGGAAAAGCAAAATAAATAATGATTTGAGAAAGGGAAAAAAAATAAATCTAAACCGGACTATCAGAGCTTCTGATCATCTCCGGCGAAGAGGCTCTGTTAGCAGAACCAGGACCAGAACCTGTAGAAGGTCGAATCTCCTCCATCATGTTAACAACTTCCTCCATGGAAGGCCTAGAATCTGGATGCTTAGACACACAAGCCATTGCTATCTGCAACATCTGCACCATCTCCTCCTCGACGTTGTGCTGCTGCTTGATCAGCTCTACGTCAAACACTTCTCCAGTCCACTCCTCTCTCACCACCGACTGCACCCACTTGGGCAGATCCACCACTTCCTCATGCCCTGTCGTCTTCCCGGCTGCTTTCCCTGTCAGCATCTCCAGCAACAGCACACCGAAGCTGTACACGTCGGATTTCTGAGTATGTTTCTTGGTCTCTATGGCCTCTGGTGCTCTGTACCCTAAGCTTCTTGATGGGAGCAAGGTGTGGTGGCTCATCAACGGAGCTATACCGAAATCAGAGACACAGACATGTAGTTCTGGGGTTAAGAGGACGTTAGGTGATTTGATGTTTCCGTGAAGGAGCTTAGCACCAGATGCAGAGTGGATGTGAGCAATTCCTTTTGCAGCTCCCAAACAGATTTTCAACCTTGTTTCCCAGTTCAACGCCCCTCTTCCTCCCTCGTTGTTGCCTGCATAGAATTTATCGGAAATGTTACCACTTTTTGTAACCGCAACAAATAACATGTGAAGCATCATCATCATTAGTCATTACCATGAAGAAGCATGGAGAAGTTTCCTCCTTGGTAGTAATCATACACGAGCAGCTTCTCGTCTTTTGAGAAGTAATAAGCACGGAGAGGAGCTACATTCTCGTGTGGGCTGATTCTTCCCACGGCTTCCATCTGCTGCTCGAACTCCCGTTTCCCAGCTGCTACTTCTTTCAGCCTCTTCACCACCACCGTGGTTCCTTCCTCTAAGATGGCCTTATACGTTGTGCCGTAGCTTCCTTTCCCTAAAACTTCAGCAGAGGCTCTGAGCAAGTCCTCAAGATCAAAGTTATATGAACTTCCTTCAAAGAAGACCAGCTTGTTCTTCTCCGCTTCCTGCACTCCACTCCCAAACTCCTCAGCCTTGTTGTCACTCCTCCCGGGTTTAGCTTTTGGCACTGCGGTGCTGTCTTGCCCGCCGTCTCTTTTCTTGGCACAGCAAAGGGTTATGATGGCAAGAATGATAAACAGCAGAACCGAACCTCCAACTGCAATGCCGACAATAGCTCCAGTGGAGAGAACTTTTTTGGTTTTACCAGGAGTTTTGGCTGGTGGAGTCGTGGAAGGTGATGGTGATGGTGATGGTGCAGTGGTGTTCTTTAGGCATGGAGTTAGAGGACCTCCGCATAAAAGGCTATTACCTTGAAAGGAGGATGCAGGGAAGGACTTGACAGAAGATGGAACCGAGCCGTTAAGGTTATTAAAGCTCACATTCAAGTATGTTAAGCTAGAAGGGAGGTCAGGGATTGTCCCACTGAGAGAATTGTTTTGTAGGCTGAGGTCTGTGAGGTGAGTAAGGTTTCGTAGACTCGAGGGAATGTCACCCGATAGCGAGTTGGCAGAGAGATCAAGATTCACAAGGCGATGAGAGAGAGTGGGAGGGATAGTACCAGAGAAGTTATTGTCATGAAAGTAGATGGAACGGATGAAAGGAAGAGAGAGAATGGCAGATGGAATGTTCCCCTGAAGGTAGTTGGATCGCAGGCTAATGATCCTGAGGGCATCGAGCTTCTCAAATGTCTTCTCTGGTAAAGGTCCAAAGAGTCCAGAGCCAGGCAAACGGAGTGCGGTTACACGGGCGTTGTTCTTGGAGCAGGTGATGCCGGTCCAAGAAGTGCAGACTGGATTTGTGGTGTTCCAGTTGAGCTTGCGGCTGTGAGGAACGAGAGATGCAAACTCGAGCAGCGCTTGCTTGTCTGACTCTATGTCTGCAGATAAACAACGGGAAACAAAAGGCGAGAGCAATAGGAAAAAGAATGCCGCAACGATCATCATCATCAAAGTCCTTTGAGAATACTCTTTAGGCTCACTCACTTCAAAGTTTTCTCATTCACCTGCAACTGTAACAGAACACAAAACACATCAAATTCTGATTTAGAGTCACATGGAGAAATTTTTATCTATGAGATGTAGCCAAGAATGACACCGACACTTCACAGGTATCAGGAGTAAAGAAAGACACAAAAGCAAAAGGTTTTAGGAGAGTTGTATCAGGAACCATAGTGGGAATGATGATAAATCCAATGCGACATTACTCGATTATCAATCAAAACCAGAAATTTACGGAAGCTTAATGCACAGATTCATTCAATGTCAGCGAGTGGGTTCTCACTCAAACCGGTTGAAGAATTCTCTGAGTATCAAGTATATACACAATCATCAAAACCTCGATTAGAAAGCTGCTAATTTTAGAAACGATTGGTAAGAGAAATGTGTGCCTAGGTACTTGTTGTACTCAGATCTGTAATTACAGATGAAGATTAGAAAACTAGGGTTTTTCCAGCTAGCAAACGGAGAATTTGAGAATGAAAATGAGAAATCTTTTAGGATATAAGAATTAACAAGCGAAGCAAAACCAAACTGAGATCGAAAGTGAGTGAGAGAGAGAGAGACCTTAGAGGTGGGTTTAGACGAGAATTCTGAGAGGCATTGGAAGCTGATCGAAGAAGACGAGTGAGAGTGGAATTAATGCAAAAGGAAGGGATAGTGGAGAAATCACTTTTTAACAACGGCATTTCGTGAAGAAGAAGCTTGAGAGAAAGGCGAAAGCGGAAAAGGGTGGGGAATCTGGAATCGCCATTGCCGAAGATTCAAGTGACCACCAAGTGATGAACAGTCAGAGGAGAGAGAGGGAGAGAGTAGAGGGTTTGTGAGATGCAATTTTAGCTGAAACTTTGGGGGTTTCTGGTGAAAGGCGAGAAAGTATGGAAGCTTCAGCGTGACGCCAACGGAGAAACGTAAATCTCGATGGTCAGTTTCAGATTCCAATCTCTCTCTCTCTCTCTTCTCTTCTCTGCACTTGCGATTTGCTTTGCTCTTTGGCTTAATGCCTTTGACTCTCTTCCGAATTTTGGATTTTAATTGGTAGCTCTAAATTATTTGTCCTTATGTTAATTTCTGTTTGTTTTATTCCAAACGAATTTGCTTTTATTAAGGGCATTCAATTTTTATTTTTATTTTTGTTTTTAAATCATACTAGTAATTTTCGTATTGAACGGGTCAGTTGATTAACGTACAAATATGACTTCTTAATGAGAAATTCTGGAATTTGTGATAATAATATTCAACTTACTATTTTAATGTGTAAATCAAACAGATATTTGTGACTTTCTTAAAATAATGAGAAAGATGGTACTTCAAGATCAAACCGTAGATGGGTAAGTAAAACAACAAGAGTAAAGGAATGTTTAAAGAATGCTGCAAATTGAACTTGCTTCATTTGATATTTATGAATTTTAATTTGGGTAAGAGCAAGGGCATCTTTCTTTAAAATGGACCCCTGAAGAGAAAGAGTTTGGTATGTGACATAAATGAGGGTATGCAACATTGAAAACATCAAAACTGAAATCCCTTAAATATCAAAATATGTCATTAAATGAAAGTCAATTTATGGAATTAAAAAATTATATATATATATATATACAATGGCCTTTGTTGGTTGTGCTTCGTTGTCACCCATTATGAACTTAGCTCTGTCTCAGATTCACGTTAGGCGCGTGAACCTTTTCTTTCCTCTTTCACATTCTAATTGCTTACTTCACGATCCTTTTACATTATAAATTCCAAGAAGAAGAGACCACAAGGTCCCACAGTACGTTACCATGATACCATCTCTTCGAATAAACTATTAACTACAAAGTTACAAACCTCATTCAAGAACCAAGAATCAATAACCAAAGAACCAAAGAACCAAGAGCCAAGAACCACCAGAGAGACTTGTATCCGATAATTCGTCTCTTTCCACCATTGACAAGCAAACAATACTGTGTAAGATAAATAAAAAAGAGAAAAGTGGTTTTAGAATGTGTGTATGTGTGTGTTAAAGTGGAGCAAAGGGCTCAGGAAGCAGCTCGAATCCACCATTGTCAAACATGAGTCCGTGATCTGACGACCTGTCATCGATACTATGCAACCAGTTTGTGTTCTTGACGTCCTCTTTCAACAACAATGCGTCATACCTCGAACTCTCGTACATGTCCATGTCGCTCAACCTCCCCATCAGTCTTCTTCCTTCGTTTGCTTCATTACCGTTCTCTCCGCTGTTGCTGCTCATCGAATCCGAAAGGTTATTCCCTGAACGGATAGGCTGAATCTTGGACGAGGCTTGTCTGATACTCTGAGGGAACAGCGTCGTGGTTGCTAGTGCGCATCCGTTGCTCTTCCCGTTTCTTATGTCCTACACACCATAACAACAATGTTAAGATATTTTACATCATGATCAAAGGTTAAATGAGAAGAGATGAAACTAAACGTACCATGTGCCTAATCGCCATATCGAGTGAACTTTTAGAGAATGACCTCCCAAGCCCGTTGTTATTGTCAGTGACAGTTGATGAAGTCCTCAGGGTTCTCCGTGAGGTTACGTCTGAGACGTTTGAAATCCTTCGTGGCTCCGGTGCATCTGCGAGGTGGTGATGTCCATTACCACCAAAACGGCCTTTCCCTTGGGGCTCTGTGAGTCTTCCTCTCGCCACAATGGGAGATGAGTTCCTTCTTGTTATGGGACCTTTGGCTTCTGGACTTGCTTTTGCAGTGTTATTACCAGCGACTGGCCTGGACCTGCCAGCAGATATTGGTCTGTCTGGGAGAGTTGTTCTGAGATTAGGCGGCGTATCAAGAGGGAAGTCTGCTAGCACAATTGGTTGTTGTGGGGTGGTTCGAACTCTAGGTCCAGGAGAGCTTGGCCTAGACAATGAAGGTGCGGTACGACCGTTTACTGCAGCACGTCCACTTGAAATATTGGATCCTGGTGGTGCAGATACGGAGGTGGATGGGCTTCGACGGGTAGGGGTTGAAGGACGAGAATTTGGTCTGGAAGTGATTATGTTTGGGGAGTTTGCTGAGACTGAGAGCTGTGGTCTAGAAGTGGGAGTGGATGGTCTTGAGCTCAGGGACGTTCTTGGTTTGTCAATGTTAGAACTAGATGACACTGGACGGATTCTGGACGGTGTTGAGGCCCGTGATACCGAAGTGGTACGGGTGGGAGTGGAAGGTCTAGCTGAAGATGAGGAACGGGAGCTTGGGGAGGAAGGTCTGATGTAGGATGAGACTGAAGCTGAACTAGTGTTCAGGATGGAAGATGGTGAACGGCCTGAAGTAAACGAGCTGTATTGCGAGGTAGACATGGATGGGCGAGTCACGGAGCTACTTCTAGCCGGACGTGAGGAATGGTAACTGGTCTCTGACTGTGAAACCGAAAGCTGTAAAAGGAAATAAAAAACAGTATTTGTATAAGAATAAGGTAATGATTTTAAAAAAAAAAACTTGAAGAAGAAAGGGCAGTTCCTACCCTTGATGCCTTGGAAGCAGAGCTTGCTCTAGCGGAAGATGTAATCTTTGGAGCTGCCAAAGATGAATGAGAGTCGCTTCCAAGAGGTGTTCCGGGAGGAGTAAGAAGCCTAGAGACAACATGAATGGTACCAAGAGATGAATAACGTCGTTTGCTATACATAATCTTAACCTTCCCAAAGGCAAAAACGACAGAGAATTCGACATTCCCAAGTGCTGGTAACCAAAAGATCAGCTTAGTGAAATTCACATAAGCTACACGTAATTGAGCCACTGTTTGATTGAAATCAAAGATATGCAAAGAGAGAGAGAGCAAGTCACCGACCAGAGATTCGGCAGAAACTTACCAGTCATAATCACTTTTTCCTACTTCAGCTGAGGATAAGAGATCTTCACCTTTGCCTCTGGGAGCTGGTTTGGATCCCACCGAGAGTCTCCCGAGTTTTGCAGAAACTGTAGTTGGAAAGAAAAGAGAAAAAACGTTGAAGGCAGGGATCAAAGTGAGCAAGATCCAGCAATTCTTCATTGGTCCCAAAAGTACTTTTTAAAAAAAGATGGCGCTGTCTCTCAGATCACTGTAATCGAGAAAAGCAAAGAGATCGAATCTAGGAGACGAAGACAGTTCGAAAATTCAGAGTAGCGACCACTGAGCCTTTAATTGAGTAGAGTGAACATCATTTTCATAGCAGCAAATTGATATATTTAGAAATTATATGTAAATTAGTCAGAGAACAAGAAGAAATCGATTGTCACAAATTTCTAAACAGAATTGTGAATCGGAAACGAACCGTCGGGTAATTCGTCGGAGGAAGACAAGGGGAAAGAGCGACGGATCTTAGAGAAGAGATCCAGATTCTCATCGGTATCTCTATGGAAGCCGTTTTGAGAGATGTTGTTGTTGTTTCCTCTGCGAAACTGGGAGATCGCCGGAATATTCCTCCCACCGGCAAGAGATTCTCTGAGATTCCTATTCATTGTTGGAGGAAGGAGAGAGGGGGGGGGGAGGCAACGAAGCCGAAATCAAGGCTGTATGTGGAAAGAGTTGCTTACAATCTACGCCATTGGAGAGGAAAGAGATTCAGATCTAAGAGAAAGAGAAGGCAAAGTGTATGTATAATGTGTCACTTCCAAGTTGTTGAGACTTGAGACTAATTGTACTATCTAAATATTATCACGATGCATGTTCGTCCTTCTTCAATCATGCGCCATTTTTTTTCTTTATATAATTTCTTTTAATAATTTAAATACATAAATGATTTATGAGGCGGAGAAAGGAAGGTAGTTTCCTAATTTCTTGGTGTATATCAGTAGATGAATTATGAATGTCTATGAGTTAGACCCCACGTGGTGGTCTTCTCTTTATACAGAGAAAGTTCAGATTCAACCAAAAATTTATATAATTTGTAACCTACTTGCAAAAACCTATAGAAAACAAAACTTCATAGTACTAGCAAAGAAGGACTGTCTATTTGATTTGATGAGTGATTTACACTCAAAGACACTTTACACTTTCAAACTTACAAAATAGGCATTATTTCTTCTAGGTGACTTTGTGTGTTGTAGTTACAAAAACACCCTTTTTATGGTATTATTTTATTATACAATTAAAAGTTTTCACATTCTTTAGTTTTTTCTCTCTTCTCTTCCAGAAAATCAAACGACGAGAAACTGAAAACCCTAGAAACACTGACCTTCTTCTCCGCCTCTTGCTCTCGCCAGTACCACCGCGTCGAGTATTTACGGATTTCAATCGCTCCCTCACAGAAAAAGCAGCCCTCTCCTTCTCTCTCTGAAGGATTCCTATTCCGTCGTCTCCTCTGCGAAAATTCATGAAAGGTGATTGTACTCTTACACTCTGTTAGCTTTAAGCAGTTTCTCCCTCCGACGAATTAAGCAGTTGTGTCCTCCCGTTGTTTTCTTGTGTTATCCGAAACAGAGTACAGATCTGGTAATGGATTGTACTTGTCCATGTGAAACCGACCATGTGAAGCGTCCATTAATGAATGATAGTTCATGTCCACGGGATGAGATACATGTGTCTTCCGCTTATCATGGAAGAAGTGATATATGGTGTTTTAGTAATATGGATTAGATATTGAACACATGGATTGTGACTCGTGGACGGGTTTGTATGAATATGATTTTCAATTGTGTGATTCTTATTAGTTGAGTGTACGTAATACAAGAGAATTTATTGTATTCACGATTTGTTGTTTTTGATTGTATCCATGGTTTTATGACCATATGTTCATGGTTTCAACTTTCTTATATCCACGGTTGCATGTTCTCGCATGGATACTTGTTTGTGGATGAAAATAAACTATATATATCCACATGATATATGTATATGGATATGGATATCTCTATCATGAACAAATGAGTACTAATAGGTTACAGTTAAAATTCACAAACACACCATTTGCTAACATTGTAACCCAAAAATGTAGCAAGTTCTTCCTTTATTCAATATGTTACATGATGCTTACTTTCCAGTTTCTATAATATAATTAAGCCAAAATTAATATTATGTCCATATGAGATTGCCCGTAGGATATATAAACTTTGTTGTATCCATAGTAACGGGGTTTCTATTTGGATGTTTACTATCTTAGTTCTACTAACTAATTCCTCCATAAAACGTATATGTTTATGCTATTTATGTCCACGCAACCGCATTCATGTGGATAGTTATTCATTTCTTAGAATATCACACTACTTTCATCCACTGATACTTGCATAAGTGCATCTATCCATGTGTTTTGCGTCCATACACTTGATTCCAAATGGCTAACTATGTCACGATTATCATCTATTTTTTCTTTAATAAACGTATATGGTCATGTTAGTGTCGTCCACGAAACTGCATCCATGCGGATAGCCCTTCAAATTATTTTTTACGAGAGAGTTCTTGGAAACTGCATCCATGCTAGTGTCGTCCACGAAACTGCATCCATGTGTCTCTAATATTTGCTAGTTCTTCAAATTTTTTTTTCCCTTGATTTCAGAACTGTATGGCACAACTTCCAAATCAACGTGCAGGAAAATCTCTCGTCCTCCATCTTGATCCAAAACATGGAAGAAAGGCTCATTAAGTGAATAGTCCAAGAAAGAATTTTAGGCTTCTCAGTGAGAAAGAATCAAGATTTTGTCATGGCGATGCTATTGTATTCGAAAGTTATTGTGTTGTTAGCTGTGGAGTGTTACATTACTTCTCAACTTCATATCTACTTTAACCTCCTCTCAATACATTGATGTTTTTGGTGAGCCATCCATCATTTCCACTTTTGTTTACAGTTTTTATTGTTTGGAATATAAACAATTTGTTTTATGAAGAACAGTTATTTGGAGTAGGCGATCTTTTATGCTAAAATGCTTAAATCTTTTGTATCTTGAGTGAAACTGTGTATGTGGACATGTCTGTGTGTACATGACTTTGTGGACATGAAGTCATGGATCTCTTCATGATCTTAGTAGTTTTTATGATCTCATAGATCTATTGCATTTAATTAGTTATTTGTTTTCTGTATCCAAACAGATCCGTCCATATGGCTCTGTCCATTGTTATGTATATACATATATGCATCCATGTTTAGGTCATCTCTAATTTTCTGGTGGCTCTTAATCCCATAAATAGTTTATATCCATGTAATTGCATTATTGCATCTATATTGGTTTAATGTGCTTTGTCACTCTAATTCATTGTTTAGTCTCGAATTTACTACATATCTACAATTTTTTCATCAAAAAGATATCCACAACATCTCAAAACCCACAATAGATATGTAGCTCTTGGTAAATGTCTCATGTGAGAAAAAAGACTCATAAGACTTTTTTTTGGTGGAGCATTACTGTGTTTTCTCAGATTTTAAGAAAACTTGTGCAGACGTTAATGTCTTATGATTTCATGTGGATAGTTCTATTAAACTCTTGAGATTGTGAACTTTTTTTTGTCTTGCACTTTCACTTTCCATCCACACAAATGCATCCATGTGGTTACATATTATCATATGATAGCTGAATTTGAGATTCCATATTATATTATTACCAATTTGAGGATTGATACATATAGATTACTGAATTTGAGATTCCATATTATATTATTATCCATGTGGCCAATGTAAGAATATGCTAACTTTTTGTATATATTTGTGATTAAACTTCGATAGTGATAACAATTTGATATGTCTGACCAAGTTCAGGTCAAAGCAAAAAAAATGAAACAAGGATAACATAGAGGGAACATTGGTAAAAAAAAACTAAGATTTGAACTCATGTTTTGTTGATGCAAGAGGCTAAAGCTTAAATAGAAACATATTTTTTTTTATCTCTGTTTTATCGTTTTAATGCTTCTTTGGTAACAGAAAAGTTGTGAGTTGTTCTTTGGTAATATATAAGATTGTTATTTTGAATAAAAGAAAAACTCTGAACATTTTTGAATTACAATGTTATCAAATGGTGTGTTTGTGAGTTTAACTGTAACCTATTAGTGCCCATTTGTTCATGATAGAGATATCCATATTCATTTATGTACATATATCCATGTGGATATATATAACTTTTTTCTCATCCACAAATAGGTATCCATGTGGATTCGTCACTTTCGAAAAACTAGAGAAACCAAACTATGCTTCCAAAAATTCAGAAAAGGCAGAAATTGAGGCAAAGAATCATGTAAAATCCATTGCAAATATCCACTCACTCATATCCATACATTAATACATACACATATTACAAGCCATACTCTCGTACACACAATAACATCCATAATCGTGTATCCACAAATGACCATCCACACATACATACAATAACCATTCTCAAATATATTTCAATCCTTTGTCTTCTTCTCTGAATTCGTCATCTCCGCCTGAATCACACATAAATTATGAAACCTTCTTAGATTTGCAGATTGAGATTAATATTAGGTTAATAGATTTGCAGATTGTGATTCTTTAATAATTATAAAAGGTTTTCAACAATTTAGAAGTTTCTGAACTTTATTATGGGAATTTGATTTTAAGTTTTGGTTTTGAGATCTCTTTTCTCATCACCGTCGTTCTTCCGTCGGAGAGACGAAGCTCCATATTTTTTACAAAAAAAAACATTATTTATCACCATTCAAACAACAAATTTCATTAAGGGTAAAATTGAATTTTCTAACCCTTCCAACTCCTCGAAAACAACCCAAAGTCACCTTGGAGAGAAAGTGTCTTTATCAGTAATATGTAAGTGGGAAAGTGCCTTCCACTTTAATTTTCTCTGATTTGATTTTGATCTTGCTTTTTTATAAGCAAAATAGTTGCTAATGAAAATTGCACAGTATTAATTTTTTTATTTCTTACCTCATTTAAAAGGGAAAAAAAAGAAAGATAAAGGTTTGTTATTAAAGAACAAAATCTTATAGGAATATAAATGGATAAAGACGGTTCGGACCCGACCCCAAATTATACCCATGTTTTCCGTGTTTTTTATTGACTGAAAATGAAACCTCCTTGTTCTATTATGGGCCTACTTAACACTTATCCGGCCCATTATACCATCCTCTACATGTGACTTGTCTTGTCTCTGTGTAGATAGCAACTTCGAAAACGTTGACGTTTCCGCTATTTACGACTTGTCACTTGTCATAGACTGACAGTCTCCGTCTATCTCAACCCCTTCTGCTTGGTTTTCTCTCCGACACTGACCTCGACTTCCGGTTAACCTTCCGCCGGTTTTCTCCACCGAATATCGCAATCTTCCCAATCCCTTTCGACAGCGACGTCAATAAACTCCCACCGTTATTACCAGACTTCTCCATCATCCCCTGTTTCATAAACATTTGCTCTTTCTCTAACTCGCTCACTCTCACTCTCATCCTCGCTATCTCCAGCTTCAGCTCTCTGTTCTCTCTCCTCAACGACGCGTACGTGTCTCTCGGAGAAAGCGCCCGGCTCTGCAATCCAGACGACAAATCGAAAAACCCTTCCTCCGAATCTCCCGACAGAGCCTTCTTTAGTCTCACCTGCTCCGAATACAGCACTCGAACCACCATCTGCACCGGAAGCCTATCGTTCTGCGCCACGTGGCTGCTTGCTTCCTGCGAAAGTTTCTTGCAGTCTATTAATCTGCATAGCTTCTTGCCTTCTTCTTCCGTCAACAACGGATGAGCCTTGAGATAGATATCAGCGGCTCTGTAGATTCCATCGTCCATGACACGTGCGTAATCCGGTAACGCCTCTATAACGGCAGCGAACTTGTGCAGACCTAGATGTGGATCCGGCGCGATCTCAGCCAAGTAAGCATCCATGATCCGTCCTACTTTCAGCAACGAGCCCTGGTGACACGTGGAATCCGAATCGTAACCACACTCTTCATCATCTTCTTCCTCCTCCCTCTCGAGAAAGCACGTGAGTATCCTCTGGACAGCATCAACATCGTACATGGAATCTTCATTTTGGACACAAGGTATAAGCAGATCGTCGAGGGTCACATTCTCCAGCTGCTGACCGATCCTGCGCTCAAGCTCGAGCCTGCAAGAGATCTCAACATCTACTTCGATGCCAACCTTTAGCAAACCAAAGAGGAAGCTCACAGGCGTGATCGACGAGTAAGAAGATCCTTTCTCGTCGTTCGGCAGAAGGCTAACGATAGCTTCAACGATAACCCTCTGCTCCGTGCAGTTTCGGTTGATGACGTTAACACCTTTTAACGATTCTTGAGAGTAATGCATCAGAGAAGCGACGATGCTCTCGGACCTCACGCCGGTTTTGGCCATCGCAGAGACGACTCTTGCGTAGTAACCAATCCCGAGAGCGGACAGTTCTTGGATCCACCACTCGAGACAATCTCTTCCCTTGAGCTCTTCTGATAAACCTGACACTAACTGCTCTCTGAAAGCATTCATGGCGATGGCTTCAACACACCGGTCAGGGATATTGTATGTCTCAGCCGTTTCTTGCGCCTCCCAGGAGGAGAGGACTTGGACGGATTTGCTGAGACTGCGGAAAGCGATCTGGTCGAGGTAATTCTCTGTTCGAGCGATGAGATTCTCTTCTGTATAGTCCTCGGTCATCTCGAGATAACCAGCTGCGCAGCGGAGAGCGACCACGTTTGAGGCTGTGATCTCGAAGTTGATGCCGTAGCAGAACTTCATGGCGAGTTCGAATGTCAGAGACCCACCGGGGAAATATCTGAGCTCTATCATTGAAGAGCAAGATTCCTTGAGATCTCTCACCAGCTTCCTCATCTTCCCACACCGAGCTACTAATGGAAACTGAAACCATTTTTTGCAAGTGTTCATGAGAATATGCTGCAATGCGATTAAGAGCAAAAAATGAGAATTTTGTTTAACAAGTTTTGTGCACTAACCTTGTGGAGTAGAAAAGACTCTCCATCGACAACAACGGTGATGTCTCCCGCAAAATCGGAGAATATGCTGCAATGCGATTTTCATATGAGCAAAGTGATAACAGTAAAGCTAGACAGAGATTACAAAACTTGAGAGAGACTAGAGAGAGAGAGAGAGAGAGAGAGAGAGAGGACTAACCAGGTGGAGAATCTGGGAGGAGGAACAGAGGAGCGATTGTTACTAGGAGTAGATGAAGAAGAGAGAGGCAAGGGGTTGTCTGAAAAACTGCCCATCGTAAAGTCACTATCTCAATCTCTAGATCGTTGGGATACTCTGGTTTAACGAAAGATACCGTCTTGGGAATTTACAGACAAGTTTCTCTGCTTTTGCTTTGTGTGCAGACACAGACGCTGCGGCATTCTTGACAGGTAAGAAAGTATCAGAGAATAAAGATTGTCGATTGCTGTGGAGGAGAAGCTTTATTTATTTAAAAAGCATAAACGGGAATAGTTTTGATCATCTTTGATTTGGAAAAGTAAACACTTTCCTAGATTGGATTAAGAGAGAGAAAAAAAAAATATCACGCCGAGTCACTAGAATTTTGAAAGTTAAATAGTTCCCTAATTTGGATGTAAAGAGAATCACTGATCGAGTCCTATTTTTGTTATATTGATGTTTTCCCTTTATTACCGGCTTAAACTTGACTTATAAAACAGCTTTCTTGTCACTCAAAGTGTACAATGTGGTTAACAATGGGAGGGTTGGAATCCAAATGAAATATCTCTGAATAAGAAGTTTAGAAAATCAAATATGTTTACAACTTTTGTTGGTATATTAATGTTTTTATGATATATTTTGTGTGTTCGCGCCTCTCCTCTAAACAGTCGACTGGCTCAGAGTCAGAGTAATATTTGAAGATCTGAACGTTTTAGGCTCGGTAGGACCTGACCGTCCCGTTTCACATGGTCATGTTGACATGTTGTGATGCATTTTCTCAGTGACGTGTTCCAAAATCAGTCCTTAAAGGATGAGTAGACATTAACTGATTAACATATGATTCAAGGCACGTGAGAAAAGCCAAAGAGAGTGTGGCACGGAACTCCATAAAGACTACTCCATTATTGTGAGACGTACACATTCCTTCCTTTTACTGCATCTCCATTATAATGCACCACCAATTACAGAGTAATATCATGTTGCTTAGACCATAAATGATGAAACATGACCTGATGGAAACAAAGTCATTGTTTTGGTGGAAATTTTGTCCAAGATCACTATCAACTTGCTCAGGCACAGTTACCTTTTTTGGTTAAGAAATGGACTGAGCAAGGAAATGGTTTCCAGACCAAAACTAACCAAAGAAGAGCAAACAAACACCAAAGGACATAGTTTGAAGGATCTACTTTTGGGAAAGATATCTCAAGTTCTCAATCACTTAACATCACACTGTGTTTTCTATTATTTGTTGGTACGTTCTTGTTGTAGTTTCTCATGCTTTTCATTTATATACATGTCCATTAGCTACAATTGATCATGTGTAGCTTTCTAGACCACATAATTATTATGTTTTGGTATAAAATTTTACATATATAATTCAGAAGACAAGTCACTCGTTCATCCAGTTGTCTGAATATGATTGGTTGTGCCTTGGGAGCTCATATCGCAGAATATCTATCACATTTTCCGGTTTAGCGATGTTCAAAACCACCTTTTCATTTTATGTGCTACGACTTACGACAATACTAACTAAGTAAGTAAGTATCCAAATTTGTTGAGCTATAACGAATCCGATGATGGTAAAAGGAAATGAGGAGAAAGTTGAAGAGAAAACCCAAAAAACCGAGGCAAATATGATCATTTTTTTCCTTTATATACCAAACAAATAAAAGTATGTAAATACAAACGTATTAATATAATTCTTTCCAAGGAAAAACAAATATTGCTCTCCATGAAACAAAAAAAGCATATTCTAGCAGACGTGAACTCACGATTAGCTAATATTCTAAACAATTAGAATATTCTCCAGTGTGTATCCTCCTAAATCCTAATACGAAGCCTCGAACCCAAGATAGTGGACGTCAATTCTATCTTTTAACAAAACTGCCGACTGTTTCGGGAGATCAGCAAACTTGAGGGATCTATCTTGCAATTTATTTATTTAATTTTTTTAAAATGTTTAAATTTGAGGGCTTTTTCGTTGATGTTTTGACTTCCATGATTTATCCCAAAGTCTCCTAAGCGAGAAGGGATCGGAAGCAGTAGGGATTTTTTCCTTTCTTTCGTTTGTCCAAATCTTTCCATCCCATTTGACCACATCTCCAAATTTTTCTTCATCTACAAAGGATCTAACATTTGTTGTGCTCAGATTTTTTCCTTTGCTGGGTAAGTTTTGCGATCCCTTTTTCTGTACTGGCATTGATCTGGGTTCGTGGTAGAATATATGGATTGGATGATCCTAATAAATCATGTAGAGTGGTTGATCGAATCGCAAATTGTTAATTTGATTAGCGGGTTTTAGAAATCAGAGACTCTTATCGCGTCTGTCCATTGAAAGGAGAATGAGAACGATTCTGTACGAACTATGGATGATAAAGATTGAACCTTTGTTGTTCTGGGTTTCATTTACTTACACATTTTTAGGTTTTGGATGATGATATCATTATTTTTCTCTGCAAATTGGTTTAATGCGTTTTTCTCATTGATTTTGTTTTCCCAATTACAATTGCTGATTTGAAAAATTCGTTCTTGTGATGTGTTAAACAGGAAAGAGTTACCTCCTCTTGATGCAGTTTTGATTCTACAAAGCCTCAGGAGTTTATCTGGTTTCCTATAAATTAGTGGAGCATTTTCTCTTATCTCTTGTAAAGAGAAGACCTGCTTGAACTATCTTTCAGCATCAAAATGATGCATTCAGGCTGCAAAAACCTTCTGCTGCTTCTATTCTTATTTGTCGTTGTATTCATTGGGAACACCGACGCAAACGCTCAGTGGGAGATCTCGCATAAAGTAAGAGCCGCTCCTCATGGGGACATGGGACGCAATGTTATAGACGGAAGTGGTGTAGAGAAAACCTTACATGACATTGGAATGGGTGAGAAGAGAGGCACTCCCAACAAAGTTTCAGTGTCAACAGTTGCATTGTTCACCTTGGCAATGGCTGCTGCCACTGGGTTAGGTGCAGTGCCCTTCTTCTTTGTTGAGCTTGACCCACAATGGGAAGGAATATGCAATGGCATGGCGGCTGGTGTGATGTTGGCCGCTAGCTTTGATCTTGTAAAAGAGGGCGAGGAGCATGGTTCTGGAAACTGGGTTGTTATTGGGATTCTATCCGGTGCTTTGTTCATTTGGCTCTGCAAGCAGGTAACTTGAAAGTGATTATTTGGCTGTCATTCATCTAGCTACTGATTTGCATGATATTTTGAAAATTAAATCTCATGTGTTGACAGTTGAAGTTGACAGAACACAGAAACCAATTTCTCTGTAGCTTCCTCGTATCATTACATTGGAGTTGTAGAATACTGTAACTTTTTTTCTAGTGTTCTCCTACATTAGCTGCATGAAATCTCAACACTGATATATTTAATCATAAAAACCTGTATTTTGGACAGTTTCTTGAACAATATGGTGACGTGAGCATGCTGGATATCAAAGGGGCAGATGCATCAAAGGTTGTTCTCGTCATAGGAATTATGACACTTCATTCTTTCGGGGAGGGATCAGGGGTTGGTGTATCGTTCGCTGGTTCAAAGGGGTTTCCTCAAGGGCTTCTGGTCACTTTGGCTATAGCCGTTCACAACATTCCAGAAGGGTTGGCTGTTAGCATGGTGCTGGCGTCAAGGGGTGTTTCTCCACAAAATGCAATGCTCTGGAGTATAATAACATCCTTGCCTCAGGTAATCATATTATGTTCTGTGATCTGATATCTTTGTTTACATAACAGTTAACGTATTGTTCTTTTTCTTCTCTGTATTCTTTAACAGCCTATCGTCGCAGTCCCAGCTTTCTTATGCGCTGATGCGTTTAGCAAATTTTTGCCCTTTTGCACTGGATTTGCTGCTGGGTGTATGATTTGGATGGTTGTTGCTGAAGTGCTTCCTGATGCATTCAAGGTGATTTTTGAAGTCAATGTTGATGTTTTTATTTGAGGAAGATGCAGATTTCACTAACTATACTGATTTATCTTCGTTCTTTCTACCGACAACAGGAAGCATCTCCGTCACAGGTGGCATCTGCAGCCACAATATCAGTAGCATCCATGGAAGCTCTCAGCACTCTTTTCGAGAGTTTCACGCATGATTACAAGTAAAACAATGGAGTTCTAGTAATAGTTATAAGCTGATGCATTCGATTGGTACTTATACACAACTAAAGCTTGCTTTTCTCCATTATGTAGCTCAGAGGATGCTTCTGGCTTCTTCGTTTCACTCCTCTTTGGTCTGGGTCCATTGCTTGGGGGCATATTTCTGGTTGCATCGGCACTAACCTTCCGTCTCCAGCACGCCCTTCTCATGGGAGTAGCCTCAGGCATTGCCTTTGTCCTCGGTCTTTGGCGTCCGCTTCAACTTCTGCTATCCGCAAAAATGGGATTCATCCCTCTGGTTAGTCTACTTGCAGTTGGAGCCGGAGTGGCCCATTTAGCGAGCTCCACCATCCTCAATATAACTTGTCGGAAAAAGTCCCGGGCTGGCACTTTAATAACCCCAACCAATTTCCCAACCAGTGCGATAACACTCCAATCATTGTTAGCGTGTGGAGCGGTTGGGTTCCACGCACTAGCCGAGGGGCTTGCTCTCGGAGTCGCTGCTCCAAAGGCTTATGGACTCGGCAGACACATGGTACTCCCTGTTTCCCTACACGGGCTCCCGAGAGGTACAGCGGTTGCAAGCTGTGTCTTTGGGGCTACAGACAGCTGGCACGCAGCTCTTGCTGCAGCAGCTTTGATCGGTTTTGTGGGACCCGTATCAGCCATAGGGTCCATTCTAGCCGGGATAGATTACAGTGGACTGGACCATGTGATGGTGGTGGCTTGCGGTGGATTATTGCCCACCTTCTGGCAGGTGATTAAGAGAGCGGTGAGGTTAGAGAGAAAGAAAGGCAGTGTGGGGATGGTGCTGGGAGTAGCGTGTGCCGTTGTGTGTCTGACTTTCACAAGACTGGTCTGCTTGCACACACCTTACTGCAATTCTGCACCAGAGGCTGTTAGATGATTGATTTCATGAAAGTAAGAGCTTTCTCTTGTGAAGACACGCTCTCTGATTCTATGTTGTAAGATATATAAACTTCATACCCTTTAATTCGTGTGTCTATACAAACTCGTCTGATCTTTAGGGTGAATGGGAAAGAGAGTGCCTTGTAATGTTAATTTGGATATATGTTCGGTTTGAGATCATAGTAGATATGAGCAAAATCTACTTGAATCTATAAACAAAAGCAGCTAAATAACAGCTACACTTTTTGACAATTATTTTGTATTACCAGAGATTTATTTATCTCTTTGCTATTGAACTGAGAAGCGAACAACCTTGATAATGAAGCGAGAAAAACTGGAGAGCCGTCATCAACTACGTTCCATTATTAATTAACAAACCTTGATAATGGAAGACGCATCACTAGTTACGTCATCATTTTTTCCCAATTAAAATGATCAATTCTTATGTTTTCTTTGACCACTACCAGCGTCACCACGTCACTTACTACGACATCGTACCTTTGTTCAATTGCTCCTGACCTCGTACCATTATAAATACCCATTTCACATTGTCATCTTTCACAAGAAGAGAGCAAACAGAAACATATATACAACAAAATGGCTAGAGCAGAACAGAGCATCAGAGACAAGAGATGGAGTCTTCAAGGCATGAACGCTCTTGTCACCGGAGGAACCAAAGGAATCGGGTTTGGCTTTCAAGTCTCATGCTCTTTGCATTACGAGAAACTAAACCTTATTTACTTATTTATTCAAATCTTGTTGACCAATCTCTAGGCATGCTATAACGGAGGAACTTGCAAGCCTTGGAGCAAGAATTCATACATGTTCCAGAGACGAAACTCAGCTCAATCACTGTTTAACAGAATGGGAAGCCAAAGGCTTTCATGTCACAGGCTCGGTCTGTGATATATCGTCCCGTGCCGAGAGAGAGAAACTGATGCAACACGTCTCTTCTCTCTTTCAAGGAAGTCTCAACATCCTCGTACGTCGTCTTCTATTTATTCACCAACAAGATTTTGGACAATCATATACTATTCCGTTCATAGTATATGGGCTTAATTATGTCTTTTGGATCTTGTTATTTAGATAAACAATGTGGGGACATGTGTGACAAAGCCAACGACCGAATACACAGCACAAGATTTCTCTTATCAAGTCTCAACAAACTTGGAATCTTCATACCATTTGAGCCAGCTTGCTCATCCTCTGCTCAAGTCCTCTGGATCTGGGAGCATCGTCTTCATCTCCTCTGTTGCTGGACTTGTGTCTTGTAGCGTCGGATCCATCTATGGTGCAACCAAAGGAGCTATAACCCAGCTTGCGAGGAACTTAGCGTGCGAATGGGCTACCGACAACATAAGGGTTAACTCCATTGCTCCTGGAGTCATTGCAACTTCTGCAGCTAAAACCGTAAACCTCTTTTAAAACACCTTTTTTTTTTTTACAATTTTGTAATATGTCACGTAAACTGATTGGTTTTTGTTTTGTAAATTGATACTGTTCAGTTTATACTTGGGGAGGAGTTTGCTAACGATATAGCTCCAAATATACCAATGCGTCGTGCTGGAGAGCCAGAAGAAGTAGCTGCGATGACTGCGTTTCTGTGTCTTCCCGCAGCTTCTTACATTACAGGTCAAACCATTTGTGTTGATGGAGCTCTCTCTGTTCATGCCTTCTGATTACTTTTCCATTCCGTGTTTTATCTTTGATTCCTATGTGTTTCGACTCCATTGTTGCTTTTTAGGGCTTCAAATAAAGTTTATAAAAGGATCTCTTTGCTTGTAAAGAGACCTACTTACCATCTTTTGATTGTTTAATAAACACAGAGCTTTCTCTTACACCTTCTTTAGCTTCCACATAACAGAATGAAGTTTAAATGTCCAATAAGTGACCAATTCGCTCGGAATTTGAAACTTCTTATTGAATTTATTTTTCTTGGTAAAGTTGATAAAGAAGACAGCAAACATGGCCGTAGAATTGGCACCTAACAAATGACATCCAAATATTAAGATTAACCTAAAAACGGATTTGTCTTATTCAATCATAAACATACCACAAAACTGCTTAACAAAGGTTTCAAACTCAAGATGTGCCTATGAACAACAGAGGAACTCCAAAATGAGAATCAAACATCCTTCTCCTTCACTGAAATCTCTATCTTCTCCTCCTCCACTGACGTCTCTGTCTTCTCCTCCTCCACCGACTGTGCTCCAGTAATCCTCGCCAGCACAACAAACGACATCCCTCCCACAACATTGTTCACACACCTCAAAACCACCACCCCAGTCTTGAAAACCACAGGCGGCAACGCCCTCGCAAGCAAGAACTCAACCCCATTCAACGTCTGGTACCTCACATTGGCGCTCACACCCATATGCGTCGCCCACGTCAGCGAATTCAGCACAGTCGGCGGCGGTTTGTTCGGCGTCTCGAAACTCGGATCCATCTTCTTCCTCAACATAATCAACCCGTTAGAGATTGCCGTACCAACAAGCCCTGCAGCTAATCCAACAGTCGCGAAAACCATTCCTTTGTACACAAGAGTCCCAAATCGATTCATAACCGTGAAGCTTCCCTGTTCAAACATATGGCTCGCAGGACAGTTTCTAAAGATTCCAGGTAAGCTTTGGGATAAGCCAACAGTCGCTGCGGTGGGAGCTAAGAGGTACATGAGTGTGAAATTCAGAATCGAACCTACGATTAGAGTGGAGAAGACGAAATCGAGCTCGTTTAAACCGAAATTAGGTCGTGACGCCATGTCTCCGAGGACACAGGCGCTGACTCCAACGAGCTCTTCCATTAGTACTTTGAAAGGGAATTGAGGATCAGCTGTGACTCGTGATCTCCATCCTTCGATGAACATTCCAATTGGTCCCCATGAAGACGATCCTCCTTCTGCTTCTTCTCCTCCTCCTCCTCCGCCGCCGCTTGAGCCTCCGTAACCACCTCCGCCGCTTCCACCACCTGAGCCTGGATTACCGAAGTTTCCACCACCGCCACCTCCGGCGCATGGAATCGCGAGGTTTGGAGATGAGAAGTTGGTGTGGAGTGAGCAAACGGATCCATTTCGTGGAAATGAGACTCTGAGGATTGGATTGCGAGAGAGGTTGATCACTCTCGGTGGTGGTAGACTGCTCTGATTCGATTTAGCCGACAGGTGAAGACGCGCAATAGCCGCCATCTTCTCAGCGAGGGAAGATCTGTGATTCTCTCTGAGAATCGAAAATGGCTTCCCTTTAAAATGTTAGAACAGAGTGACAGACGGAGTGTTTGGTGAAATCCGAAATAGGCGGAACCTCATCTACCCTTTTAAAACCCTAATTTTTTCCACAAACAAACAATCAATCAAATTCAATCGACGCATTTCCCACGTGTGGATTTAAACAGGGGTCTGAGCCCTCACGTGCCAACTACTTCACCAACAAAAACATGTTAGCTTCTTGAACACCACTGTTGATTTTACTTTTTTACTTTTTAGAGTAAAAACATGACCAAATATGGTCCAAATCAACCTCTTTTGCTTCTGAGGTATGAAGCGGACGCTGTGCTTTCCAAGTTCAAATGTCTTGATGCTTCCATCATCTAGAGAAACCGACAATGTGGACGTGTCTTACTGTTCCCTTGTGCCTTGAACAAGAAATGTATTATTAAGCTGAGACATTTGGATGTAGATACAATAAGCAAAGCCAAAACACAAGAGCTTCATCAGTTAAGAAGATCAAACTTACCATGAGTTTTGAGATCCATGGACTTCTACTCTCTTTCCTATTGAATCTTTACCCAATTTCTTCAAAATCCAGTTAGCATCCATCATCTCATCGTTCCTTGAACTGTCCTGATGAGAATGTGTTGTAGCTTTTCCTTCAAAGAAGCCTTGTTCACAAAGCTTGAAGGTCTCTTTCTCTTTGATCTTTGACCCTTTGCTCATCCTCAGACTGCGTTGTAAGCAAAGATGTCTCACCTTCCGAATTGGGTTTCCTCAGATTAAATTTCAGCAGAGGTCTTGTTTAATATCTTCATCCACTAAATTAAAGTTCCTCCTTTGCATTATCTGATTCTTCCTCAGCTTGGCTGAGCTCCTACTAGCTTTGGCAATTTCCAAGACTCATAAATGGATCTCTAGTCAGAATGAAGTTTATACACGCCTGATTAAATCATTCGATCTTCAAGAGTGATAAGTAACTAGTTATTGATTTCTTAATTTATTGGCAATGTTGATGAAGAAAACAGCAAACTTGGTGAACCTAAAAAATGGATATGTCTTATTTAATCAAACAGATACCAGAACAACGTCTGCTGCTATTGTAAGTAAGAACAAGCAAAAAGGTCTCAGCTCAAGAAGATGCCTCTGGGGCCTTATACCTATAAACAACAGAAAACAACCGAGGAACCAAAACAAAACTCTATCAATAGTAGATTCAATCATCTTTCTCCTTCACTGAAATCACCGTCTCCGTCTCCTCCTCCACCACAGACTGTGAACCAGTCATCCTCGCCAACACAACAAACGACATTCCTCCCAAAAGATTGTTCACAACCCTCAAAGCCACCACACCCGTCTTAAACACCAACGGAGGCAAACCCTTCTCCATCAAGAACTCAGCACCATTCAACGTTTGGTACCTCACATTCGCACTCACTCCCATATGCGTTGCCCACGTCAACGAATTCAGCAGCGTCGGCGGCGCTTTGTTAGGCGTCTCGAAACTCGGATCCATCTTCTTCCTCAGCATGATCAAGCCGTTAGAGATCGCTGTTCCCACAAGACCTGCAGCTAAACCAACAGCAGCAAACACCACTCCCTTGTACACAAGAGTCCCGAAACGATTCATCACCGTGAAGCTTCCCTGCTCAAACATATGGCTCGCAGGACAGCTTCTAAAGATCCCAGGCAATAAATTGGAGGAGCCAGCGGTTGCTGCAGAGGGAGCTAAGAGGTACATGAGCGTGAAATTCAGAATCGAACCTACGACGAGTGTGGAGAAGACGAAATCGAGCTCGTTCAATCCGAAATTAGGTCGTGACGCCATGTCTCCGAGGACGTTGGCGCTGACTCCAACAAGCTCTTCCATTAGCACCTTGAAAGGGAATTGAGGATCAGCTGCGACTCGCGATCTCCATCCTTCGATGAACATTCCGATCGGTCCCCATGATGACGATCCTTTCTCTTCTTCTCCGCCGCCGCTTGAGTCTCCGTAACTATCACCGCCTCCTCCTCCGGTTCCGCCACCTGATCCTGGAATACCGAAGTTTCCACCGCCAACTCCGGCGCATGGAACACCGAGATTCGGAGATGAGAAGTTGGTGTGGAGTGAAGAAGAAACCGATCCATTTCGTGGGAACGAGACTGTAACTCTCGGATCGCGAGAGAGGTTGATCACTCTCGGCGACGGCAGATTGCTCCGATTCGAATTCGCCGATAGATGAAGACGCGCAATCGCCGCCATCTTCTCAACGAATCACTTCGGAATGGTGAGTAGACAAGTGACCTGTGAGATCTGAGATCTGTGAGATATTCGATTGGAATCACGGCGTGCAGAGACAGAGAGAGGCTTTTAAAAACCCTTTCTTTTTTTTCACAAAACAATCAGAATCAAAATCAATGGAGGGCCCCATCCCCACCTGCGTAACTAAAAGCTGAATCTGACCCACACGGCCACACGTGGCACTTCACTAAACTACTTCACCAACTACTTCACCCACCACAATGGCACTATTGTTGTTTTCTCTTTTATGGTATTCAACTTTGTATGCTTGTTCTGGTCAAAAGTGATGGAAACTACAAAAAGACGAAAGCTTTCACAGGACTAACATACATAATGATCTTCTTTTGGTCTCTTCTAGTCCGTACTCAATTTGCTTACCAAAAGACAACAAAAAACATCCGCTGGAAGCTATCTATCCGTCTATAACCATATATACGTAATTAGTTCTCAATTCCAAAATCAAGAATACAACTACAGTAGTTCAAGTCTTCAACACATGAAAAAATCTATCTTAATGGGTTACAAATGCATCACATTCTTTCTTGTGTCCTTAGTGTTTTCTCTTGGTGCTTAAGAATCACTGTGTGGAATCAGAGAGGCTTAAGCAGAAGAACGAAGAGCTGACTCAAACCAACACCACTAGGGCCAGTTATACACATATACAACATACTTTTCACCTGCTCTCTTCAGCTTCCGGTTTTTGGGCGCTTCATTGCATTAGAATTGAAAGGAGAGACGCTACCGCTTGGACCTGGACTGTTTTCTCTCAGGTTTGAATTCAGTAACGCAAGCTCTCTCAACTGCTGCCTCTTGATGTAGTCCTGTGACTCATCCTGCCAAAAAAGAATACCAAAAAGTCACTTATTATGTGCCAAACTTCAAAGCAATAGTGTACAAGTAGGCCAAAACACATACCACTGGTTTTACTAACTCCTCGATGATTTCTTGAGCCTGTCGTAGCTTTATGTCCACTATATCAGCAGGAAGATCAGCTTCAATGAGGATATGCAGCTGCTCATTGAGATGTTCATAGCCAGGCTTCCCTTTCAGTTTCTCTTCCTATCGCCAAAACATATCAAAAGCAAAAGATGAACAAAATTTGGAAAAAACTGATTGGGGAAACAGAGGAAAATGTAGGCATCACTTACTTTGTCAGGGTCCTTAATTGATCCTTTCCCTCTAATAAACACACGGCAACCTGTAGTTGCTTCTACACGCTTCAACGAGTTCCCTCTAGGACCCAGAAGCCTTCCAACAAAATTGAACTAACAAACCAAGAGCAGAAGAAATGGTTTATTAACCTGAAATTCATTATCTCAACGAAAAACAAATCCCAAGAAACTTACAGTCGGATAGGTATCAACAGGAAGATCTAGACGCAAGATACGCTTCACTGTGTATGAGCTTGGACTAGGAGGCGCACCTTGCCACTCCATTGCCATTCCATGGTGTCCACCTATTCTCTACAAGACATAAAAAAGGTTACAATTTTCATTAGATTAAGGGTTTATAGGGTCTCTACAAGAATTAAAAGGTTCCACTTAGAGCTCCTGAGGGATTTTCTATAAGGAATTACCTAGACATTCAAGACTAACCATTACTTATTTAGCATATAAAGACCGAAACTTTTAAATCTTGATGACCATGCAGTGATCTAAAGACTAGAGATGGCACCACATATTCAAAGAAGGAGATGGAGAGCTAAACTCATACCTTATATTCCTTGCAGTAGGAATATTAGGCTCCTCCAACAAAAGAATACATGAGCCATCCCTACATATATCATGTGCAACTGTGTCTCAACCACAATCCTCTGTTCATAATATTTCTATCTTCTATTAAGATATGGGGGATGAAAAGGACGGTTTATTAACAAACAGAAGCTCTGAAAAATCACAGAATTTAAAAGAAAATGCCTACCTCTGGTGGAAGACCGTTCCAACCACCTAATCTAGCACCGGGAGCATTAGACATATGGTTTGGTGAAGCCATTGGACTAGGGCTTCGATGCCGCAACCTATCAAAATCAGTGAACCCTTGGTTCGACATCATTCCGGTTACCCGCATGATTTCTGCACATCAATAACATGAGAAATGTCATGATACTATAATCAAACAGAGATCATATTACCAACTTGGACTGTAAAATGTAGCAGTCAGCTTGATTTTCCCCAAAATACTTAGTAAATCATAGTTCTTCAATTAGATGATCTTTAAATTTACTTTTACACCTTAATTTACTCTAACAAAGCTGGAAGCTTTTCTACCAAATGCTACATAAGCAATCAAAGCAAAGCCACCAAAGAAAATCCAGTATAAAGGCACAGATGCTAATGGAAACTGGCAATTGACAAGAAATTACAGATCTAAGAAGGAAGGAATGAGAAGAGAGTGAGACCTTGATTTAAGAGTCGGTTACATATGGGTAAGACTTGCATGAAAGGTCCAAGCTTCTGATGCTCTGCTAACAACTGAGTTAAGTACTGACTGCAGAAGATCGAGCAAAAAAAAACAAAAGAGATAATTAGAGACATATGCGAGTTATATAGTTCACTGAAGAAACCATCAGAGAGAGAGCGAGGAGAAGTCGAAGAAGAAGCACCTTTCAACATCGGAGGTGGTTCTAATCTGAGGAGAGGCGGCTCTTGAAGGTGAGAAGCTTTGATTATACAGACCAGACATGGTAGAGGGATTTGCTCTACTGCTGTCTTCACGCAATTCACATTTACCCAAACTTGGTTCTCGAGTTGTCTCCACCGAGACCGTGTATCCCATTTAAAAAAGAAGGACAAAATAAAACGCTTGACTGAAATGTAGTATTGGGCTTTGAAATGTATCAAAAGCCCAAAAAGCATACTTGTTTTTTCGTTGGTCACACAACTCTCAAATCATTTGTTGGTTTAACTTGCAACTCAGATAGATCGGAAGAAGAAGGAGAAGAAGAAGAAGAAAAAGATGTCTTTGGTGTGGCTAGAAGCGGCTCTGCCTCTTGGAATCATCGGAGGGATGCTCTGTATCATGGGCAATTCTCAGTACTACATCCACAAAGCTTATCATGGCCGTGTATGAATTTTCCCTCTTTTTCTCTCTCTCTCTTAGGGTTTGCTCGATTTGATCCGTTTGGATCTCCAATTATACAAATTTCTGTAATTCATTCAGAATTTTGGTTTGATTGATTTGGAATTGAGCAGCCGAAGCACATTGGGCACGATGAATGGGATGTTGCTATGGAGAGACGCGACAAGAAAGTCGTGGAGAAAGCCACAGCTCCTTCTTCATAATCCGCTTTCCTTTATCCTTCAGGTCTGTGTTCCTTCTCTCACTTCTTATCCGATCTGTCTTCTCTGTGCCTTTTCTTAGTTTAAATGTGTGAACACTGAAAAGCTCTGTTTTTTTTTGGGCTCTCGGAGGAATTTGAGTTTAGAGCTTAATTAAAGAGACCTTGTAGAGATAGCTGCTGTATCAATTATCATAAGCACCTAGTTCTTTTTCAGTTTGAAGCTTCAGGATGCTCGTTTGGTTGCTATTATGTGTAGAAAATTCCTTGTTCAAGGGAACTGCATTATACCCTGAGTTTTGGGTACTTGCATGACACCTAGGCACTTCTGCTTGGTTCTTTGCCTCTTGAAGCTTGTGGATGGTTGATTTTTGTTTTTTTCCTGTCTAGGAATGACTGAGATCCTGGTTATGGTTGTGTTATTGATCATGTTTTGGAGTTGTTTTTTTTCTCTCTGTCATGTGAACAGTGTTATTCTTTCTTCTCAGTGTTAGGAAATCCTCGTGCTTCTTTCTGTCTTCTCCTTTTGGCTTGGGATGTAACTCTGAGTAACATGTTGATGTGATGTAGGGGCTAAAGGTGAACACTTGTGGTCACAAATAAAGTGTATTCTTCCAGGAGAAGAAGAAGTTGGAGAATCTAATACTGTAATTCCCGTTTGAATTTTTTTGGAGACAAGTTTGAATTAAGCTTTGAAGCTTCAAAAACTCTTTTTTTTTCCTGCTTTGAAAATTCAGACTGTAATGCCATTTGGTTTACAACTTTTCTCTATTTGTTTGCGATACATGCTGTTAATTGGTATGGCATTTGGTTTACAATTGCACTCTTGCTGTGTGAATGAATGAATGAAAATCTTGAAAGCTTCAGGTGTTTGATTTGTTGCGGTTAGGACTAAAAATTGTATTAGTGTTGGTAGATTGAGAGATGAGAAAGGAGAGATTGTGAGGATGCTTGAGAGTCCAATGAAGCTTTGTGATGATGAATCACATGGTTTTAAGACTGTGGCTAATAATGGAGGATGATGAATGAGGTCGGTCAAAACCTCTGTCTCTGCTTGCAGATTCACATGGGGTCCCCTTGCTCTGTCTCTTTCAAGTGGGCTCATTTCTTCTTACTTCTCTCCTTTAAAATGGTCCACTCTTGTTGTAACGCAACCCTTTTATTTATTACTTTGTTCAAAGGAATTTTTGTTTCATTTCTCTCACCAACTAACATGACCAGAGATTCACTTCTCATTTCTCCTTAAAACCACACCAGATTTATGATAAATTTTCTCTAATCAAAACCCTTTTTGCCTTTTTCATTCACATGCTTAAAACGGTTCACAGTCAAAAGATTATGACCGTTTAAAGAAACACCATCTATTTTTATCTATAAGATTCGATTAACTACATCTGAATACGAGCAAGGATAAAATATTTAAATGTGAAAGACAAACCCTAAAGAGGATTCTCTTTGCTCTTTAGTGAAAACGAAGCTTGTTTTTATTTTACCGTTAAGACCTTACTTTCATGTTGAATCCTTTAAGCTTTCTGTTCCATTTCAACCATAAGTCCAGAAAGAGCAAAAGAGACGAATATTCTATCAACAATAGTTTTCTTTTTGGCCAAACTGGCAAATTATTAGGATGTCCTTAAAATACAACTAATACAGCACTTATACAGTACAACACATCATCTTGGTTTCAAAAACCAAACATTAAGGTTTTGGAATGATGGGACAAAGAACCTAACTGATTAAGAATCTCCTGATATCTGCAGAAGTCAGAGAAGATATTAACATTGTTGTTTCTTGATATGAAACATGCATCATGGCTCAAGGCCCAAGCCAGGTTGATACAGTAATGTATTCACGTTTGACTCAAACTTTTTCCCAAATCTGTCCAAAGCAAAGATTTGTTGCTGCGCTGATATTGCAACATACCTGGAGTGGAAAATGGTGCTGTTTTTAAAATGTAGAATGCAAAATCCACATGAGCACGATTACTTTCCAATGAAGAGCAAGCAACTGAGACAATTCTAGATGAAAACACAAATGTTATAACATGAAGCAGCCTTTGCAGTATACATGAGAGGCCTGCATTGCAAGCAATCTTCTCAAGAAGAGAGCTAAACTATAAAGAAACAAGTGGAACTCTACAATACATTCAATCATTCCTCCATGATGTCTCATCTCTATTTCTCCCCAAATCTATTTTTGTTCATTGTGTGATCTTCTAATATATGAACAAGTTGCATGAAGCTCATAGCTACAACAAAACACATGAATCTCAAGGACACACTACGTACTACCTTTGGAAGAATATTTGTGATTGTTAACATCATCTTCATAAGCTGTTTGCTTGTCAAACAAAAGATGTTGACATTATTACAAAAAAAAAGAGCAAAGCTTTACAGCAAAAGTAGTTAGAAAGAAAACAATGTGAGTGTACTCCAGAAAACAATCCATATCTTCCACCAAAAGTTTGTGATTTGAGAGCACAAAAGAAAAACAATGATACTTATTTAATCACCCGTAGAGAAACAAGATGAACTGGAAGTTTTCAACTTGCTAACCACAACGAAAAAATAATCAGAAAACACTTTACCAAACCGAAAAATAATTGAAGAAGAAAAGAAAAAAAGACAGTAACAGATGATGAAGATGAAGAAGATGTACACAAAACGCATCAATGGTTTTTTTAATCTTCCTAAGCTGCGTATTCAGTTTCAAGCATCGGTTGTGTACGAGTCGTAGTAGCAGTTGGAGCTCTCGTCTCTCCGACCTGAGTCATCCTCAGAGCTTCCCCTGTCTCACCAGCTCTCTCCATCTCCCTCATCTTCTCTTGCTTCTTGTAATTCCGACACCGCAAAACCAGAAACAGCAAAAGCCCCAACAGTATCAACCCACCAACCACCGACCCAACAATAATCCAAGTCTTTGAATTCGAATCAGAGCTCTTCTTCTTCTTATCATCATCCTTTTTCTCACTCTCCGGAGGAGCTGGACTCGGAGCTGACTCCACAGATTTCACCACCACCGAGAAATGCCCCTGACGATCCGTCTCGCATGTGTTCCCAGGCTGAGTCGACTCGCTGAAACTCGCTTTCCCTTGCGAATCGAAGCTAACGCACTTAGCGCTGGACCCCTGCGGGATTCGCTCCAGATCAGAGAAATCGATTCTGATTGGATCACTCGACGCTCTCAATTCCAGCTCCGGGAGGTTAATCGCGGAGAGATTCTTAGCATCGTAAGCGAGAAGACCCAAAACCGGAGCTACATAATCGTAACCGGGCAGAGGGTAATACAAGTGAGAGGAATTAGCTAGGTTTTGGTAAACCAGGACGAGCCTTGTCACATACGGCTTCACAATTACGCCGCTAGGGATTGAGAACTCTTTAAAGGAAGACACTCCTCGTTTCCTCAAGCTCCCGCTTCGGAGTCTCATGGCGGCGACTTTGATCCCGGTTAAATTGGAAGGCACGGTGGCGTCGTAGAGAATGCCGGTGCGAGGACGAACAAAGGCTCTGAAGGAGTAGTCTTGGAGAAGGGAGTCGAGAGAAGAAGCATTGGTCGGAGGAGATTGAGCAGAGAGGAGAGGATAAGAGCAGAGAGAGAGAAGCAGAAGGAGATGGAGACTAGAGAGAAACCCCATTGTTTGGTTTAGGCTTGTTCTTCTTCGCCGCTGGAGCTAAAAATCCCCCAGGGCGAGTCAAAGCCGTGCGACTCAGTAAAAAGTCGCCGTCACGTCTGAGTGTGAAGACTTCAAAGGGGCCAAAAAAGGAATTTGGTGTTAGCTTAGAGAATTGAGGAGAGAAGAAACAAATCGAGGAATGAGGGTTTGTAGTAGCAATGGGAAACGGAGGAGAGAGGAGTAATGGTCGCCGGTGGAAAAGGAGAGAGAGAGAGAAAGACGAGAAAGAGGAGAGAGAGAGAGAGAGAGAGCCAAAAGGACAAAAAGGAGAAGAAGAGTGTTGTCGTCAGTCCCATTTGTTCACAAAATTATACAGCCTGTTCATCTGATTTTTCTCCTTTCCCATTTAAAAAAAAAAAGAAAAATTCCATAAAATATGCTTCTCATTCATATCTTTTTTTTTTTTTACTTTTGATTTCAACCAATCATATCGATACATTGCGGCATTCAATATCGCCGTAACAGTTGTTCGTCTACCCCTTTTTCGTATTTCTATCTCTGTATATATCGTTTTCCATATATACCGTATATAACCACTTTTATATTTTCCTTATCCTTGCCCACCAAAAATACAAATATTAATTTCACTTTGACCGCCGAATTAAATTATAGGCCTAACATCGATATCTTCTGCCCAACTAGAACATTCGTTGAGCCCAAAGAAAAGCCCATTAACTGCTCACCACGTCATGACTAACTTTCATCTTTTTAATCTGTCAGTGTTGAGCTCAACCTACCATACCTCACCACTTCACCTTCATTTCTGCGAATCTCCATACGACTCTTTGAGCTCTCTCTGTTTCTCCGCTGGTAAGCTTCCCGGTCTTTCTCTCTCTTCTCCAGATCTGTGTGATTAACCGTCGATTTCTCACGACGAGTGGATCTGAATCCAGCTATGGGTAGTTCCGGCGACGTTAACTGGAAACTTGAGGACCATCCCAAGCTTCCCAAGGGTAAAACCATCGGATTGATTGTTCTCGATGGATGGGGTGAATCTGAACCTGATCAATTCAATTGCATCCATAAAGCTCCAACTCCTGCCATGGATTCCCTTAAAAACGTATGTTTCATTTTTCTCCCTGTTTTTTCCCCATAATTCTCGATAATTTTCGAGAAATTCCAATTTTGGATTTCAACGGTTTGTTTTCTCCACAGGGCGTTCCTGACACGTGGAGGCTGATCAAAGCCCACGGTACCGCCGTTGGTCTTCCCAGCGAAGATGACATGGGGAACAGTGAAGTCGGCCACAATGCTCTCGGAGCCGGTCGTATTTACGCTCAAGGAGCTAAGCTTGTTGATCTCGCTCTCGCGTCCGGAAAAATCTACGAAGACGAAGGTTTCAAATACATTTCTGAATCGTTCGAGAAAGGCACTGTGCATCTCATCGGACTTTTGAGCGACGGTGGAGTCCACTCCCGCCTTGATCAAGTGCAGGTAACCAATTCTGCGTTTACAGCTCTGCATGTCTGTTTGTTAAAATCTTAACGTTTGCTAAATTTCTAAAGTTTGTTTATTTATTTATTTGGGCAGTTGCTGTTAAAAGGTTTCGCAGAACGTGGCGCTAAAAGAATCCGAGTCCACATTCTTACTGATGGTCGTGATGTTTTGGATGGCTCTAGCGTTGGCTTTGTGGAAACTCTTGAAGCTGACCTCGCTGCGTTACGTTCCAAAGGTGTTGATGCTCAGGTCGCATCTGGTGGAGGTCGTATGTATGTCACAATGGACCGTTATGAGGTGTGAATCCCTTGAATCCAAGACTTTTGAGACCATTTTCTAATCGAGAAATGGATTAGGCTTAGATTTCAATTTCTGCTGTTGTTTTAATGGAGAATCTGCTTTCATTTTCTTGCAGAATGATTGGACTGTTGTGAAACGAGGGTGGGATGCTCAGGTCCTTGGAGAAGCTCCACACAAATTCAAAAACGCGCTTGAAGCGGTTAAGACACTGAGGGCTGAGCCTGGTGCGAATGACCAGTATTTGCCTCCGTTTGTCATTGTTGATGATAACGGAAAGGCTGTTGGTCCAATTGTTGATGGTGACGCAGTTGTTACTTTCAATTTCCGTGCTGATCGGATGGTCATGCATGCAAAGGCGTTAGAATACGAAGATTTCGATAAGTTTGATCGTGTGAGAGTCCCGAAGATCCGTTACGCAGGAATGCTCCAATATGATGGAGAGCTAAAGCTCCCTAGCCGTTACCTTGTTTCTCCACCGTTGATTGATAGAACTTCTGGTGAATATCTTGCACACAACGGCATCCGTACTTTTGCCTGCAGGTGAGTTTTAGAATCTCTGTTCCATACTTCCATGGGTCATCCTTCAGATTAGCTGGTTTATTTGCTGGAACTGGAAATGAAATTGTGATATAATCTTGTTAAAGGTCTAGTTTATGAAATGTTTTAGCTGTCTTTCTTTGACGAGAATAGTTACTTGAGGGTATGCTACAATGAGAATGAACAAAATCTCAGATACTGACCCATGCAAAATGTATTTCAGTGAGACTGTTAAGTTTGGCCATGTGACCTTCTTCTGGAATGGAAACCGCTCTGGATATTTCAACGAAAAGCTAGAACAGTACGTTGAGATTCCGAGTGATAGTGGAATATCATTCAATGTCCAGCCAAAGATGAAAGCGCTGGAAATTGCTGAGAAGGCAAGGGATGCTATTCTTAGTGGCAAGTTTGACCAGGTAAAGTGTATGATCTTATCATATATTGTATCAGCCCGTTAAAAGATTTCGGTTTTCTGAATTTGGTGTGAATGGATTATTCAGGTGCGTGTTAACCTGCCAAATGGAGACATGGTGGGTCACACCGGTGATATTCAAGCAACTGTTGTTGCCTGTGAGGCTGCTGATGTTGCTGTGAAGGTACGGTTTTCGATTAAGTTTGTGATAATTTGAAACGTGAGAAACAAGTTTTAGTAGCAAATAACTCACAAGTGCTGGTGTTCCGTTTGCAGATAATCCTTGATGCCATCAATCAAGTGGGAGGGATATATGTGGTCACAGCAGATCACGGAAATGCCGAGGACATGGTTAAGAGGGACAAAGCTGGAAAGCCCGCTCTCGATAAGGAAGGAAACCTTCAGATTCTTACGTCCCACACCCTGAAACCAGTAAGTGTACCAAAACTGCCACAATGTAGTCAAATGAGCATAGACTAAGCATGAAAGTGTCATTTCCAGAAGTGGTTCTTGTGTTATGTGTGATATGTTAACATGAATATGCGTGTAGGTGCCAATTGCCATAGGAGGTCCTGGTTTGTCAGCAGGAGTTAGGTTCAGACAGGATTTGGATACACCTGGGCTTGCGAATGTAGCTGCAACAGTGATGAACCTCCATGGATTTGTGGCGCCAAGCGACTATGAGCCGAGTCTGATTGAAGTAGTCGACAAGTAATAATGGTGTGCTGGTCGTTCCCTGTAATACCACCTGAGCCTCTCCAAACTAGTATAATTCTGTTATAAGCCACTTTTACTTCCTCGTGTTCATTAATAAGGCTCGTGATTTTTCGGATGCCATACTTTTTACTCGCCCACTCTCACGATGTGGTTCAAGTTTAAAGACTACGCATATTTGATGTTTTGTTTCGCCAGAAAAGTAATTTTGATATAAAAAGTTTTCGGAGAATTACGTCAAATTTAAGGAGTAACGGTAGTGACAAACATTCGGAATCGGACACATGGGATGATGTTAGAAAAAATATTTCTTTTTCAGTTTTTTTTATTTAGAGAAAGTTAAGAAGAATCTTTTCCTTTCTATACAATGTAATATACGTATACTGATATGCTAAGAAGTTTTAAATAGAAAAATATATCATAAGATAATATCAAATCTAATTCAAATGGAAAATATATCATCTAATAAGGATGGTAATATATCAGTCTATATCTATTTCAGGCGAGTAAAGAAAAAATTCTATAATTTATTTTACTGTACATTCACGAATATCATGTTTATATAATAAACTAATAAACCAAAAAAATCAAAGTTGAAATACTTGGAATTTTTTTTTTGTTTCACAATGTGGCCATAAAATTTTGCAAATTGTCTGACTTGGTATGGTGGTATGGTATGGTAGAGACGTAGAGTCGAAAGAAAATTCCACGCTACCCTTCCAGGCTTTCCACTAGTTGCCTCAACCATCACATCCCAAGTGACGTTCCAGATTCTTACCATCGCTAAAAAAAAAGCGAGAAGATCTAACGGCTACCAGCAAGGTCTTACCATAGTAAGAAAATAAAATAAAACTATTCTTCCAAGAAAGTAAACATAATCAACGGTCAGTATGGCATGATATTTTCATCAGTATTAATCCAACGGATATGCAGCAGGAAGGCCCAAATGCTTCTGTTGCACTTGATTTTTACCCAATCCACACTGGCCAGTGACGACTGCGACCCTATTTGACGAGGCGATAAAAGGGCGAACAATTGCTCTTTTCAAAGCTCGCCTCTTCCAACCACTGAGAAAATCATCTCTCTCTCTTGCTTCGCCTCTCATCTTCGTGAGAAAAAGGCCGAGAATCCTTCCAGATATTTTGCTCAGCCATCGATTGTGTCGTAGGTACGACTCGTTTCCCTCTGATCTCTACCGCTTTAAAATCCATTTGCTCCTCGACTCATTGTTCTTCTAGTTTCATAGAATCTGTATTTTTGCCCCGAGGTAAAACGAGATGTTTCGTCTTGTAGATCTGTTTGCTCTATTGAGAAATGATGATTTTCCGAATCGGAATTGTATTCACCTCCTCCTCGAATCGTTATTGTTTTGGTTCTAGAGATCTGCTTTCTTCTGCGTTTCCTTAGTTTGCTCGTCAAGCATATCATTGAAGTGGCTTTGATCCGTTGCCTTAAGTATTAGATCTGTTGTTGCGATCCCATAAACTGAATTTGCGTTTTAATTTTGTTCTTAAAACTTGCAAGCTCTCTGACTCGCTTGATCATCTTCCAGTGTAATCCTCGGTTTGACGTGTAAAACTCTTCGAAATTGTGTTGTCTTTCTTTATTCAGAGCAATTAGATAGGATTCTGAATCGTCTTCACAGTTTTAATTCTACTAGAATTCTTGAATGTCTGCTGTGTTTCAAATTATCTTGGATTAGGTTATTGGTTTGTTTCAAAAGTTTTCTGCATAGTGGACTGTGAGAATTTTAGTAGTACATTTCCGAGCTTTCTGTTTATTTTACTGTAAATTTGGATATGAAACTGCTGATTTACATCATGATGTACAACATCTGAATTCTCATCAATGGTTCTGTACATTTTGCAGAGATCAAAATGGTTGATCAAGTTCAGCACCCGACTATCGCGCAGAAAGCTGCTGGGCAGTTCTTGCGCTCAAGTGTATCCAAAGACATGCAAGTTGGTTACCAGAGGCCTTCGATGTACCAAAGACAGGCAGCCTATGGAAATTACTCCAACGCTGCATTTCAGTATCCTCTCAACACATCCCGGGCCATGGCAACGATTGCCTCTCCTGTGTTTGTCCAAGCTCCAGGAGAGAAAGGGTTCACTAACTTCGCTCTTGACTTTCTGATGGGTGGTGTTTCCGCCGCCGTCTCAAAGACCGCTGCTGCTCCTATTGAGCGTGTTAAGCTTTTGATCCAGAACCAAGATGAGATGATCAAAGCTGGCAGGCTTTCTCAGCCTTACAAGGGTATTGGTGACTGTTTCGGCAGGACTATTAAAGATGAAGGTTTTGGTTCTCTATGGAGAGGAAACACTGCCAATGTCATCCGTTACTTCCCTACTCAGGTTGGTTTAGTTTCATGCTCTCTCTTTGTTTTATCGGTTTTAAAGAAGTAGAATTGTATGCTAATCTCTTTCTTTTTTTCAGGCATTGAACTTTGCGTTCAAAGATTACTTCAAAAGGCTTTTCAACTTCAAGAAAGACAAGGATGGTTACTGGAAGTGGTTTGCTGGTAACTTGGGATCCGGAGGAGCAGCTGGTGCCTCTTCCCTTCTCTTTGTGTACTCCCTTGACTATGCACGTACTCGTCTAGCCAACGATGCCAAGGCTGCAAAGAAAGGAGGTGGTGGCAGACAATTCGATGGACTTGTCGATGTCTACAGAAAGACACTCAAGTCTGATGGGATTGCTGGTCTTTACAGAGGTTTCAACATCTCCTGTGTTGGTATCATTGTGTACCGTGGTCTCTACTTTGGACTGTACGACTCTTTGAAGCCTCTTCTCCCTGGAGACTTGCAGGTTTGTTTGTGCACTTTTATCTATCTCGATAAGTCCATAAATTTGCATTACTTGGTTGTTTCTAATGTTTGTTTATCTTTCTGAATATTTCAGGATAGTTTCTTCGCTAGCTTTGCGCTTGGATGGCTCATCACCAATGGTGCAGGTCTTGCGTCGTACCCAATTGACACAGTCCGCAGAAGAATGATGATGACGTCAGGCGAAGCTGTCAAGTACAAGAGTTCGATGGATGCGTTCAAGCAGATCCTCAAGAACGAAGGAGCCAAGTCACTCTTCAAGGGAGCTGGTGCAAACATTCTTCGTGCTGTTGCAGGTGCTGGTGTGCTCTCCGGTTACGACAAATTGCAGCTGCTTGTGTTCGGAAAGAAGTACGGATCAGGTGGTGCCTAAGCATCGGCTCTCCTTTTTAATTGCGGCGGTATGCGAGTTAAGACTCACAAAAATGATGGAGATGTTGATGAATTTTTTGTTGCTTGAGATTTAGGGATGCAGGATCCCTAAACTAAATTTTATTTCCTTCTGGCGCCAACTTTTTTCTTCTTTTTCTTATTGAATAATTCATGTTTGAGAGTTTTACTTGCTCTCTATTTTAAAACAATTTTGGATTAATCGAGTTATAATTTTCGTCATTCCTTTTTATGATACAGTATTACATGCATGTCTTTTAGTTACTAGAATATGTACTATCTGAGGTAAGAGTGTAGTTTAACTAGTTGACTTAGACACGACTAGATGTTCTCTTCAGCAAAAATGTTTCAAATACCTTTCAGAAACGTAATGAACTTGAGAAAGATATAACACTTTAATATTCTTCGAGAACAGTCAAATGATACCTAATGGATACGAGAACGAGAATATCTGAAAGAATTTAAACCAATTGATTTTAAACGAGAAACACACGGTATTACTCTTGCGGTCATGCACTTGCAGAGGCCATGACATCAGTCTTTGCTATAAGGCGATTTCAGTAGTAAAAAGCGAGGAGTCCAAGCCTGCGCTTTGTAGTTCTGTACATAATAATAAACTTACATAGAAGTAACAATGGCAATATAAAATGCTCCAAACCCATCCATCCTATGATCATAAGTTGCAGAACGAGAGAAAACTGAGATGAACGAAACCAAAATCTCTCTCTCTCGGTGCTACAGATGATAGGGAAGAATCACACAAACCCGCTTTCTTCTCCCACTTCACGTGCCTTCCTAAAGCTACACAGCACTGACATTGCATCTAGTATCAATATGAGTAAGGAGGAAGCCAAGGCATCAGCTCGGTTGCTAAAACCTTGTTAATCCTCTGTGACAAATCTAGCGTGTTCCATCCCAGGTGGCGATAAAGGAGGGACGGCTGACTCAGTCCCAAGAAGGTGCCTTGCCGAGATGCCCTGAGACTCATTGTCCTTTGATGGAATGGTCTCAGATGAGTTGTTTTTGTGAATTGATGCTAAGAATTGTTTCTTTGAAAGATTTGTTGAAGCTGATGAGACAACCGAGCTGAAAACACCAGACTCTTTCAATGCTTGAATCACAACCTGCATTTACAACCAAAGTGATTTACATGAACTCAAGACATTCCAAAACTCTGTTTGGAAACTTATGTAATCAATTGATGAGTATCTTCTTACCATTGGCGAATAAATGCGAGTCAGAATACCCTTCCTAAGGAGTTTCGTCTTCACCTCTTTGTCGCCCCACACGACGTGTTCACGGTACCTAAACAGGTTACATTACATTAATAACAGAGCCGGACTGTTGTCTTGCGACCAAAATAGGATCTCAACTTGTTCACAGGGTCACAAGTTCTGCATCGTACAAGTACCCAAGAAAGAATGCAATTCAGCAGCTAGGGCTCTTACCAGCTTAACATTTCTTCTTCTGTTGCTGTTGACGCAATTATAAATGCCTACAATGTTCATCAGCATAAAAAATAGTAAGTGGATGTGGAACACACAGATTTTTTCAAAGGAATTCAAGAGATTTTAAGAAAAGATGCTCACAGATCTATCAAAATCCAACATAAAGCATCTTTTCACGTCTTCTTTTGTAGGCTTGCAGCCACATCGATCACGCCTGGATGTTAAGTCCGAAAATTTGGCATATGTGTAATGTAGGACAGCAGCCTCCTCCAATTTGATTTCACTGCCAAATTGTACAGACAATTTAGCTTCACGAAAGGGAGAAATTGACTGATCTGTGAACCGTAACTACACTCCACTGCAAACTCCCTAACTTCGTTACATGATTCTCTAGTAGACTAACAAAAAAGTGTTATCACTTTCCTCAACCAATAGGAAATTTACTTATTTGAATATATGATATACATACTTGGGAGTTTTCATGTAATTATGCCATCTGTGTGCTCCATTTGGTCGGAGGTGATCTTGAACCCGAGCAACTGATTTGCCGTTACCGTAAGTCAAAAAGTAATTTGGATTACCTCGTGTTGCTTCTTTGTACATTCCAAAATATGTATCTTTGGGGAGATGATCGTAATTCTTCTTGAACATTGACACCTGCTTGCATCATAAATATTTCATAAGTAATACTAACATAACAAACAAAAAATGTTGACACTACAGCTCTTCAATTTAAGAGATGAAACAGGGTTATACCTCAGTAAAAGGATCCTTGATATCATCTCGTTCTACGCTGCTTTCCTAAAAAAAAAAAAAAAAAAATCAAAAACAACTATTCATGCACAAGCCCAGATCATGTAAAGAACTATAATACCAAAAATCCAGCTAAAAATAAGCAACACAAGAATATGTGAATCACATGTCACTCACGTAATTTGGAAATATAACCATATCCACATTTGGAGGAACATCAAGTAGCAAACGTCTCAACGAGTACTCACGAGCACCTGCTGGGTAAATTAACTCATCTGTGTCAAGATGAAGAATCCAATCCATACCCGCATCCTGATATTCAGTAAGAACAAAAAAAATTGAGAATATAACATGAGACATGAACAAAAATCCACCAAAGAAGGTCAATAAAAAATGCTTACCCTTGCCATGACAATAGCCATTTCCATGTTGAGAGACTGTTTGACAAATAACTCATAGTTGCAGGGCTTATAAAAGAAAGAAGATAGCCACGTCTCATTCCAAATCCGGCTGATGAGGCAAGAAAAAAAAATGACACTACATTGATCAGTAGTAGAAGATACAACAATACTACAATTCCCAAAACATACAAAGAGAAAACATGAAATTTTCTGCCTTCCAGAGCTAAAGATATGCAGTGGAATAGTTCACTGACCTCTTTGCCTGCTTCTCTTCAAGCTCTTTCGTCCTGTAAATTACCTTAACCCCCTGGAAAATACATCGGACTACGTTTAATAGAATTATCTTATTCGACTTACAGAGCTAAAAGGTATGCAAGTAGAGCTAAGTAATGGAACCGGAGAGATATAGTTAAGACTCACGGGAATAGATTCCAACACTTTTGAAATGGTGGGCGTAGCAGCTTTCCCTTCAACGAAAAGGAAAAATGTGGAGACGCCTAGAACCTTGTGGTAGAACATCCATGGTAGAATCTGCTCCAATCCAGCTGATGTGCTAGTCGTTATACATATCTGCAAACAGTAGCAATATCTTAATCGTAAATGTAAAGTGATTTTTTCTTCTTCGCAAAGACAGATCTGATCAATAAACAATTTCCGGATTTCGAATATCTCTGATCCTTTCTATAGATCAGTAATTAGAGTTGGATTTAAGAGAAGAATGGAAAATCGGAGTCTAGATCGATTCAAAAGCTTATTGTTACCTTAGGCTTTAAACTAGTATCAACACCGAACTTCCAATCACCATAGTAAGGAAATGAAGGGGAAGAGCTTCGAGCTAGATTTGAGCAGTCGGAGGATGATTGGTGAGCTTTTGGGGAGACGGATGAAACAGTCTCCATGCCGGGAAACACCTCATGGTTGAGATCGGAGCCGCCAGGAACCGACGTGGAGGAACCGACGGAAGCAGAGGCGGGATCGGCAAGCCCACCGCCTCGCCATTGGAGGATAAATGCGAGACAGGCGAGGGAGACTGGAAGTAAAGTCAGGAGAAGAAGAAGTCTAGAGATGAAAGAGTGGCTTGGGGAGGAAGAGGAAGAGGAGGAAGAAGCAGAGATTAGTGGAGCTCTGTGGTGGTGCATCGATTTCATGGCGAATTTGAAAAAAAAGGAATTGATTAGAAGGAGGAAGATGAAGAAAAAGAAGAAGAAGCCTTGTGAGATCTAATCTAAAAATTTGAACCCTATTATCAAATCATATTCATCTCTGTTGTAATTATTTATTCAAATAAATTCGGAGATTTTCTTCTAATCCTAGTTTTCTCTTGATTAGTTTCCCTCTTTATGTTGTCCACGTACGACAGCTTTACCTTTTATAAGGAGCACCAATCAAAACATTTCGTCGCTTCTACGCTTTTGTGAGAAAAGCATGAATGTTTCAATCCCAACAAACCGAGCCCACATTCATTCGGACCGATAGACAAAAACATTTTGAATTGAGTTTTAACATGATTTGTTTCCTTTTCTTATCATCAAGTTTTAACACGAACAAATAGTCATATTTTCTGATATTCGAAACTGAAACTTAACCAAAAGAAGACCAAAAACAAAATGCTGATTCATCTAATATTATTAATTGAGAAGTACATATTATATGACCAAAAAACTAATCTAATTGTCAAGTGAAAGTGTTTGGCAACAGATTTAACTTTGGGTCAATTTAGTACATTGTAATGTTTAGATACAAAATTAAGAGAAAAAACTATTTGAATAGAAGAATAAATGGAAAAAATTGTTTGGATACAATAATAATAACTTAAAAACAAACCGATGGTTTAAAAAACTTCTGTTTTTCAGCTCTTAAAAATCTGCAAAAAAAAAACTTAACATAATTTAACGATAATACAAAATCAATAGAATATTTTTTAGGATTTTAGGGTTTTCTGGATTTTTGGATTTCAGGTTTTCGGGTTTAGATATATTAAAAAGTTTGAGTATTTTGAAATTTTGATTATGGTATTTGGGTCGGGTTCCGGGTGAAAATGTTTCCAGATTTTTTTTGTTTAGTTCAGGGTTTTTGGGTTTAGACATATTAAAAAAGTTTGGGTTTTTAAAATTTTTGATTAGGTTTTTTTTGGTCGGGTACGGATTTAGGGTTTAAATTTTCTACAAAAAATCACAACGTCACACCGCACAAACGTGCGGGTACTCTACTAGTTATATTTAGCTACAAAATCACATTAATTTGAAACGAAAACTGAAACCGCATCACATACATATTATATGATTTCAATTTGGTAGCTACTTTCTAAACCCAAAAATGTAATAGACCAAATACTTAAACCAAAACTAAAACATTCCCTGGTAAATAATAAATCTTGTTCTAAAGTGAAATAATTTTTTAATGAGACAAAATCAATTTCAAAATTTGATGTTTTAAAGTACACATGTGAATCGATATTGTTACAAGGAACATGTATTGGTTCAAAATACCTTGTCTTACTCTTATCCATTCAGACTTAAAATCCTTAAAGTGAAGTAGATCGGATTATGTATTGGCAAGTTTTCAGGATATGCCGAAACGTATACATTGATGAAATATCCCATCTTTTTTGATAAAGATGAAATATAACATCCTATCAGTTATATCAATTTTAATGCACCATATGCTCCATATCCCATCGAAATTTTGTAACAAGTTGTGATTTGGATGAATGTATTACTTTTTTTTTCAACTTCTTGGGAAGTCATTACTCTTCAGAATACAAGTACATACTTCTAACTTTTATTATAGTTTTTGACAACTCCAGTGACCCGTTTCCGAAGTTGCGAAAAAAAACTCTTAAGGAACATTATACACAAATTATTGGAAATCAGATCTACACTCGGATTAATACTCTAACCGTAATCTATTAACCACCTTCAACCACTGGCTTTTTATGCGATTCCTATGCCAATTTTGCACTTGACCAACCACCAGAAGTGGGACTTTAGCTCTAGACTCCTCACAAAGAAAAATCTTCTTACATCTGCAATTATGAGTTACAAATGTTAATTAGCACAAAATGTTAATTAACACAAATGCTAATTAGCAAAAGCGCAACGTACAGCTCAGAGACTTCACCGCATCGTCAACTTTCCTTCACACCTTTATGTTTGTTACACACATATATATAAAAAAGAATCTCGGTTTTATTTTTTCCTTTTCCTTCCTTTTTTTTCTACCTCTTCCCTTACATCACTTTTCTCGTTCACTTGCCTCAGATCTGGCATCGATTTCAATTCTCTCTTCAGTCTCTCTCTCTCTCTCTCTCTCGTCTCCTTTTTTTTTTCTCTCTCTTTGCCGTTGACGGTCCCGTCCCGGCCGTGGATCTGATTCTGGCCCCGGATTGTCTTGCCGCGATCTGAGGTCAAACATGGCAGCAGCAAACGCCCCCATCACGATGAAGGAGGTCCTGACGGTGAGTTTTTCTTCTTCTCCGATCTCCTTTCTCTCGAAATCTATGTTTATCTCATGGAATCGAGCTTGATTTTGGTCGATAAAGATGTTTCCGTAGCTTTACTCTCTCATTTCCGATGATTAAGCTCGGCTCAGACTGTTTTCTGATTGATTCCGAGTTCATACTTTCCCCAATTCTGCTCGATCATTGCGTTACTGTCTTACTTTTCCGGATATCTAGTTTGGGCAATGCATTTTTCGATCGGATTTCTCTAAATCTGCCCAGATCTGTGATGCGATCCCGAATTTCAGTATATTCTTTAGTGCAATTTGCTGATGCACTCGGATCTCATAATTAAGTAAATTAACAATGTGACATAACGCTTCATTTTTATTTGGGTTTCCAGCTTCCGAGCATCGGGATCAATCAACAATTCATCACGTTTACAAATGTTACCATGGAGTCTGACAAGTATATATGTGTACGAGAGACGGCACCGCAAAACAGTGTTGTAATTATAGATATGAATATGCCGATGCAGCCTCTAAGGAGGCCTATTACTGCGGATTCTGCTCTTATGAACCCAAACTCGAGGATCCTTGCCTTAAAAGGTACCTAAATGTTTCCTTCCGTTGAAGAAATTTGCGTAGTATCAGTCATAACATAACACCCAGAAGAGTTTCCTTTTGAAGTGTTTTTTAGAACTCCTATTTCGTTAACAGCATATGCTATCTATTTCGGATACTCATCTTATATTCACGCCTTCATATGGGAGAAAATCGTAAACCACATGATATACAAGTTTAAACAGACCAGCTTAATTTTTTATAAGTATCCGTACCTGTTGTAATGAGTATAGAAGATCTATTATGTTAGATAAGTACGGAAAGGTAACTACACTCATTGAGCTTAGTATTAGTCCTATACAAGGCTTATACTAACATGTGTTATTTTCCCCATGGCTTTGTTGTGTGTCAAGCCCTGTGTAGTTCAACTAGAATTCTTGTTTGTAGCAAGTGTTACCGTATATTGGCTATTACTTTTGTCTTCCTTACTTTTTTGTTCACTCTTTTCTTTAATTTCTATACAGCTCAAGTTCCCGGAACTACTCAGGATCATCTACAGATATTTAACATTGAAGCAAAAGCAAAGTTGAAATCACATCAGATGCCTGAGCAGGTGAGTGTTGATGCAAATATTTTGTAATCCCATGATTGTTCCTGTTGAACATTTTATTCAGACTCAGATTTTTTTCTGCCGAATTTTTATTTTTGGGATATTAATCTTCCATTGTGTATTGTAGGTTGTCTTTTGGAAGTGGATCACACCAAAGATGTTGGGGTTGGTCACACAAAATTCCGTGTATCATTGGTCCATTGAAGGTTGTATGTCGTTAGCTTACTGTCATGTTCTTCTTATCGTATATATGTGATTCTAATATTGCTTCGATATTTTCCAGGTGAATCTGAGCCTGTTAAGATGTTTGATAGAACGGCCAATTTGGCTAACAATCAAATTATAAACTACAAGTGCTCTCCTAATGAGAAGTGGTTGGTTTTAATTGGAATTGCTCCTGGGTCTCCTGAGGTAGGATTACTGCTCCGTATATTAGGCTGAATATAGACTGTAAATTTGTGACTGATCTTGTCATTATTATCTTCTGTAGAGAGCACAACTGGTAAAAGGAAATATGCAGCTTTTTTCTGTGGATCAACAGCGGAGCCAGGCCCTTGAAGCACATGCCGCGTCATTTGCTCAGTTTAAGGTAAACCAGTTGGTTATTTGGTGAGTTCATTCTATGGTGTAATCTTAAACTGTAGTATGACTTGCAACATTATTAATATTAGGTGCCTGGGAACGAGAATCCTTCTATACTTATATCCTTTGCAAGCAAGAGCTTTAATGCTGGGCAGATAACGTCGAAGTTGCATGTCATTGAGCTTGGTGCCCAACCCGGTTAGCATCCTCGCAGAAAACTAAATTGTCACCGCTAATTTGTGTCTTTGGTTACAATTTTAATTAGCTTCAGCTAATGTGTAAATGTTGGTGACTATTTTGCAGGAAAACCATCATTCACAAAAAAACAGGCAGATCTCTTCTTCCCCCCAGATTTTGCTGATGATTTTCCTGTTGCCATGCAGGTTTGTAGTTTCCTTAGAATTACATTCAGTAAGTTTTGGTGAAATTTTTTTGACACTGAATTATCTTTCTCCTGACAGGTCTCTCACAAATTTAGCTTGATATATGTCATCACCAAGCTTGGCTTGTTGTTTGTATACGATCTGGAGACTGCTTCTGCTGTCTACAGAAATCGGATAAGTCCGGACCCAATTTTCTTGACTTCTGAAGCTTCCTCAGCTGGGGGTTTCTATGCCATTAATAGGCGAGGACAAGTTCTTTTGGCTACAGTAAACGAGGCTACCATAATACCTTTTATTAGTGGTCAAGTATGTTCAACTTTTATTCTGTTTTCTCGATATAATCTACCCGTGTCTTCATTGTCCTGCTAAGAAATCTATGCCTTTGTATCACAGTTGAACAATTTGGAGCTTGCTGTCAACCTTGCTAAAAGAGGAAACCTCCCTGGTGCAGAAAATCTGGTATGCGATATTTATCTTGGATCTGTTGTCTTGCTGAAGTATTTATAGCCGAGGAATGTCATCTTGAAGAAAAGGAAAGTCATTCGGTGATGTGAAGTTTCTCATATTCAGT